CATGTTATGGGCCCGATCCCCCAGTGGGGGGCATGCAGGAGGCGGCCAATCGATGTTCTCTCTTATTGATGTTTCTATGCCTCTCTCCCTCTCCCTTCCTCTCTCTCTAAAATCAATGAAGAAAAAATATTTTTTAAAAAATTGTGTTCTCACTCCAAGAGTAACCGAAGGGCACTGGCGCCAAATGGCATGGCCAAAGTGCCTCCGGTACCACATGCTGGGGATAGTCATACTGTGAGTTTTAAATGCCTAGACCCTAAATCACAGGCATTGTGGTCCTCAGTCCTGTGTGTACATTAGAGTCACCAGGGAGCTGAAGTGAACTGGTGCTGCGCCAGCCCTGTGACTAGTCTGTCTGTCTCTGATTTCATTGGTCTGGTTGGGTTCTAGGCAGCTTTTGTTTTTTTTTAAAAGACTTTATTTTATTTATTATTATTATTATTTTTTTGTAGCAGTTTTAGATTCACAGCAAAATCGAGAAGAAGATTAAGATTTCCCACATATCAACATCCGGCACCAGAGGGATCCATTTGTTACAATGGATGGACCTACACTGATGCATCATTGTCACCAGAGTCCATAGCTTCGGGTCCACTCTCGGTGTTGTACCATCCTAGGGGTTTGGACATTTGTATAAAACATGCATCCATCATGGTCGTATCGCCCCGAGTATTTTAATTGTCCAGCATCAGTGTTTCTCAGAGGCTCTCCAGGTGATGCCGCTGTGCAGGGCCAGTCCAGAGCTGTGACGACCTGGCCCTCTGTCCCCAGCCTCATGCTCCAGCTCCATTGCTGCTTATGGGATTGTTGCTGTCAGCTGGGTTTAGTCACAGAAGTCTTAGCATAGTTTTTTTTTTTTTTTTTAAACATTATCTTTTTGGTTAATCCTCACCCAAGGATATTTTTCTACTGATTTTTTTTTTTTTTTTTTTTTGGATAGAGTGGGAGAGAGAGAGAGAAACATTGATGTGAGAGAGAGAGACATCAATTGGTTGCCTCCCACATGACCCCCGACTGGGGCCGGGGATCAAACCTGCAACCCAGGTACGTACACTTGACACGGAATCACACCTAGACCCTTCAGGTCATGGGCTGGTGCTCTAACCACTGAGCAATCGGCCAGGGCACCATAGCTTTAAAAAATGTTTATTTTGCCCTGGCCAGTTTGGCTCAGTGGTTAGAGCGTCCGCCTGCGGTCCAGAGAGACCCGGGTTCGGTTCCCACTAAGGGCACGTACCTCGGTTGCAGTTTGTCCCCGGCCCTGGTTGGTCGTGCAGGTGGCAGCCACTCGATGTTTCTCTCTCTCTCTCTCTCTCTCTCTCTCTCTCTCTTCCTCTCCCACTCTATCTGAACAAAAAATGGAAAAATGTCCTCGGGTGAGGATAAAAAAAAATTTTTTATTTTACTTATTTAATTTTTAAAAATGTTTTAAGAGTGTATTTGAGCCAAACTGAGAAGAAGCCCAGAAGCGAGACCTCAAAGAACTGAGAAAATGCTTCCGAGAATGGCGGTTTTGCAGTTCTCTTTATACGTTTAGAGTCAGGATAAAATGCAAGGCAGGTTACCAGAAATCCACTGGTGGTAGATTAAGGAGGCAGGAGGAAGCCAGGCAGGGGGAGTGACCAGGATTGGGTAAAAAGTAAAACAGAGAGGTACATACTCCTTTTACATTGGTGGGTGCAGGACAGTTAACATTGAACATTTAGAGCAAACTGAGATGGTGTTCTGGCAACAAGACAACAATCACCATAGCTTATTTTATTTTTATTGCTTAAAAATATGATTTCCATAGCACCTTTATTCTGAGGAGCTCTTAATTGCTATACTTAGAACTTCTCAACAGTGAACATTTGTCAAGTATCAAAATAACAGAAGGAGGAGGGAGTTGGACCTCGGGGGACTGTTGCTTTGTCTCCTGCAAGCGCCAGTGGGGGTGCCGCACATCTCTCTTCTGCGCCCCATTAACGAGTGACCTACAATAGGTTGTTTTTGTTTGCTTTGTGAATAAGTACTCAGCTCTGCACTCAGAGCAGCACACTTTAAACACGACACACCACGGGAACCTGCCCGCCATGTGTCATCAAGGTTTGGGGGCCTCCCCCCCCCCATCATCATGCACTCATGCAGTCGTTTTTCTGGGTGCTGGCTCTGTGCTCAGGCACAAAGAGCTGTGGCCTGTGTCGTCATCTCTGACTCATGCCCGTGTGTGTGACTTAGTGACAGGTAGGTGACTCGTGATTACTAAAGGACCAGTCCCATCTATGGATCGTCCCTCCCTCCTTGGGTGGTTTGGGTCTTTCTTCTCTAGCTCACCCCCAGAGTGAAGGCAAGAATAAAGGAAATAGTAAAGGTAACTCAAGCCATGCCAAGCAACCCGTGTCATCTCGGATTAAAAGGGAAAAATACATGCGTGTGCAATGCACACGCACACCAGACTTAGGTACAGAACCGGCCAATGAGAGGTGTAGAAATTGGTTCAAATGTTTGGCCAAAAGTTAGATTTTAAAAAGTATTTATTTTTGGATTTCAGTCCCCGTTGCCCATTGCTATGAATAATCAACACTTGTTTCAATATGAATAATAGCACAGAGGGAATTCAACACCCTGCGCTTGACTATTTCGAGCGATTGTTTCAGGCCTGCGAGGCATGTGCTATTTATGACATTGCATGGGTAGTGATGATAAAAACGACAGTGATAATAGTAAATGGCTGGCATTTGTTGAGCCCTCGTGATGTGCCAGGCACTGTGCTGAGGGCTTTGCATGGGTTATCTCATTGAATCCCCACGGGGCTCTTTAACGTAGGCTGAGAATTATCCCCATTTTATGGATGAGGAAACCGAAGCTCAGAGCGGGGACACAGCTAGTGAGTGGCGGAGTCAGATTCTGCGTAGAGCAGCCTGACTCCAGGTGTCGACTTGCTTGGTTGCCCTGTGGTGTGTTCGTAGGGAGCCATCACCGGGGCACAGCGAGGCAGCAATGCCACGCCCACCCTGGTCACTGGGCGGGAGCTGCGGGGGAGAGGTGGTCTGCGTTGCTGCAGGGAATTGACCTCTTTTAGGCAGGGAAGTGGTTTGGGTCAGCAGAAAGCGGAACTTCACCTGCTGGTAAGACATGAATGCTCATTGACAACCAGCTCCTGCAACCCCGTAACCAAGGCAACAAAGATGGGGCCGTGGGACAGCGGTGGGCTCCACTGCAGGTCCGTCCTTCCCTATGCGAGAACCCTTGCCAGTCGCTCTGACCCTGCCCTTCCCCAGTCCCAGTGTTCGTGCCCGGGAGCCAGCCACTGTGGGAAGCTGTCCTGGATGGGACCTGTCATTTCTACCCATGATCAACTGCTTCTAGGGACGAGGCAGAGTGCGTGAGTGATAAACACAAGCGTATCCTTTCTGTGGAGGAGCATCCTTCTAAGCCCTCTTAGGAGGTCCCGCTGCATCACGTTTGTGGTATTTTCAGGAGGGTTATATCAGGTGCATCAAGGCAGTCTCCCTGCTCCAGCTCTCTCTGGTGAGACCAACAGAAACCATGTAGTAACTGCCAGGATGCTTCACCTCTCTGGGCCTCAGTTTCCTCATCCGTAAAATGAGGACAGTAAATTGTATCTGCCTCCCAGAGTCGTTGTGGGGAATAAAGAGTTAAAACATGTCCCGAGTTAGAGCAGACCCGGGCCTGTAGTCAATGCCCAATAAGTGTATGAGCTTTGTCCGGCTGCTGTAACAAATCGCTGCAAATGTAGTGGCTTAAAACAGGACACATTTATTACCTTAGAGTTCTGGAGGTCAGAAGTCTGAGATGGGTTTTACTAGGCTGAAATCAAGGCATAGACAAGACTACACTCTGGAGCTTCTAAGGGAATCAGTCTCTTCGCCTTCTCCAGCTTCTGCAGGCCGCCCCAATTCCCTGGCTTGTGGCCCCTTCCTCCATCTCCAAATCTCTCTCTGACCCTCACCCCAATTCTGTTGTTGCAAGTCCTTCCCTCTTCTGCTTTCATTTTGTAAGGACCCTTGTGATTACATTGGACCCAGCCAGAAAATCTACGTGAATCTCCCCATCTCGAAATCCTTCACTTAACCACATCTGCAAAGTCTCCTGCCATGTCCAGTAACAGGTTCACAGGTCCCGAGATTAGGCTGTGGGCGTCTTGGGGGTGGGGCATTCTTCAGCCTACATAATAAGCCTTAGCAATTCATGTAAAATGAAACAGAGTCAACTGGCTAGCTTGTGGATGGAAGAAACAATAATTTGGTCAGTGCAGTAACTCACATTTATTGGGTACTTGCTATGTTAGCTCTGTTCTGCCTCAGGACTGCAGCATGTGTTATCCCTCCTCCCTAGAGCTTGTTTCCTTCCAGAGCTTTGGATGGCCGGCACCTCCTCACCCTCGAGGCCCCAGCTCAAATGTCACCTCCTCAGAGAAGCCCTCCCTGATTACTGTTGCTTAAAGTAGACCCTCAACCCATTTCCTCTATTGTATCATGTCACCGTTTCCTTCTTTGACAGAAGTTAATCATCATCTGTGACCTTTTTGTTTGTGTGTCTGTCTGATGCATTCTTTCTGCCCTCTGTGGAATGTCGGTTCCAGGAGGGCAGGGCCCTTGATGTCTTGTTGACTGCTACTCTAGAGCCTGGAAGAGTTTCTGGAACATAGTGAGTGCACAGTACATGTCGCTGAGTAAGTGAATGAAGCCATGTAGGCAGGATGCCACGTTTAATGTTCACTCTCCTGTGTGGTAGGTCCTTTTATTATCACTCTGCCTGACAGATGGGGAAACCAAGGCTCAGAGAGTCTGAACCATTGCCTCTGGTCAGTGGCGACTGAATTTATACCCAGGTCTGCCTGCTTCCAGAATTTTCGCTTCCTTCCACCCCCTGACTCATGGCCTCGATGTCCTTAGCAGCTCTGCCGATGGCCACAGAACTCTGCAAGGTCCGGCGTCTGCACGCAGCTTTCCAGGCCCACCTACTTGCCACCTTGACATTGGCTTTCTTCTGTCTAGGTCTGTTGTGTCGGGCCTGGACTCCCCTGCCAAGACTAGCTCCATGGAAAAGAAACTTCTCATCAAAAGCAAAGAGCTGCAAGACTCCCAGGACAAGTGTCACAAGGTATTTATTTCCGCAGCCGGCCTCTCTCCTTGCTCCAGGATCCTCCCGTCAATATATGCCGAGGGAGCCACCTGGGGCCGCTGCGGGCACTGAGCCACCTGATCCCTACAGAGCGAGGAGGCGCTCTCTCCCCTCGCTGAAGTCACGCCTCCGGCAGCTCAGAGGGAGATGAATTCAGGCCTTGACGTTGCTGTAAACCCTTTAAATCTTAACCAGAGGAGGCCCTGGATTTAAAGCGGCCCGTTTCTCAGCATGACCCAGCCAGATGTCTGCTTCTTCCGGCAGGTGGTGTGGGTCCTCACCTGTGGCCGAGCTGCATCCCATCTGCTTTGAGTGATGCGAAGTCTCTCTTCCTAGTCTTTTAAAACTTCCGCCTATGTAACTGCGGCCACGGTGTTGGTTATGCTCAACGTCTCGTAACGCTCACTGTTCTGCCCAGGGGCAGCTTTCTGGAAGCTCATAAAAGTCACTGCTTGCCCGGGACTCCTAAGAGTGCAGACGAATACATATCTCCTTGCCCTGTCCTGGATTGGTCCTCTAGCTCTTTGCAAGGAGATGGGGGGGATCAAGATGAATTTGGGGTAAAATTAAAGTGACGTCTGCAAAAAACCAAACCAAAAAAAGCAAACAGGTGAAAAGTGATGATTGTGGCTTTCTTGCTCACGGGGTTAGAGGAGTGACCAAGTGTGAACCGAGACGTGAATGAGAGGAGTGACTTAGCATTGGTGACTGTCCTTACGAAGAACCGTGTGCTCCTGGGCGAAGAAACAATGGTATTTGCATCCCGACCTTTGGCGAAATAGAGCCAGCCCAGACCACCAGGTGGTTTTGGAGGCTACTCTGAGATTAGCTAGCTCCCAACGAACCTCCATGGGCCTTTTTTAACCTGTCGATGTGTTTATTTCAGATGGAGCAGGAAATGACCCGGTTACATCGGAGAGTGTCAGAGGTGGAGGCTGTGCTTAGTCAGAAGGAGGTGGAGCTGAAGGCCTCTGAGACTCAGAGATCCCTCCTGGAACAGGACCTTGCTACCTACATCACAGAATGCAGTGTGAGCCTTCCCCAAAGCCCCCTTCCCTTGGAGGTGGCACTTCTTGTTGTGTGTGTCTCATCCTGTTTCATGACAGCTCCATGAGGCACATTACAGCCAATGGCAGAGAGTAGAGGAAGGGAGGCTACCAAAGCAAGAGCTGTGATGTGCAGAGTAGGGTGAGCCTGGCCACAGGCCCCGGAGAGAAACGAGACTGGACTCCAGGAAGTCCAGGTGGGCCGCGGAGCTGGGCGATGGGCGTAGTCATCATCGCAGCAAGTCACAGGGGGGCCTGACCTCTCTGGCCTAAACCTACACCATGTCTGACACGATCAGCCTCGGGAGCCAAACTGGCAAATAAGCACAAGAAAATGTGTTTTGAATCTGCCTGAAATCAATTTTCCCATTGCCTACAACTGGCGTAGCAACGAGAAAACTCAGCCTTTAAAACCCAGACCCTCTGTCATTATTTACCATGTGGCTTTTTTTTTTTCTTTCTTTCTTTCTTTCACAAGAATAGACTGTCTTCTCCATTGTCTCGTTAAATTTTTCATTCAGGTGTGTTTTTTCAATGTGCCCAATTAAACGGTCGTAAGAAGTTGAATCACACATTTTTCAAGTTCTGTTTTGTTTTTTGTTTTTTTTTTTCACGAGGGAAAGGAGATCTATAGGACGTGGCTAATTAAGAGTAACTGCTATGTTTCCATTCCAGATTTGGCTGCCTTTCAGTGGTGGGTAAAGTTGTTCAGCTATGTATTTCAGATATATATTTCACTGCCACTGAAGCACTGAGGGAACCTTATGGATGAAAGGTATCCAGGAGACGTAAGCCAGGAGACGGAAATAGACTGCTCAGAGTCTTAAATGACAACAGGGCAGAGAATGAAGTCATTGTTACTTTGAAAGAGAGTTTCATACTTGCGAGTCCTTGAATAACTGATGTTACAGGAAAAAAGGCGCTGTGGCCATGTCAGTGGTGGTTCTAATGGCTAAGGACCGTATTAGTGTTTAGTCCTAAACATCCAAGTAAGTATTTGCTGGGCCAGGTAGATGGTGCCAGGAGACCACTTGATGTAGTTTCAGGTGGGGTCATCAGGTCACAGGGCTGAGATGATGTTTCTTGAACCCAGGGGTCTTTACAGGATGAAAACTGGAATCGGCAACCAACTGGAAGTTGTCAGCTCTGCTCCGTCACCTGACAGCGTCTCGGTGTCTGCGAAGCAGCTTGCAGCTCCCTTAATGAAGCTTTTCAGACAGCAGGCTCCACAGGGCACCCCTATTAAAACTGTTGCTTTCCGCAGAGCTTAAAGCGAAGTTTGGAGCAAGCGCGGATGGAGGTGTCCCAGGAGGATGACAAAGCACTGCAGCTTCTCCACGATATCAGAGAGCAGAGCCGGAAGCTCCAGGAAATCAAAGAGCAGGTACGACTGCTCGCCCGGGAGCAGGGTGGCGGCCTGGACCTGTCGTCTCTGGAGAGGCGGACGAAGAGGCAGAGAGAAGGAAAGAGAAAGGAGGGTGGGGAGACAGAGATGGATGTAGGTCGTTTGGAAACTTGAGATAATCTGCATTTATATAAAATGTAGAGTGCTCGGTTCTAGTTCCTCCGAAATCTGCGCCCCAGCATGGCTACTCTTTTCAGATAAAGGCGTAGGTTTGAGCACAGGTATGGCCTATGGGGCACATCTGGCCACCACCTGTTTTCCGTGCCCACAAGCTAAGAATGGGTTTTGCATGTGTACACAGTTGGGGAGAGGGACAGAAATCAAAAGAATAATAATACTTTATGACACGTGCAAGGTATGTGGAAGTCAGATTGCGGTACCCATAGATCAAGTTTTTATTGGCACACAGCCATACGCTCCTTCACTGACCTATTGCCCATAGCAGGTAGTCCTGCTCCTGTGGCTACGAGTCCTGCTGACTAGGACCTCGTGGCCCGCAAAGCTGCAATTGCTTACTGCCTGGCCTTTTACTGGAAAAGTCTGCCAAACTCTGCTTTAGATCATTAAAATAAAATGAAATAAAATAACAGGTTTTTATAGCCTTTCTTTTTTTTAAATCCTCACCCGAGGATATTTTTCCATTTATCTTCAGATGGAGTGGGAGGGAGAGAGAAACATTGATGTGAGACTAACACATGGACTGGTTGCCTCCCGCATGACCTGACAAGTGCCAGGGACGAACCGCAACCAAGGTACATACCCTTGACTAGAATCGAACCCGAGACTCATTGGTCCGCGGGCCAACTCCAACTGCTGAGCCAAACCGGCCAGGGATTTTACAGCTTTTCAGCTGCACTTTAAGTTTTTGAGAGGATCCAGAATAATTCATAGTAAGTAAAATGTAAAGAAATAGTCTAGCCCGGCCAGTGTGGCTCAGTGGTTGAGCGTCGATCCATGCACTAGGGGGTTGCTGGTTGGATTCCTGGTCAGGACACATGCCCAGGTCATGCAGGAGGCGGCCAATCGATGTTCTCTCTTAATGTTTCTTTCTCTCTTTCTTCTCCCTTCCTCTCTCTAAAAAAAAAAAAAAAAAAATCAATAAAGGAAAAAAAAAAAAGAAGAAATAGTGTAGAAGAAGAGTTTGAGCAGTTAAGGCCAAGTAAGATTTAACACAGCAAATCTGAGTGCAGAAAGCCATTCCCTGCGTGTTCAGAAAAGGGCACCAAGACCTTTAAAAAGCCCACTCTTTTTTATTCCCCCTTTCATAGAGGGTTTTCTTTCGAGATGGTTCATTTAAAAAAAAAAAAAAAATTTGCTTCATTGTTTCCTTTTTAGCATAGATTTTTCTGTCCTTTGAAGAAACTGTAAATAGAAACTTGAATGAAGAGACAGCAACGAGCAAACGGAGAGCTGAATTATCAGCTGCCAGGCAACTCTCATTCACTTCAGAAAATCTAATGTAAACACTGGTGGAAATGAACATTTTTGTCTCTGGGTAGCACCAACTTAGCCATCTGGGTGGTGCTAAATATAAGAAACTCCAGCAAATAATCGGATCCATTCACTCTTCTCTAAAGACAGAATGATTGTTTGGGGGGTTTTGTTGGCATAACCTATCACTTAATATTTAAAAGTGACTGGTTAATATCCTCCTGCTTGATAAAAATGCTGTAAATACATATGCACAGAAGATGTAGCAATCTGGTTAGCAGGTTTAATGATACCAGTCTTAGAAGTTTTGTAGGCCATTCACACAGTGTGAAAAATCTGCTTTGACACATTTTATCAACGCGGTTTTCATTCTGAAACTTTCACGAGGTGGGATCCTCTTTCTCCCATTAGTTCAGTGTGTTTGGAAATTTGCTTTTGGTGACATCCTGGGGAGATGAAAGCTGTATTTGGCCACCAGAGGGAGCAGCTGGTGTCCATGAAATAAATGCCACCGAAACAGAATCATCTGGACATTTTGAAAGGTGGTTGAGTTCAAAGACGTGTCTTTTGTGATTCGTACCACAGTTGGCCTGCATGCGGAGTTTAGATTTAATGACTGCTGAAAGTTCTAGCGGGGGAAGGAAACTTCTTCGTTTCAGATTTTATTTCTCACCGGAAGGAGGATTTATTAAAATGACTCTGGGCAAGTTTTGTGAGAGCAGGATGTTTGCAGTCCAGGGAGCAACATTTCTGGCTTTCAGCAGACTCCTAGTGACTGGTTTGCAGCGTGTTGGTTCCTCTCAGGTTTAGCATTTTCCCCCTACTCTTCCTCTCAAAAGCTCATTTCTGTACGGCTGTTTATTTTTTAATGTTTTGCTTCTACTCAGGTACCTGCTATAGAATATTTGGACTTGGTATAAAATAATAGCACCTAAGAGTCTCACGTAATAGTTTGATTCATGCACCTTTACCCAGCCATTGCTGCCCCCTCGCCCCCCTCCTCAGAAAGGGAAACAAGTTCAGGAACCACGGGAGGCGTCTGTGTTTCAGGATTTCTGACCAAACAGGACCGTGTCTGAATGCCTTCCCACAAAACTGAAGCTCTGTTCAGAACACTTAGCCAGGCCTCGGAACTTGGCCGTGGTTCCCGTTCCGACCCTGCTCCGCGGACCTGCGATTCAGCCCATGCCGAGTTGCGACAGCTCTCTCAGCTGTCCTTGGAGACGGACCCGATGAGCTCAGATTTTTCCCGCAGCAGGCATTTGGTTAGCTGTTGGATTTATGAGATTGCCTTGAAGTCTCCGGCATAATAACAGCGGCTCGCCAAGTGAGGGAGAATTCCTGTTGATGCCTGTAGCAGGCGGGTGCCCCCGGAGCTCAGAGAGCTGACAGAGATGGTGCCTGCGTCTTGCCTGCCTCCCCCTGGGTGCTGACAGCTCAGGAAAGAGATGTCGGAGGACGAACAGCCGCTCTGTCCTTGCTCTCGACAAAACAGGAAGATTACATTCCTTTCTTGCTAACATAAGCTCCAGAAAGGAAAGGGAGCTTGGGGATAAGATGCCCAAGGTTTTCTCCCAGCTCTGCTTCCTCCACGGTTTGGTGTTTGTGGCTGTGGGTAGGGCTGATGGTACTTTCAGGCGCCCATAAAATGTTTTTAATTTAGAAGGGGAAAAAATGAACTTTTAGATCAAAGAAACTGTTTTCATAGATAATACTAATTTTTTTCTGTTTGGTTGTTAATCTTCACCCAAGGATATTTTTTCCACTGATTTTTTTTTTTTTTTTTTGAGTGGAGGGAGGGAGAGAGAAACATCGATGCAAGAGAGACATATTGATTGGTTGTCCCCTGCATGACTCCCATTGGGGCAGGAGATCGAACCTGCAACCCAGGTACATGCCCTGACTGGGAATCAAACCCGAGACCCCTCGGTCTGCAAGCTGACACTCCAACCGCTGAGCCAAAATGGCCAAGGTGTTTTTGTCTTTATATGAACACAGTTATAAATATAATTTAACTTTTTTTTTTTTTAAATGGAGCAAGGAGTCCAGGAAGGCACAGTACTCAGAGCCATGACAGTCATGAGTCCCCAGCTGAAGGGGTCTAGAAAAACCCCAAGGAAAGGATGTATCGTTTTACATAATCAGCTCATGTTCCACTCCGTGAGTTCAGATCATTGTGAGCCGGTTATAGAGACCTGGGGTTATATAACCCGTCACCCACTTAGTGTGCTCCACCCACGAACCTGGTGCCCATGACTTCCAGGCTTGACCTTCAGTGACAGTATATTTTTGGGTGAAGTGAAATAAGACTGTGCTTCACTCAGGGTTGGGTGTTTGTTTTTTTTTTCATTTCCCCTTTACCAATGATCTATAGAGAGATGTACCTGCATGAAAACTACCTAGTTTTCACAATGACATCACCTTCCCTTTAGTGTGCACTGGGGGACTGTGTTACCATATGCTGAGAGGTTTACTGTCATCCTGTTATTAAAAACAAACAAACATATCCTTGCTTAGTTGATACCTTCGATTCTTTCTGGGAGAATGGATCTTAGAGATGTTCACTGCATATTATAAATGTCAAAGACATTTTTGATTCAATTCCTTGTTCTTTTCATTTTATACCCCACCCCACCGCCACCCCAGGGCATCTTGGATTGTATAAGTGCTCATTCATAAGCCTTATATGTGTAAGCCTGATTTTGCTAACAAAGAATATTTTCATACTTTGGCCAAAAGTTTTCAAAACCATTGTCCATTTCTTCCGGTAAATCTAATCTTAAAAAACCTCAATTCAAATGTTCTGTTTTGGTTTTAGAAATGCATTTTGGAAAAGGTCAGACTGTTTGGATCACTTGAAAGGGTTTTTCGGAACAAGATAATTCTTTAGGATTTCTCTCATGAGTTGTTTTGACCACAGCCAGTGTTTTCTGACTCTTCCAGGTTTCAGGGTGACTTGTGTTTCTATAGACACGTTAGGTTCATCATTCTGTTTGGGGCCCAGGAAAATTAATGGTGAGAAACTGATATGATGAGTTTCACCTTCCAAGATTCTTTCCACTGAGATTTTCAATTACCCTCTTGTGCCGTCTGAAAGGTTAATTTTAAAACTAGTACCATATCTAATTATGTTAGGAGCACATGACTTCTAAAGGACAAATCTGTATAAACGATTACCCTTGGAAGAAAGCTACACGTAAGCAGTTTGTCCTGGTTGTTGGAAGAACATCCCTTTCGGCTCTCCTGTTGTTGCACCTGCCTGAGGTTCTGTGTTTATTTGTGGTATCATCTGCTCAAAGGATCTTATTATAGGCACATGTGTTCCGAAGGGTGTTACTAGTGATACATGTTCCACATTAAAAATGGTTTAATACTCTTTCCTCCCTCCTCGCCCGCCCACACCTCTCCCTTTCGCCCATCTGTCTACTTACCTTCTTCTCCCTCGGGCTGCTCGCTGCCAGTCGGCTTTCCTCCGCGGATGTCGGTCCGTCTCCACTGCCTGTCTTTTCTTTTGGGAGTTCTAAAGCTCACCTGCCTTCCACCCTCCGCTCTCTAGGAGTACCAGGCTCAAGTGGAGGAAATGAGGTTAATGATGAATCAGTTGGAAGAGGACCTGGTTTCGGCAAGAAGAAGGAGCGATCTGTACGAGTCGGAGCTGAGAGAGTCCCGGCTCGCCGCCGAAGAGTTCAAGCGGAAAGCGACGGAGAGCCAGCATAAGCTGATGAAGGTACCCCGCCGGCAGTGTGTTTCGGGGTGAAACCCTGGATGATCTTAGCAAGGATGAAAGGGCTACTAGCCCGATGAGTCTGTGTTGGGGGAAAAATGGGATACCGTGGAAAGTTCCTGGTCTTTATTTATGGAAGATAACTGATCATCATCATCATCATCTTCTTCATCATTATTGAGATCACAGAGACTGAGAAAGTATAGGAGGTAGTGTTGTCGATCGGACTTTTTTATTCATGAGACTTCACATTGTCGTCATCTCTCTTAAATCACAGGCTAAGGATCCAGGGAAGCCTGAAGTGGGAGAATATTCCAAGCTGGAGAAGGTATTTTCCATGATTGCTATTGCTATTAGGGGGGGATGATGTTTTAAGGGCGCCGTCAGTGTTCATTCATTGGTGAGAATACTGTTGGGTTGAAGGGAGAACTTTCTTCCTGCTTTATTTTGATGGTCGACCTCCAGGTGACCGCCTTTAGCTTCAGCTATGGTTCTAAAGGGATAAAAGAGACCTGATGCCTGCTCACAGTAACAAACGAACCCAGACTCTTCATAAAATACAGGTGGACATTCTCATTGTCTTCAAGGCACTGGGCGACTTGATTCTCTCTTTGCCATCTTGTATGTTGCGGGTTCTAGAGACATAGTCACCGTGGAGGTTTGTGCTGGGACATTCATAGTCTTTTCTGATGGGCCACCTGTTTTTCCTCTCCATTAGTAGGTTCTGGAAAACAAAACAAAAAGACCCCACAGAAACCTCAAGAAAATAGGACTGCAGTAAATGTAGCAAGACCTTAATACCGATTTGCCTTTTGCTTTATTTCCTGGGATTTTAATTATAGATCAATGCTGAGCAGCAGCTCAAAATCCAGGAGCTCCAAGAGAAGCTGGAAAAGGTAAGCCCGAGGGGATTTTCTTGGGAACTTACCCCCTGACTTCCGAGCACTGTGCCTCGCCGCCTCCTGGGGCGTGAAAGGAAAGAGACAGAGCCAGTCACCCAGTGCCCAGGAGAATGAGGGGGGGTGAGCTAGTACCTGAAAATATGAGAGTTCCGAATATACTTTTTCTTTTGAGATGTGTCAGCAGTGTTTATTTTTAAAAACCAAGCTGTGTGAGACTCTCAAGAAAAATTTCCAACTATACTATGACAGAACCCCAGAAGCCAGCTTCTCTCCCTTTGTGGGGCCCGGCTCCCCATTTTTCACATTTGTAAGAGAAGCATGTGTTCATGACCCAGACTGCTTTCCGTGAGAAACTCTGGGGGCGGCACTGCTGTGCACTGGGAGGTGGAAGGAGCGTCATCGTCCGGCGCAGGGAGGGGTGGGGACGCTGGGCAGCCCCCTGCAAAGTTTTGCTACTTGAACCCTGGAAATACCAACGGAGGGGCCAGAATGAATGTGGTTCCGAGACCTGCCTTGTGGATGTTTGTGACGGTGTTTATTGGATTCGTTTAGTAGAGCCCTTTCTTGCTATTCTTTAAAAACAAATTATGGTAAAAACACGTAACATTAAATTTACCATACTAACCATTGTCACTGTACAGTTCAGTAGTATTCACTACATTCATGTTGTTGTAACAATGGATCTGGGTCTTTTCCATCTTGCAAAACGGAAACTCTACCTGCCAAACACGAATCCCCCTTTCCTGGCCCCTGCCCTTGGTAACCACCTTTTTGTTTTCTGTTTCTATGGTTTTGACGGCTTTGGATACTTACTATGAGTAGAATAATACAGTATTTGTCCATTTGTGACTGGCTTATTTCACTTAGCATGATGTCTTTGAGTTTCATCCATTTTGTGGAATATGATAAGATTTCCTTCTTCAAGGCTGCATACTATTTCATTGTATCTTCCACGTTTTCTTTATCTATTCATCTCTCCCTTCTTACCCATTCTTGAGCCACTAATGAAAGCCTTTGCTGCCCTTTTTCAGCTAGAAGCTTATGTAAGGAAGGGTTCATATTTTCATCTAGAACTGTGCTCTCCAACAGAAGTATGATCAAGCCACAAATGTCAGCCACGGATGTAATTTAAACCTTCCTAGTAGGCACATTAGAAAAAGCAAAAAGAAACAGATGGAATTATTGGAATGGTATAGTTTATTTAATCCAGTATATCCAATATATCATGGTAGCATGTGTCCATATTCAAATCTTTACACTATTTCAGTTTTTATATGAATCAAACAAAGAATTTAATTCCTAGTCACACCAGCCACAGTCAGGTGCTTAGGGGCCACCCATGGCTAGTGGCTCCCATGGGGATAGTGCTGGTCTCGAAATTGGAGTTTTCTTGCAGTTTCCACTTTAAAATTTTGAGTTTCTATTTTTTTTAAATTTTAATATAAAGCAAGAAAATGTGAGGTTGTTGGTTTTTTAAACTCAGGTCTTTATTATGATGCTATTAGAGCAGCAGTATAGTGAAGACCCAAATACAAATTAACTTCAAAAGGTATTACTTTAAAAAACAAAACAAAACACAGCCCGGCTGGTATGGCTCAGTGGTTGAGCATTGACCCATGCACCAAGAGGTCGCCAGTTTGATTCCCGGTCAGGGCACATGCCCAGGTTGTGGGCCAAATCCCCAGTAGGGGGCATGTAGGAGGCGGCCAGTTGATATTCTCTCTCATCGATGTTTCTCTCTCTCTTTCCCTCTCCCTTCCTCTCTCTCTAAAATCAATCAAGAAAAAAAAATTTAAAAACCAAACCAAACACAGATTTGCAAATTACCATGAACACTACGGTTGTTATACCTTTTGAAAGGTACTTATTTGAAAAATAGATTATAGTACAGTTTTTATCTTTTCTTGTAAATGAAGTTTACTTTCTCCATAGGAAAATTAGCAAACGAGATAATTAAATAAGGAAAAAACTAATGCTCTGAGGCAAATACATTATTACCTGGGCAGAGAAACCCTTCTAGACTTTTGTGTTTGCATCAACTACGATGCTAATGCTTATCAGATACATACACCATTATCTCATGTACCCCAAGTAGGAAAAAATGCTGTCAATTTTCATTATAGGATGCATTCCAAATTCAGCAGTGTTAAAAAATATACAAGTGCCCCTTAGAAGAGACAAAATACAGAACAGAATGAATGTTTCTGTGTTTTGAAAAACGGCCATACTATGAGTACTCAGTGTTCCCTGTGCTTCCCATGTGACCTCCTGTCTCCTGTTCCTTCCCCGCCGGCAGGCTGTGAAAGCCAGTACAGAGGCCACCGAGCTGCTGCAGAACATCCGCCAGGCCAAGGAGCGTGCCGAGCGCGAGCTGGAGAAGCTGCAGAACCGTGAGGATTCTTCTGAAGGCATAAAAAAGAAGCTGGTGGAAGCCGAGGTGAGCAGGGGACCGCCAGCCCGTGGTGGACGGACCCCGGTGCCGGCGTGGCCACATGGGGGTGACAGTGACCTTGGCCGTGCCAAGGCACAGGCACTGCAGAAACACCTCTTCCTTCCGTCCGACCAAACTGCGCTCCCTTCTGCAAATCCCGTGGCATTTGAGAGACCCGGAGGCGTTTTCCCCCAAGGAGAAGACAGATTTGCCACAGCAACTTCACGTAGAAAGATGTTTTGATGGAAGCTTTTCCTTCCTGCTTTCCTCCGCTCACTCATCTGAGAGGGTTTACACATGTTTACGTAGACAGATTGTATCGCCATCCTGAGTGTTTCTCTTTCTTCCCTCTGTACCCTCATTTTTCCTTGCGTTTCCCCCACGGTGTTAATAACATGACTTTTCAAGGCTTTAGCTACTACCCGTGTGTCGATGACTTCCCGGATCTGTATTCCTGGGCATCTTCTCCCCCTCAAATTCTTTGTTGTTGTTGTTGTCGTTGAAATCGTAGATATAATTATACAGGAAATACACGAGGGTCTTCTCGTTGTCAAAAACTTAAACAGTACTAAAGACTATAGGATACAAAGTGACCTCCCCTTTTCTCCTGTCCGTCTCCCCTAGCTCCTTGGTGATTGGTCCACAGAATGGATGTGCCAGCGTTGGTTTAACCACGCCTCTGTTGCTGGGCCTTCTGCCTTCCCTCTCGCAGTGCTGGCACGACCCGCCTGCTCCCGTCTCTTCGGACATCCTCCCCTGTGTTCAGGCAGTATTTTCCACTGCTCCCCTGACATCTGGACTGGGTGTCTGAACAGTGCGTCAGGTCTAGAATGAACTCGGGCTTCCCCCACCAACTGAGTTCCCTTCTCGATCTCCTCCTGGTGGTCAGGGCCACCGTCATTCATCTAGTCACCCCCGGCTTGGCCCCTCGACATCATATCTGCTTCTCCGTGGTCCCTGCCATCCAGAGTCACTCAGTCCTATAAATACAGCCGCCCAGTCCCCCCCGTTCATCCCCCTGCTTGCCGTGTCTCTAGGCCTCCTCACGGACCAGGCCCTCTTCCTCTTAGATGAGCAGTAGTAATTTTTGTGCCTTCTGCTTCTGGTCTGTCCTTTCTCCCAGCTAGCTCATACGGTGTGAGATACGTGGACCTCAGAGAGAAGGCTCATCAGCACCCTCTACCCCATCCCAAACCTTTCAGGGCTCCCATATTTCTTAGGTGCACCCCTGAGCCTGGTATATGAAACTCACAACGCTCTGACCCACCGGTTTTGAATTTCACTTTTCTCCTCCTCCCTATCACGCATCTTCAGCCGTGGCTGCTCCAGGCGTCAGCTGGGCCCTAAACTGGCTCTTGACGACCTCGGTGTTTCTGCTAATGTACCTACCTGTGTCCGAGAGGCCTTCCACCCTCCTCTTCTGCCCCCCGCATATCCCCATCCTCTCCAGAGCTCACATCTCTGTGACTCGGCCCCTCACCTGCTGGGTAAAAGGTTCCCTTTCCTGCCTCCGACCTTCCACAGCACTCTGTACTCTACCTGCTCTTAACCTATGTTGTGTTTACCTGTGTTTGCCTTACCTTTTGCAAGGGCAAGAGTCATGTCGGCTTCCTCTCTGTATTCTCCGCGATGCCTAGTGTGGTACTTTTGCAGATAGTAGGTGCTTGGTAAATATTTGAATGAATGAATGCACTCCTGTAACTCACACAACCGACTCCTTGAATTCTAGAGTCTTACTTTCTTCGCTGTTGCTGCGGGTGCCTGAGACTTCTCTTCCCGCCTCCAGTGCAGGCGGTGTGCCCGTAGCGGTTACCCCATTAAAACTCTCTGATTGATTCACGATCTACAGGAACGCCGCCATTCTCTGGAGAACAAGGTAAAGAGGCTAGAGACCATGGAGCGTAGAGAAAACAGACTGAAGGATGACATCCAGACAAAATCCCAACAGATCCAGCAGATGGCTGATAAAATTCTGGTGAGCAGGAACCAAAGTTGAAAAGTTAAAAGATAACAGGTTAGAGGCTACAGAGGGAAGGGGGTGAAAAGAAGCATTAAGCACCACCAGAGGGGAGATAATCACCAAGTAGGTGAATTAAGAGAAGTTATTTCAGCCTGGCCGGCTGGTGTGGCCGAGTTGGTTGAGCGTCATTCTGTGCACCAAGAGGTCGCTGGTTCGATTCCTGGTCAGGGCACATGCCCGGGTTGTGGGCTCGATCCCCAGTGGGGGGCGTGCAGGAGGCAGCCCATTGATGTTTCTCTCTCATTGATGTTTCTATCTCTCTCTCCCTCCTTTCCTCTCTCTATAGAAATCAATAAAAACATTAAAAAAAAAAAGAGTAGTGATTTCAGTGTATGCCACATCAGAGAACAGTATGAATCACCAAATTTTGGACATTTTCAGCACTGGTAACAGATCCGTAAATATTTTTTATTTTTGCTCTGTTTGCTACTGCCTGACATTTTAAAATATAAGTGTGCACACTCTGTCGTTTCCGATAGATGTTTCCAGGGGCATTTCCATCCTTCTCTGCGCAGAGTTTTGTATGGTTGTTAACTTTGCTGTGCCAATTAAAAAAAACTGTAGGACTTTAGACCTTTAAGACCAAAACCCAGATTCTTGCTTTTGGTGAAGAAAAGAATTAGTCATGCAGAACTGTTTTTCTCAGAGTAGTATTTGTCATAGACCAGTGCTCTCCCACTCACTCTCTGACACAGTTGGTGGTGGTTGTTATTATTTTTCAGTTTCCTTAGAAGTAGCAAGGTCTTTTTTTTTTTTTTTTTAGCTCTGTAATCATCATGATTCTGTTTTCAGTTCTGGTGACCAGTTTAACTAAATCGAGAAAGGCTCGGGTGCTACTTGCAGATGGGTTCAAGTTTCGCCCCTGCCCGGTGGAACGCGGGTGAACCTTTGAAGGAGTCTCCTTGGATCTCAGTCCCAAAGCCAGGAATCTGATGCCCCTTAGTGATGACTTGGGGTCTGTTCATAGCTCCCTCCTCCCCCGCCCCAGAAGACACTGGAGTAGTCGGCTGTTTCTCTCTACCATAAGGAGGTGGGGCGGTGAGCAGGTCACTTCTCTCTCTCTCTCTGTATCACTTCTGGGAAAATGAGTCATGTGAACTCAAGAATAGCCAACTTATAGGCCTATACTTAATACCAAAAAAAAAACCCCACAAAAAACCCCCAACCTTTTAAAACTTTACATTTCTATGTTTGTATATATTCACAAGCATATTGATGCTCTTGAGCAAACAGGTGAAAGAGAAACTGGTTAGATTGTTTTGCTTGGACACAGCCTGTCAGAGCCTTCACATATACGTCTGTACACAAAGGCGAACGTGACTGTTGGTCTGCCCTTTCTGTTCTCTTTTTCCGTCATCAAAGTTTCTCTCGGCGATTGTCAAGTGTGTGAATTTTATCGTGAGTAAAATTAGATCCCATTGAGATCCCACCACGACTATCCCTTGCTTTGTGCAAACGAAGTGGTTAAGTCTCTTGTGGTTGCAAAGTGTTTCTCTGTTTACTGGTGATGTGTTCATTCATTCATTCAACAAATATTTAATGAGCTTCTACTATGTGCCAGGCACTGTTCTAGGAGCTGGAAATAGAGCAGTGAACAACAGTGTTTGCAGAACAGGACTGAAGAGTTTGAGCTAATCCATGTAGAAAAGATAATGTTTGAAAAAATGACAACAACAACAAAAAATGCCCAACTGCCAAGAAGTCAGATTTTAGAATATCTGCTTTTCCAGAGGTTCACTTGCAGTGAATATGTAGGAGTATGGAACTCCACATTCTTTGATTATGTGTTGTAAACTCCCATTCATATATAGACCAGAAACTCGGTCTTAAAGTTGTCAGTCTCAGGTATCTGAGTTTTTGACCTGTTTTAGATTCTGATTTCCATTCCTGTACTATCTTATAAGGACTGAAACTAAGAAAAGACGATTATCAAGTTATTTATAACATTAAAAAAAAAAAAAGTAAGCCTATCTCTTTATCCAAAGGTAACTTGCCACCTGCCCGAGTTCCTTTGTGCTTGTGACTTCATTTATCAGAAAGTGCCTTTTGCTCAAGAACACTGTGCTTAGGCTGCGAAGTATCTAGGACATGGGCAAAGGTGGTCTTTAATACTGTTATATAATGATAATGCTTGGAACAGATCCCAGAATGTCATTTGCTTTAAAATATTTGCTATCCTGGTACGAACTTTCAATATAGACAATTGGGGTTCTCATTATAGCAAAGTCTTTTGCTTTAATAAACTAAGTCATTGCAGAGGATCCTTTAGTATATACATCAAGCCCTTAAATTGTGTTTTTATTAATTATAATCCTGTTTACGTTCAACTTTTCAAGATTGCATCTGTTAGATTGCAACAAATCTTGTGTACTTAGTCTTAAAATTGAACATCTCACATCCTGTCGGTGTGGCTTAGTGGATTGAGCGTTGTCCCATGGACTGAGAGGTCCTGGTTCAATTCCCGGTCAGGGCACATGCCCGGGTTGCAGGCTCGATCCCCAGTAGGGGGTGTGCAGGAGACAGCTGATTGATGTATCTCTCTATATCGATGTTTCTATCTCTCCCTTCCTCACTCTCTAAAAAATTAATAAAAACACGTTTAAAAAAATTGAACACCTCACTGCCCCTGAAGCAAAGCCAACGCTTGCAGACTTTAGAATTTCAAAAGCTTAATCAGTGATATTTTTAGAGCATGTGAATTTGAAAATATTTTTTCCCATTTTATGGACATATTCTGTATAATTTCTTGAATCTTCAAAATTCTCATAATTACTTTCACTTTAAAGAAAAATTTCATAATCTGAAGAGATGAAAACTTGGAGTAATGTTTATTTGTTTTTGTTACCTTATTTTTGGAGTAATACCTTTTTATATTAGTAATTAACTAATGGGTCTAGATTCATAAGACTTAATGTAGATGAGATATGAGATCTGCACTCAGAGAATGTTTCAATGAATTGAATGTCGCCTTTTATAAATCAGATTATAATACATTGGCAAATGAAGTGGTATAATTTTCAAATGAATTAGTTTTGTTTAAAAGCAGAATACTTAATAAAAGAATGCAGAGAACATTAAATTTGAGTTATTTATATTACTCCAAATTCTTTTCCCATCTCTAATGTATATGGATACATATTTACATTATTATTATCAGCGTGTTTTATGTTCTGCTTTGTTACCATTAGCTTGTATCCTATAAATCAGCGATTTTCAACCGGTGAGCCACAAGGATTTTTAAGACATGCAATACCTATTTAGCCAGGGACACTGACCTCTTTTCCTTTAGATTGTCAAATAAAAAAGTGACAGCAGCCAACATAACAATAGCTGTATGGTATGAATGAATCAAAATTACACCTATTTTTTTTTTTTCAAATTGGCAAAAAATATATATATATTTTTTGGTGTTCCACAGAATTTTAGTAATTAGTTTATGTGGCCATGAGATGAAAAAGGTTTAAAATCGCTGATGCAAACATTAGATCATATGAATGTTTCGATTCACACATTCTACATACCAATCAGTTGAAATAATCATTTGAAACTCAGTGTTTGAATTGTAACATCAGATTTCTTTCTCAGCTAGAGTTCTTGAGCAATCGCTTTGTTAATGAAGAACATACAAAATATTATCATAATAAATTAACTTTAAATTAAAAAAAAATTAAAATTACTTTTCTCGTTTAAGGCTGTCATAGCAATGAAAATGGCCTGAGGCTCAAGATAGTGGTCAGGGGCTTTGCACTGTACTAAACTTTCAAATGTTGCTTTGTTACTCTTATTTCTCTATGCAGATATGAAGAGCTGCCTTTGTTTGACCTGTCACACTGACAGATTTCTGATCCCTGCTCACCAGCTGTGTGTGTATATGTGTGTATACTTGGACTTGGGAAGCCCAGGGCCAAGGCTTGGTGGCGGTCTCCTTCCCAAGAGCCTTAGGGCTAGTGATGAAGGAGCAGTTGCCTGTAGCCTACGGTGCCTGTGTCAAAGTCATGTTTCCTGTGAATGTCTAACATACACTGGCTATGTTCTTCCCTTTGCATACCTGACCATCTGTTCTTTTGTGTCCAGGAGCTGGAAGAGAAGCACCGTGAGGCCCAGATCTCAGCCCAGCACCTAGAGGTTCACCTGAAACAGAAAGAGCAGCACTATGAGGAAAAAATTAAAGTAAAGACACTTTCTGATCTTCCCTGGCATTCCTCCTATAGTACCATGTAGCTTCTCTCTCTTCCTGGGCACTTTAGGCCATTTCTTGCCAGACCAAAGGACTGTCTGGGATAAATGCCTTCCTTAGGCCATAGTGGAAGGTTTTGGGGTGTTATCCATGTTGGGGGCATGGTTATCAGGGGTTCAAAAATTCTTTTATTTTAAAAATTGGGTCATTATGTATCTCAGTTTTATTAAAACAATTTTTTTTTTCCCCACCGTTATTCAGTCCATGATAATTTTGATTTAGACAAATTCACCACATCCTTTGCTTTTAGTTTCCTTCCTGCATCTTAGACCTGGAATCTTTTTTTGGTTTGTTTGTTTAAAGCATATCCTTAAAAATAAGTGTTTTAGCCCTGGCTGGTTTGGCTCAGCGGTTAGAGCGTCGGCCTGCGGTCCTGAGAGACCCGGGTTCGGTTCCCGCTAAGGGCGCGTACCTCGGTTGCAGTTTGTCCCCGGCCCTGGTCGGTTGTGCGAGTGGCAGCCACTCGATGTGTTCCTTTCACATCGATGTTTCTCTCTCTCTCTCTGTTCCTCTCTCTCCCTTCCACTCTACCTGAACAAAAAATAGAAAAATGTCCTCCGGTGAGGATAAAAAAAAAAAAATAATAAGTGTTTTAATATTAGTTTTGGGAATACAGCATAATGGTTAGACATTTGTATAATTTATGAAGTGATCCCTCTAATAAGTCTAAAGTGTATCCTTGAGGACATTCTTTGTTAAAGTTCTGGTGGTGACAAACTCTCCATTCTGTTTGTCTGAAAATGTCTTTATTTCATTCTTATCCTTGGACTGTATTTTGGCTGGGTATAGAATTCTTGGTTGGCAATTATCATTCCATTGACTTTTGTTTTTTATTACTGCTACTGAGAAGTCAGCTGTCAATCTAACTGTTGCTTTTTTTGGAAATTGATTGATTTTCTCCCCTTTGACTCTTTTTAAAATTTTGCTTTGTCTTTAATTTTCTGAAGTTTTACTGTGATGTGTCTAGGTGTAGATTTTTTTTTTTTTTTTTTATCCTCACCCGAGGATATTCTCCATTTTTTGTACAGATAGAGTGGGAGGGAGAGAGAGGAAGGAGAGAGAGAGAGAAACATCGACGTGAAGGGACACATCGAGTGGCTGCCACCCGCACGACCAACCAGGGCCGGGGACAAACTGCAACCGAAGTACGCGCCCTTAGCGGGAACCGAACCCGGGTCTCTCCGGACCGCAGGCCGACGCTCTAACCGCTGAGCCAAACCGGCCAGGGCTAGGTGTAGATTTTTAAAAATATATCCTGCTTGAGTTATACTGAGCTTTGAACATATTGGTATTTTATAATATTTCCTGAAAATCATTGATCATTCTATCACAAATATTGTCTCTTCTCTTTCTCTTCTTTCCTTTTTCTTTTAGAATTTGATTAAGCATGTGTTAGATTGCCTCCAATCTATCCTTTGTTTATGTTTACCATTTTTTTTTTATTTGTTATTGCTGCATTCTGGGTAAGTTCTGATGGGTTTTTCATTTTACTAGCTCTTTCCCGTTTAATCTGCTGTTAAACCTACCCATGGAGTTTAAAATTTCAGTTACTATATTTTGTTTTTAGACATTCTATTTGGTTGTTTCCCAAGTTTCCTAGATTTTTTAAGACAATACTTTTTCTGTTTCATGCATTCATTTCTGAGCTTGTCTTTTATTTCTTTAAGTGCATTAAGCATACTTGTTTTATGATAGTATCTAATTCCAATATCTGAAGTATCTGAAGGTCTGTTTCTGCTCTGTTGTTTCTCTTGGTTCCTTTTCATGGTGCCTATCTTTTTGTGTGCTTGGTGAGTGCTCATTTTCTTTGGGAAATTATTAATGGGAATTCTTTGAGACCTTGAATGACAATGTGTGCCCACCTTGGTGGTAGTGGTGCTGCTGGTGGGGGTTGACCATAGGCTTTGACTTACCTGTCTTCTTATCCTTTGAGGTTATTAAAAATGAAAGTCCGGTTTATTTGGCTTAGCAAATGCCTCAAGTTAAAAACTGCTTTGTGCCATTTTTACCTTTCTGGCTTTCTGCTTTCACTTTTATGTGCTTTTGGGAAAATGTTTTCTGTGTTTTATCTAGCAACATTAAGTCATTCTCTTTAGAAAAGGTGGCCTAAATAATCTAACCTACTATATAAAACACTACATTCAGTTACTATTTTAATTATCGAAATTATTACTTTAATTCAATTATTATTAATAAATCCAGTGATCACTAATGGATGCCAGCCTATCTATTTCCTTTTAAAATCACAACACATTTTTATTATGATTTTGGACCTAGCTTTTAATTCTTATGTTCTAGAGAATCAGACATTGGTCATTAAATCTCAAATACTATTTCTTCCCTTTCCAAATCAGACAGTGAAGAAGGCTTTTAATTTTTGTGATGCTGCTGCTATTGATTTGGTTGGTATTCTCAGAGTTGACTGGTCTTCTTTTTTTTTTTCTTGGAGAACCAAACATGTACTCACACAGCATCATCACCATCACCACCTTAGTACCTTCCTTCTTTTACCTTTGGTGTTACTTTTGGTTATCTTTTTATTAAAAGAAATATAGGAAAATAATCCAGAAGTGACCTCAAAGTATTTTAATGTGACCCCTGCTTCAGTGCATTTCAAACTTTATATACCAGTCCTTTTGGTTTGAATTGTTACTGGCATCCAGACTTTTATCTTCGGCATAGACTGACTTTCCTAATATTAGGAGCATGTTTACAAGAGTCCATTGGCACCTTTGCATGATGAAAAGAACCCTTTGCAAAATTCATCCTGAGATTTGCGTGATTACATTGACTTTTCCTGTCAAAAAGCCATGTTCTGTCATGACCGAGGCTTGTTCCTTCTGGCCCACCCTTACCTCTTACTGGTTTGCATCCTGCCAAAGTTGAAGTCTTTTCTGAGCAAAGGCATCCTGAAAATTATTACCATGTCCTTCATTGCTTTAGCACCTCGTAAAAAAAGAGCATGCCTGATCTAGATGTTGTGTGGTCTCTGCTGCCTTCCAGATGGAAAAACTTTGTCTAGGGATGTTAGGGAGAAGATCTCCTGTCTTCTGTCTTCCCTCCTGGAATCTTCATGAAGCCATTCCTTTTCAGCCTGGTAGCTTTGTGTTTTCTGTTCTGGCCTCTATAAGGCCATTGTAGTTATAATTATGATCATAGCCTAGATTCTGTCCTTTTTTTGTTCATAATTTTAGAATCATGCCCTGACATCCAAGAGAATGGGCCACTTATCCTATTGAGCTTCTTCCCTCTTCTCATGACCCTGCCTTCCACCTTTTGTTCTTCTCCACCAACTCTCATTCTATTTTTTTTTTTTTTGGCCATCAGTCGGTTCTAGTTTAAAGCCCTCTTTGAAATCTGTTCTTTCCTTTCTTCCTCATGTGGATCCCCTCCCTGCTGACTGGCTCTTTTTAGGGACAATGTCCCCATGGTCTGTGAAGGTCCCTTCACAATAGACATTGTGGGAAATGCAGATTTCCATCCCATCTGTGACCCCAATGCTTTCGGCCTTCTTTCCAGCCTCGGATGCAGTTGGTGTTATTCAGAAAAGCAGAGTGGATTCTCTCAAATGAGAAACACAGGGCTGTGGTCAAAGGCTTAGACACGTTATGATGTTGTCTTTCTTTTCCGCTTGTCGTTTTGGTGACCAGTGGGGTTTGCGGAACATTAGATCAAGCTGGTGGATGGTGACACCATTACTGTTTTATCTTTTCCTCTTGGGAACAGTAGGTGCTTAGAGTGGTGTTCTCAGCACTGAGAACACATGGTTTCCCTTCCCCTGGGGAAGGTTTCTCTTTCCAGTGACTTTTTTTGCAGCTGGATCAGAGGACAGAACTGAGGAAAGAGGCATTTGTTGTTTTTCTTTCTTCTGTGTTGACTCTCCACCTACTTTACTGATGGGCAAAATCCTCTTGTCCCTGGTGATTTCTGAAAATCAGCTTTGGTCACACAGACTTCCTCAGTCTTCAGCTTTCTGTCTCTTCATACCCAGCCCAGAGATATCTAGATTAATTTTGTACAAATTAAGAGCAAGCAACATTCTGAGAACTACTGGTGCATTGACTGCGATAAAGTTGTCCCCAGGTAATATCTTCAAATTATAAGATCTGTGGAGAGAGCTTATTTTCTCTCTCATTTTGGAGTTCACCTCCATTTTGGATATACCTCTTGGATCTTTTTGGCTGCTGATTTTAAAATAAGTCCTTAGTTCAAGTCCATGAGTTACTTGCCATTTCATGGTGAGACCTCTTAACCTCATTCAGCTGAGAAACAGACTTCCAGTTCCTCTCTTTGCCCAGAGTTTGGAGGGCTTGTCTTCTCTGCCTTCCCCTCCTGCCTCCTTCCCCATTTGTCTCTAGTGCCCTTGGTCAGCCTTCCCTGCTCAGCTTTGCCAGTCAGGAGCTAACTTCTCCTGTTGTTTCTCATAGGTGTTGGACAATCAGATAAAGAAGGACCTGGCTGATAAAGAGACCCTGGAGAGCATGATGCAGCGCCACGAAGAGGAGGCCCACGAGAAGGGCAGGATTCTCAGCGAGCAGAAGGCGGTGGGTACAAGAAATCCCAAAGCCACTTTTCATAGGAGGGTTGGTAAACCGTGCCAGGAATCGCATCCTGAGACACGTCCACGTCAGCTGGTGAATTAGTCTTTCTGTCTTATCCTGTGGAGTTGGTTGCTAACAGGGGGCGCTCTCTGCGACTTTCCTTCCCTAAGGCAGTGGGGGTGGGGTCAGGATGGCCAGTTTCACCTTCTCACTCTTGTAAGAGCTCATCTGTCATCAGCTAGAACACTGTCCTTCAAGGTGCCTCCTGACATGCCCGGTTTTGCTCAGTGGTTAGAGCGTCAGCCTGCGGACCAAAGAGTCTCGGGTTTGATTTCAGTAAAGGGCACGTACCTCGGTTGCGGTTTGGTCCCCGGCCCTGGTCGGGGTCGTGCGGGAAGCGACCAATCGATGTGTTTCCCTCACATCGATGTTTCTCTCTCTCTCTCTCTTTCTCCCCCCCCCCCCCCTTCGCTCTATCTGAAGATAAATGGAAAAATATCCTTGGGTGAGGATTTAAAAAAAAAAGATGCCTCCTGACAAAACACCCAGTGCCCCTGGTCTCCCTCATGCATGCATTTCCCTTCTCCACTTGTCCATTTCTCTTCTTTCTCATCTGTGTAAGCAGGTGTTTTCAGAACCTTGCTGCTCCTAAGGTTCACCTGTAGCGTTTGTTCACCTGCCCATTGTCTCAGATCCCGCGGAGCCTTTCCACATCGGGTCCTCTGAAGGAGGGGCTGGGGAACTTGTATTTTTAACCAACACCCCTCTTGGTTTTTATGATTCCTTGAGTTGGGGAGACTTTGATGTAGAGAATGTTGGGCAGTAGTGGCTGGGTGATAAGGAATCACCCAGAAAAGGACAACTCCACGGGTGATGAGAAGTGTGAACTTGCAGGTTCACGTTAGAGGCTCCTGGAGGCTCAGGTGACATCCAGTGACAGGGGGGTTTAACGAGGCCTGCTTACTTGCAGAATGCGTTTCCTGAATAGGTCCTCCTGACCATTTCGGACGCAGGCTCCTTAGCTAGCATGGGGACACGTAATCTGTGTTGGTAAAACAATGGAGCGCCGTCGTTTCAGTGAAATCTGTGGTCCTCGGGGTCCAGACTAGTGGAGTGCCCTGTTGCCTCGGGTCAGATTGCCGGGCCCCCGTTACTCTCATTCTGGGAGCACGGTCTGTGCCGAGGTTTCAAAGGTCCCCTGTGTTCCAGATGATCAATGCGATGGATTCCAAGATCAGATCCCTGGAACAGAGGATTGTGGAGCTGTCAGAAGCCAACAAACTTGCAGCAAACAGCAGTCTTTTTACCCAGAGGAACATGTAAGTGTTCGGATTCTCACTGTGTGCATAATTACACTTTGATCTTCTCTCCTGGGGCATAAGCTTCATCCCCCTGTCTGACGGAGCCGGAGCAGATTTAATTACTTCTGTACTTTGGCCCAGTCCCCTACCCCATACTTACGTAATCTGGCCTTCTCTTAAGTGGTCTCTTTCTACCAGGTCTTCTCTTTTGAGCTGGGTTTTCTTAAGTGCTTCGAATTGCCATCAGATTATACAGTGTTTTGCTCTCTTTAATGAGGCTATTTATAGTTTGCTTTTGGAAAGCTGCAGCCCTTGTTTCCAGACTTGCCTCCTGTAATTAGCCAGAGGTGATCTGTGTGCACCCAACTGGGCCCTCTGTTTTGCTGTTATTAAGTTAGGCCCTGGGGGATGAAGTTTGGGGTTTAGCAAGGACTCTCCGTGTTCTAGGAGCTGTTTGATCTTTAAATTACAATCTCCGGAGTGTGTGTGTGTGTTTCTTTTTTCTTTATCTCTTTGGAGAGCTTCTAAAACATTCCCATCTTAGTTTAAATCAGGCTTGGTAGACAGCTTTTTGGTCTTTGAGTCATTCCAGTCTCTGATGCTTCTGAGCAGGCTGGTGGAGAGAGGAGGTGAGCATGGTTTTCCCCAGGGCCCACCTGAAAGAGTTGTTAGGGTACTCTCATACTCTCAGGGGGCCTCTTTTTGCCCTCCTATACAGCCTAGAAAAGAAGATCTACCAAAGAGTGAAATGTTAGTATCTCTTGCATTCCCCTTGACCATACTTAATCCCTTCAGCAAGGGACTCTGAGCCATGAGGATTAAATGGGCCCCTGGGCCCCATGCTGGGATCATACACACGAGGCCAGGTCAGAACAGAGCCAACCTGGGAATGACCACGGTCCACTTACTATGTAAGATAAATCTCTCGCCCTGGCCGGTTTGGCTCAGCGGTTAGAGCATCAGCCTGTGGTCTGGAGAGACCTGGGTTCGGTTCCCACTAAGGGCACGTACCTCAGTTGCAGTTTGTCCCCAGCCCTGTGGGTGGTTGGGTCATGTGGGTGGTAGCCACTCGATGTGTCCCTTTCACGTCGATGTTTCTCTCTCTCTCTCCCTCCCACTCTATCTGAACAAAAAATGGAAAAATGTCCTTGGGTGAGGATAAAAAAAAGACATCTCTCACTCTCTGTCCTTCCGGTGGGACATGCTCACTTCTGACAAGACTGTGCTTTTGCTTGGCCCCCCTTCCCACCCCCCACCAGGAAGGCCCAGGAAGAGATGATCTCAGAACTCAGGCAACAGAAGTTTTACCTGGAGACACAGGCTGGGAAATTGGAGGCCCAGAACCGGAAGCTGGAGGAGCAGCTGGAAAAAATCAGCCACCAAGACCACAGCGACAAGAATCGTCTGCTGGAGCTGGAGACCAGGCTGAGGGAGGTGAGCGGGAGTGCGATCGCCCGGGAGGACTGTTGGTGGACGCAGGGGCCCCAGAGAGTCAGGTGTCAGGCGCACGTCTGCGCTCACCCGCGAAGCACTGTGCTCGGAGAAGCGCCCAGACTGGCACAGGCATCTGGGTTAGAGTTCCACCTCCACTTCTGATGAGATGTCCAACCTTGGGCATCTCTCTGCACATATTTTCTCCTGTAAAGCAGCTGAGAGCTGTGCCTCCCTCCTCAGGTAATTGGCGCATCTTCACGTGGGAGCAGAGCGACTCCTTCGTTTCAGTTCAGCAAGGGTCGCGTGACCAGCCCACGCATGCAGCTGAGCACAGCGTTGGCCATGCTACGTAGTGTGGCCCAGTGACAGTGGCAGAGGTCTCCTAACGACAGTGGCAAATGAAAAGACAAAGCTAAACGTTAGGTTTGTTTGACAGAAGGCGGTTCTCTGCATAGGTGTAAGGATGCGGGAAGGACAGCGAGGATTCGGGGAGGAGAACCCGGCATCGTTGGCTGTGAACATGTGGAGGTTTGGTCAAAGTGCCGAAGTCACGTGCGTGTGCTCGCTCTGTATCTGGAGTGCCTGCTGTGGCCCGAAGTAGCCTGGCACCGGCTGTGACAAGGCAGACCCAGTGCCTGACCTTAGGGGGTCACGCTGGAGGTCAGGGTTACCTGGTGGGACTGCAGCTCAGGAGCGGGGTCGCTGGGAGTGGGCCATCGGGCCGGGATGGAGACGGCCGGCTCACGTGTTTGTGATGGATCCCTCGGAGAGCAGATGGCCGCTGTCCAGGGAAAGCCTGGTGGGCGGCAGAGGTCTGAGGACTGGACCCTGGGGAATACTCCGGCTTAGGCGTATCTTAGTCTGTGCTGGCGTGTCAAAATGAAGCCAGTTCTCCAAAGGACAGGAGTCGCCCAGGGGTGGACCCCAGCGTTAGGACCGGCTGGTGTGGCGATGGAAGTGCAGATCCCTGGGCGTCTTCCTCCCTTGGCCTGTTGGGATGGAAGTGGGGTGGGGTTTGTAGTTTTAACAGGCACCCCAGGAAATTCTTATGCTTCTGGAGTTTGAGAACCATCCTTCTAGGTCATCCAAAAGCCCTCGGGGATGGTTTAACTTGTATCATCCAGGCGATATTTTTACTCTTCAGTAAGTTTAACAGTTCGCCCCTCAGTGCCAGCCTTAAGAGCGTGAGTGTAAGTAACTCGGATCTCTGAGCGTGGGAACACTGGCTGGCTGTCCTTCCCTAATGTCTCTCTTACCTCTCCTGCCCTGCGGCTGCATAGCTCATCTGGGCAATTAAAATGCCCCAAGGGAAGTATGTCGCTTTGTTCTGAAATTAATGTGAGGAAGGTGGGAGAAATTCAGAATCCGGGAAGGGCTCAGGGCTGCCTATGCTCTCTGGGAGTTCCGGAGCTTAGCTTTACCTGTAACGAGGCAGGTCCACCTTCTCTTTGCTGCCTGCTGCTGTTGAGGCGGGGGGCAGAGGCCTTGCCTCGGGTTGGACTCACCCTAAGCGCCCTGGGCTTACCCCACCCTGTGTGCATCGCTGGCTCTTGTCTGGCAAAGTGTGTGGAGCCCTGACCGCGCGGGGCTCCTGGTTCTGTCGGCGCCCAGCGTCCTGCTCGCCCGCCTCCGCTCCTGCCTCTCGTGGTTTGACCAGGTGACCCCAGGGCACTGCAGGCCTGCTAGCGGTGCCGCAGCCCCTCTGAGTGCTGGCCTTGAACAAGGCGGACAGCGGCGGTGCCACACTTCTGGTTCGAGCCGGCCCCCCCTTTTCTGGCCGTGTGGCATTGGCTCCGTGCCACCGTCCGCTGACCTGCCGGCGGAGGGGGCATAGCAGTGCCTCCCCAGTGGTGGTTCTGAAGAGGAGAGTTAGAGCAGCGCCCGGCCTGGAGTGAGTGCGTTCACTGCTGTCACTTCGCTGCCGCTGTCGTCGTCCTTCTCATCCCCCCTGGAGAGGGGCCACAGCCTTGGCTTCAGCTGCCGCTGACTTGTCAACCCAGACCTCTCTCCAGCTTCTGACCCGTCATCCCGGCAGGCACGAGACAGCGTCTCTGCTTGGATGCCTCCTGTTGCTCACGTCCAACACATCAAGACGGAATTTCTTCTCTTTCTCCTCAGACTGGCTGTCCTCTCACGCCCCTGTCCTAACCAGTGGTCTCACTCTGCGTAATTCACCTGCCCAGAAAGGCACACGTGCCCTTCGACTCCCCTCGTCCTTTGTTCCCTGCTCCATCCACCTTGAACTAACCACTAAGTTATGTTGGTTCTCTGGGCTTACACCTTTCTGTAAGTCTTTTTTCTCTTCACCCATGTGGCCTTTGGGAGGCCAATGTCACCTTTTCTGGGGAGACTTCTCCTGTCCTCTGGAGCTGGGTCTGATGTCCCCTTGGTGTCCTCACAGCCTTCCATGTTCCGCTCATCACTCTGTGCACCTCTCCGCAGTCCCCGTTGGGTACTCTGAGGGCACGAGCATCTCTTACCTGCTTGGTACTCAGGATCCGACACGGCCTGCTCCTAGGACAGCCTCGTCAGGGCTGGTTAGGTCAGCAGATGTGCCACCGTCTCCCTCATCTCCATGCCTTTGGATGCCTGGCTTCCCCTGCTTGACTTTTCCTTCTTCTCTGAGCTGCTCATCTGGCTTCCTGTATTCTTCAGTAGACAGATGCAGAGTTAGCGCCTCTACCTCCTCCGCGTTCCCACCACTCCCTGCACGTCCTGACCCTTCCACTGGAGCACGTTGTAGGGTAATGGTTGGTTTTAATTTTTCTTCTGAACTTGAAGGCAGGTGCCGTCTTTCATCTCCATTTTCACTTTTACACAGAAGTTTCTAAGTACATTTTTCTTATATGGATGAATGAAACATTGAGCAGATAGATGACGGTTAGATGGGCAGATGGAAGGAAGAATGTTCATATTGTGATATTAATACTGTTTATCTAATGGGAACAAATCAGAGCAAGAATATTTAAAATATACAGAATTCAGTCTGTTCCATTTGTATTCTAAATATGAAGGTGTTCTGTTACTAATCTGATGTTATTTATATCCATTTACTTTTAAATGCTTTGCTAATAAGAACACTCACTATAATGTCCACTGGAGATTGTCGTGTGGTTTTCCTTTTGAAACCTTCCCAAGCATTTGAATATTATAAGTAAGGTGGTTTGTATATATATCCTCCACATTTTCTTACTCCTGCTGATTTTCAAGACTCACAGAGGTCAGACCTGTTTAATTTAGATCCTCGCCCTCAGTTGAGAGCTGAGGAATTTGATTCCACGACCAACTTTCTGATACACATTGAACAGCAGTTCACATCCTGGCTTCTTTCACCGCTCAAGTCAACCAGGCGTTTGTTTCTCTGTGTCTCAGGTCAGCCTTGAGCACGAGGAGCAGAAGCTGGAGCTGAAGCGCCAGCTCACGGAGCTGCAGCTCTCCCTGCAGGAGCGCGAGTCCCAGCTGACAGCCCTGCAGGCTGCCCGGGCGGCCCTGGAGAGCCAGCTCCGCCAGGCCAAGACGGAGCTGGAGGAGACGACCGCGGAAGCAGAGGAAGAGATCCAGGCGCTCACGGTAGGCCTGGGCAGTGGCCCCCACGGTTGCTAGAGGCCTCCGCTGGGGTGAGCGTGGTGCTGAGGATGTCTGCTCGCTCCCGGAAACCTCGATCCGTGGAGATGTTGAATGGGCAGCACATTGGCTTACACAGGCTTCTCCTCCTTTGGGACTAGTGTGTCTGGGTCAGGTGGCGACGTCTCAGCTTTCCGAAGCATCTCTGAAAGCTCTTCCTGTATTTATGTAGCTTCCCTCTTTTTAAAATAATCATCATTCTTTTTTTTTTCTTCTTTTTCTTTTTTCAATTACAGTTGACATTCAATATTATATTCATTTCAGGTGTACTCATTATTATATTTTAAATTTCAATTTTAGTCGAAGTCTGTTTACCTGAGTCTTCTGCTTTGATTTCCAATAACCATTAAAGAATAATAATCTTATACTTGACTGTAGTCTTTCTACCAAATTTCTGTATTTGTTTTGGTTAACCTTATTTATGTTCCTTCTTTTTTTTTTTAAGTTGTAGATTCTGCTTTATGTCTTATGTATGCATCTGGTGTGATCTGGTATCTATTTTAAATGAGTTTCGATCTTAGACATTGTTCTCCCTTCGTTGGAGAGCCCATTGTCTGAACCCAGTGGGGAATATGATCTGACAGTCCTAATGGACAGTCTGGGACACGGGGCTTCCCGGATCCTGCAGGGACATAGTAATATATGTAGAAGGTGCTTGTGATTCCTAGATTTTCTGGGACTTAACGCCAAGTCCAGGCACTGTCTGCAGCCTGAATTTCCGTGGTCTGTGTCTCTATGAGAACATGTATTGAACACTGTTGGCCACACGCCCCTAATACTTGTTTTGGAAAAAAAAAAGTCACCATATCTCTTTATACTTTGCCTTGTTTTTAGAAAGGTATAAGGATAAGAAAGAAAAGGCAAAGAGAAAGTAAGACCATAGAAGGAAAAAATGGAGTTGGGGATGAAATGAATGGATAAGACTAGACGCAAGGAAAGCTTGGACACTTGCTGGAGTTGGGTGGATGGGGAGGAAGACAGCCAGACAGCATTGCTTAGCTGCTAAAGGAGACACTTAAAAACCAACCAGTATTACATTTACTGCATTGTATGTCAATATTTTGCCCCTGTACAAACACCCAGAAAGAGGAGGCCGGAGTAATTTAATCCATACTGAATGAGTCCTCACTGTGTGCCGAGGGCCATGTCTTCAGCCTTTGCTCCCCAGGGGATTGGCCTGTAATTCCTCACATTCTTTTACATTGGAGGAGACACCTTTCTCTCTCCGCTCAGTTGGAACGGGGAGGGAGGGAGGGTGGGCGGTGGCCGTGCATCTTGTCCTTCCCTTTGGATGGAGGAGGGTGTAAATAGAGCCTGTGTCACCACTGTTTATCTGTGGGGAAATTAGTCTTTAAATCCTGTCTTGCTGCCGGTGGGAATGTGCTGTGTCTAATGGCTGCCGGGAGCCTAGCACAGCAGCAAGTCACGACTTAATTTAGTCAGATGAGATCACTGCCTTACAGCATCTTCTTAGGAAAAAGAAAGAAACAGCCTTCCTAGGTCCAGAAACTAGGGCTCAAACAGTCTCGCAGATGAAGGTGCCACGGAAAACAGGGCTTCTTACAAGTGATGGCACAGAGCTGTCTTCGGCCGTCAGCTGTTTGCAAGTGCAGAACCCCAACCCCGTGTCCGTTGGCTTGCGTTCAGTTCTGAGGCTCTGGGTTTTTCCTCTCCCCTCCTTCTGAGTATGTTCTGTAAACCTGGTTGTGGACCACATGTGGTTGGTGCCTGAACGGCTTTCTGAATTTGTTCTGAAGAATGTATTTTCCAAGAGGAAGAGAAAATGGTCAAAAATGCAGTCTTGGATGCTCTCTCTCTCTCTCACTGTTCGAGGCCCAAGTTCTAACCCAGCATAAGCATCGATTCAATTAAATCAGCTAGATCTACAATGATCTCCCAGGAGGCTTTTCAGCTTCACAATGGGCTGTTTTACCAATTAAAGGGAATAGTCAAATGGGCTCTCATTGCTTATTTCTAAGAGGCGTCCATCTCCTTGCCTGGGAAGGAGTAGTTACCCCATTTGGCCTCCACCTCTGGACCAAATTAGATGGATCGCGGTTCAGCTGAGATCTGCGCTGAAGGAGCTTGGCCACTGCGAGGCCGTTGTTGGCTGCTCTCTGTCCCCACTCTTGCTTTGCCCAGCCTCAATGCATTTGCACTGAAGTTATTGGCTGAAATTTAATCCAGGTAGAGAACAACAGGAGAGTCAAATTTGAGCAAAAAGCCCTACTTTCAAGATGCTTCCTTGCTTACTGGTGAGAGAGAATTTTCTGCCTGGCTTGGAATTTAAGAGTCCATGGAATCCCGTCCTATAAAGAAGAGAATTTGAGTCTGCTCACTTCAGTGCACACAGATGTATGACATGATGTAAGCGTCACTCTGAATGGTGCCGTGGGTGGAGGTGTGGCGGGAGCCCCGTGCACACCAGCAAGGCCCATGGGCACGTTTCGTGTCCCTTTCCTCATGTTCTTTTTTTTTTTTTCTCACCCGAGGCCTTTTTTTTTGGCATTTATCTTCATTTAGAGTTGGAGGGAGAAAGGGGGCAAAAGAGAGAGAAACATCCATGTGAGAGAGACACATCGAGTGGCTGCCACCCACACGACCCCAACCGGGCCAGGGACAAACTGCAACCAAGGTACGTGCCCTTAGCAGGAACTGAACCTGGGACTCTCTGGTCCGTGGGCCGACGCTCTAACCGCGGAGCCACACTGGCCAGGGCCCCTCATGTTCTTTTATTGATTTGGTTAAATTATGCGGAGTAATCAAGAGTCCAAAGCTAGAGACACTAATGAAAGGAATCCTCCCAGCATCGCATGATGATGAGATTCCCAAAGTCAACCTCTTTGATTTGTTAAAATCAGTAGTCAGTTCAGGCTCTCATTTTTTTTTTTTCCTAAATAAATATCAAGCCCTGTATTTAATCAGTAAGCCATCAGTGTGACAACCAAGATGTGAAACTGGGGCACGCACGGTGACATTCTTCCATGGTGCCTGCCTCCACAGGGAAGGGGGGGATGCCTGGAAGCCGGAGTGTTCTAGAATCCTGACCATGGGTCCCAGAAGGTGGTCAGACGTCTAAAACACTGACGTTCCTTTCCTCGGCTCGGGGGATTTTCTCTCATCAAGGCTGCGTTATCATTCTCTTTTCTTTCTTCCTCTTCGAACTCCTTAAAATGAGTGAAGACGTAATGAAGCCTGCTCCTCAGGCCGCAGCCTGTTCATGCTGCCTTACTGCACCCAACCCCTGGCTCGGTAGTTCTCAAAGTGGGGTCTGTGGATCCCTGATGGTCCCCAAGGTCAGGTTATTTTCACAATAATACTAAGATACCATTTGGCATTTTTTTTTTTTTTAATCCTCACCCGAGGACATTTTTTCACTTTTTGTTCAGATAGAGTGGGAGGGAGAGAGACGAAGAGAGACAGACAGAAACATTGATGTGAAAGGGACACATCAAGTGGCCGCCTCCTGCACGACCCAACTAGGGCCGGGGACAAACCGCAACCGAGGTACATGGATTTAGCGGGAACTGAACCCGGGTCTCTGGACCACAGGCAGATGCTCTAACCTCTGAGCCAAACTGGCCAGGGCTCATTTGGCATTTTTTACTGCGTTAACACATTGATGGTACAAAAGCAATGTTATTGTTATCTTAAAAGACATAAAATACAAATATTTGAAACACATCTCAGTTTTAATTTCTAACATGGTAAATATAGATAGACACAACCCACATAAACAGAAGTTCTTTGGAGTCCTCAATATATTTTTTTTTTTTTTATCCTCACCCGAGGACATTTTTCCATTTTTTTGTTCAGATAGAGCGGGAGGGAGAGAGAGGAAGGGAGAGAGAGAGAGAAACATCGATGTGAAGGGACACATTAGTGGCTGCCACCCGCACGACCAACCAGAGCCGGGGACAAACTGCAACCGAGGTACGTGCCCTTAACGGGAACCGAACCCGGGTCTCTCTGTACCGCAGGCGGACGCTCTAACCGCTGAGCCAAACTGGCCAGGGCGTGGTCCTCAACAATTTTTAAGAATAGCTATTCCCTATACTACCTACTGTCTACCTAACACAGTTATTTCACCGAGAGAATTCAAAGCTTGTCTTATGTATTTTACTATCTTTATATATACTATTGTGTGACCTTTTGCTTTTTTTAATGTGTTTGGTTTACAACTTCTTTCAAAGAAACATAAAACACGATTTTTTTGCTTTAAAAAAAATCAGATCAGCCCAGTAATTGTTAAATTATTACAGTATTTCTAGCAGTCACAACAGGATTGGTTCTACATTTTGTGTTTGTATTTCACAGTCAGTAGTAAATAGAAGGCCATGACGACGGTGATTCATCACATTATACCCTCACAGAGGATTGCTATTTGATGTGTCATAATGATCCAAAGGCCTCAGTGATGGTAATTTTAAAGAAAATGAAACAGTATTAATGGTTTAAATTTCAGACCACAGTGGGGACAGCTAAACAAGTTTTTAATGGTTTGGTGTTATTTGGAAACTTTGCTGTTAATAAGAAGGTGGAATTGGTCCTCTATCCCTAAGTCTAAGCCAGGGAGCTTTTTTTATGATCATTGCTTAGGCTTTGAAGGAATTAACTCTACTTAGCTTCTTGTTGCTGTCGCAGAGATTTCACACCAAATAGTCATTTAGAGCAGGGATCAGCAAATTCAGCCTGCCTCCTGTTTTCTGTCAATAAAGTTTTATTGGCACACAGCCATGCCTTTTCTCCTTTTTTAATTAATATATTGAGTATGGCTGTTTTTGTGCTATGAGGGCAGAGGTGAGAAGTTGTGACAGAGACTGAATGGCCCTCAAAGCCAAAAATATTTACTATCTGGTTCTTTAAAGAAAAATTTTGCCCACTCCTGCTCTACAGGCCTTATTCTTCTTTTAGGAAGAATCCTTGCCTTTTGTCCTTGGGATCATGAAATACACGCAAGAGGGCTGGCCAGTCTCTGGGGCCAGGCTGTGCTTGCTCACAGATGAGATTCAACAGCAGTGTAGATAGACACTTTCCTACTTTGGATAAATAGTATTCTTACCCCTTTCAATAAATAAATATCTTGTTTTGTTGCTGGGTAAAAAGCACATTGATATTGGGGGGGGGATGATAATCTATTAGCTTATAATAATAGCTACTTTTTTTGGAAATTGATTCTAAATGATAACTCTAGTTATGAATTTGTGAGTCTGTCTATGCAACTCTGTATTTTTATTTTTATTTTTTACTATTTTTTTTCCCAATGCTCTTCATTATTTCGTGTAGATTTAAGTTTCTGGTTGTCATTTTCCTTCTGCCTGATGGAATTCTTTTAACATTTCTTATAGTACCAATGTGCAGGTGGCAAATTCCTACACCTTTTGTATGTCTGAAAAAGTCTTTATTTCACCTTAATTTTTGAAAGATATTTTTGGTGGGTAGAGAATGCTAGGTTGATAGTTTTTTTCTCTCCCATTTCAGTACTTTAAAGGTGTTGCTCTACTGTCTCCAGCTTGCTTCCTGCCCTCACGTTTCTTGTCTTGGGTACATTGAACTTTTTGCTGCATCTATGAGTTTATGGTTTTCATCAACTTTGGAAAATGTGCGGCCGTTATTTCTTCAAATACTTTTTCTGTCTCATGCCTACACTCCTTCAGGGACTCTAGTTACATGTGTAGGATGAGGCCAAAGGAGGTCTACAGTTGTGAGTACACAAAACACAGATCTTGTTCTTGTATTACTACTTATTGTAGTATTTTTCATATGAACAACTGTAAACCTACTTGTGCCCTACGATCAGGCTGCTTGAAGTTGTCTCACAGTTCATCGATGCTCTGTTCACTTTGTTAAGTCTTTTTTTCCCTTTGTATGTTTCATTTTGCAGTTTCTGTTGCTGTGTCTTCAAGTTCACAATGATTTTCCTGCAATGTTTAACCTGCCGTTATAAACTTATAATATTAATTTATGACAAAATAGACACAGAGAATACATCAGAGCTCTGACGTTTTTGACTTAGTTGTCTTGTAGACCTTCCGATGGAGACTAATTTCTTTTCTTTAAGAGAAGGACTACGTTTGCCTCTGCTCCAAGCTGGATTCTTCTTTGGGTTTTCAGACCTAAGCAAATGATGGTATAATCCACCTTGTCTGTCAAATCAAAAGTTTGTTAGGCTCTGACTCCTCCTTTTCCCTGGCCCCACGTTTGTCAGCAGGTCTTACCCCCTCTGCTGCCACACGAGGTCTGCTTCTCTCTGTCGTTCACCACCGTCCTCTCTTCCTCGGAGGACAGTGGTTTCCCTGCCCCTTCTCAGCCGTCCTGTTTGACCCGTTCTCTGCGGCACACACAGTGAAAGCCAGCCATCTGAGTCTGCTGCTTAAAACAGCACTGGCTCCCAGTTAACTGCATTTTGAATGAAATCCAAGCTCTTTTCTGGACCTTCAAGATTCTTGGTCTCTGCCGGCCTCTACCATTGTCTTAGGCCATGTTTTCCTTTTCTGTGCTTTAGCCAAGTGGTTCTCTACAGTCGTTTGGCTACAACCCACCAAAGAATACATTTTAGCTTGTATTTAATACAAGGGACCATATATAGTATATTTCATTGAAATTTTAGGGTATCTAAAATCAGGATGAATCTTATAATCATACCCTATATATGATTAGATAGTCATATAGTTGTAAACATGTCATGGTTTAATTGATAGCATTTTTTCTTTTGTGATGTCACGTACAATCGTGATAGTCTTACAGTTGATAGCAACTTCAACTGGATGAATTAGGCTATCTCAAACAAATTTTCTACAACAGTGCTTACTGTTGTACAAAAGGTACATTCTGATATATTTTTATTCTGTTCTTTTTATTCCATTTCATTGGATAAAACCAAACCAAAAAAACCCCACTTGTCATGCTCGTCATTGGGTCACAGCTTGAAGTTGAAAACACTGGGTTCCAGCCACTCAGGTTTTTTTCTTGTTCATCAGTTGCACCAAACCCCTTCTTGCCTCAGGGTTTTTGCACATGCTGTTCCCCCTGCCCTTTTCTGTTCCCTGTGTGGCTGGCTCCTCCTCATCCTGCAGGTTTCAGTGTCAATGTCACCTCTTCGGAGAAGCCTCTCTGACCACCCCATCTAAGTAAGTTCCTTTCTAACCCCTTATTCCCCTTTTCTGTTTCCTTTATAGCATTTGTCACACCTTGTAATCATGCATTTATTGTGTTCCACCTTCCCTCAGCAGAATGAAGGCGTGGGCCTACATGCTGTATACGGCCAGTGTCTGGCATGTAGTATGTACTCAAAATATCCTTGTCAATGGAACGAAGCAGTTCTGTCTCCATAGTTATTTCAAGTTCACAGTGGGGTTTCTGAATCTCAGCAGCTTTTGATTAAACAAAAAAAAAGAAGGTCCTACTTTGTCCTGGCTATTGTCTTGTATGTGTGTGTATGTCTGTGTGTATCTCTTGGGAGTGGGTTTGGTGGGGGAGGGTCAACTAGAGGGAAGAGGGGAAGGTTAAGGTTGGGGAACAAGACAAATAAAGGAGAGTAAACACTTCATCCTTTATTACGTTTTTTTTCTTCTGCTCATCCCTAGACATTAATGTAAATGTTCAAATATGTTTGTAAAGGGTAGACATGTGTGGTCTAAGTAGTTCATTGTTGTATGTCAACTGTAACTGAAAAATGAATTAATTCTAAAAAAAGTAGTTAATTGTTATTAACACAGCATCATGTGCTCCTGTATCTTTTGTTTCTGATGTTGGGGATGACTTAAGTAGTTCTTTGAAAAACAGACGCTGGGGCCGCGGAAACCACGTTCTCGGCTTTCTAGGCAAATGCTGTTCTCTTAATTTGCCCCGTAGCATGTACGATTGTCTTCCTCCCTATGGAAAATTTATAATCCACTTCTTACCTTTTAGGCACATAGAGATGAAATCCAGCGCAAATTTGATGCCCTTCGTAACAGCTGTACTGTGAGTATTAACCAAAGATGATTAAAACAGCATAACGTTCAAATGGAGAAGAAAAAGGGGCAGCTCTTTGTGACACCAGTGACTGATTTTTGATACAACTTGAAGCAGTTAATGCCGTCAAACTGGTTGGGCATTTCTGAGCCCCAGATAACGGCAGTTTCTCAGGTTTCTGCCCATTTAAACACGTAAAACCAGTCTTCAGCCCGGCTGGTGTGGCTCAGTGGTTGAGCATCGACCCGTGCACCAAGAGGTCACCAGTTCAATTCCCAGTCAGGGCACATCCCCAAGTTATGGACCAGATCCCCAGTTGGGGGCATGCAGGAGGCGGCCAATCGATGTTCTCTCTCATCGATGCTTCTATCTCCCTCTCTATCTCCCTTCCTCTCTCTAAAATCAATAAACAAAAAAAGATTTAAATAATAAAAATAAAACCAGCCTTCATGCTGGAGGGAGGACAGTTGGAGTAGTCCAAATAGTTCTCAGTGAACAACCACTAATAGGTCTCTGTAGCTGCAACAAAAGCCCCGAAGCAGCTCCTCCTCCTCCTCCAAGGTGGAAGGTTCCCAGGCCCGCCCAAGCCAGAGATTGTCCAGGCGTTAGGGGCAGTTCTGTGTTCGAGGCTTCTCTAGCCGGCCGCCTCTGCAGAGAGGAGAGCTCTAGCAATTTTAACTCCCTAACAGGTAAAGTCTGGCGTCCTACCATGCAAATGCAAAATCGAGAACTCTTTGGAAGATGTCATTTATATAGAGAAGAATAAATTGTGTGCTCAGATAAGCATCATTCATAGATTATGTAATAGGGTAGGGTCAGTGGGAATGCAAAGTCTATTTTTGCTCAAAAGAAGGACTAAAATAGGCCTCTTTCAGAAGATAGGGATGTTATCTTTCCCCATGGTTCCTCTGCCTTTCTTTTAGGTCCTTTCATGGCAGAGTTACCTCCTTAGTCCCCGGTGAGCTTGTCTTCATTTGCATTATTGCATCTGTGAGTTTCGAAGATATCCTCCTCCATACATATTTTTTTTTTCTTGTAATGAATTCTCTTTCCTCCTTCCCAGTAATGGGACATTAAGTCCTGATGCTTTCCCTGCTTAGTGTAGGTATAAAATGCATACAGCAAAGTGTATAAAGCATATCCAGTTTTTACATGTATAGACAACCGTGTAGCCACAACACAGAGTAAGAGACAGCGTTTTCAGCCCCCAGAAGGCCCCCTCAGGTTCTCATCAGCATTCCTTGCCCAAAGGGTGACCGCTGTTCTGACTGCTGATACCACAGATCAGCTTTGCCTGTTCTTGAACTTTGTGTAAATAAAGCTCTTTGGGTTTAGCTTTTTTTTTTTACTTGTCTGTGTGGTTCATCCATGTTGTATCTGTCAAAAATTTGTTCTTTTCTTCATTACGGTGTGGTGTTTGCAGTGTATGAATAGAACTGAAATTTGTCTCTCCATTCCCTGGTTGATGAATATTGGGATTGTTTCTGCTACGAATGAATTTGTTAGAAAACCTTCTTGTACATGTCCTTTGGTGGCTATAAGCACTTACTTCTGATGAGCATATACCCAAGAGTGGAATAGCTAGGCCATGAGATGTGCCTCTTGTTCGACTCTAGTAGGTACCTGGCAGGTGGATTTTGGTCCTTCCATCCTGATGCCGTGGCTGGATTAGGGTGGGCCCCCCTTAGACATGCCTGTTGGTTTCCTCCTCTCTCCCTCTTTGCCTCTAAGAGTTGATGCATCCTGTTCCCGTACTCTTACTTTTTTAGTTCCTTTGTGTCTTGGTTTCTTCTTTTCCACGAGAGTTATTTGCTTACATTACATGCACACTCACAAGTGATCACTGAATAAACTAGAGATCTTTTTATGGCTGTGATATTTTTAGATTAGTGTGTTTTCCTTAAATAAACTGGGTTGTATTTTCAATGTGTACATCAGTAATCCTTTATCTGGAGATTCCCTTTCTTCTTTTTTAGTCTTTTGGCATAAGGATTTTTTTTATTTTTTATTTTTTTTGGATGTAGTTTTATTGAGGTGCAATTGAAGTACCCTGGGGAGTGGTAATGTGTAGACACCAGTGAAACCCGTGCAGCACTCAAGGTGTCCTTGTCCTCCTTTGTCATCCACCCTCCCCCGTATTTTCAAAATTGGAAATTTAGTTTTTAATAGAAAATGGCAATCTGTAGGATGAATTTGGTTACTTTCTTAGCTTATATAACTTTCAGATTCTCTCTATTCCTCACATTTGCTTTTTCCAGAATAGTGACTTGTAATTCTTCCCTTACTTACCTCTGGCATTCTGTGGAGAGGCCTCTGGGGACCTCTCCAGGGAGGAGGAGCCCCACCCACATTGTGGCTAGAGCAGCTGGGTCCCTTAGTGGTCCAGACCATGCTCTCTGGTGTCAGGCAGACAGGCTCAGGTTCTAAATCGGCCCCTCAGTAGTGTATGTGATGTCACTCTCCCAAGCCTCTGTTTCTTTGTCAGTATAATGGAGATAACATTGTCCTTGGTTCCAATATGTCGTAGATTGTAAGACACATAATTTATTTAATAACTGCTTTGGGGGCTGCGCGAGGAAAGAGAGCTGCTGAGTTCCAAGATACATTCAAATTTCAGAAACAGTGAAACTTAGGAAACACTGAGGCATAGAATCAGAAATTCGGTAACACTACCTACCCCTGGGTTTCCTGCAAGAACTAAATGAGATGAAGCATCCAAGTGCTTGCATAGGGCCCGGTCCGTAGAAAGTGACAGATGGTGTTGGTTACTATTATTATTCTATTATACTGAATTTATGACGTAAAAGTAAATCCTTTGTTTAGAAAAGGGTTCTGCTCCCTAAAAAAAGCCAGAAAGCCACCCCTTATAAAACAGCATCTGGCAGCAACAACCAATCTCAGTTATACTTGCACCAAGTTCAGAGGCTGCTTTTGACCCCGCGGTGAGCCTGGTGGAGGTCCCTTTCCTGTTGGCGCTGCCCGGGTCATCCCCGCTCGGAAATGTCCTCCTTACCGGGGGGACTCCTGTGTAAGGACTCAGTTGACAGGAGCTCCCCGTTAGCACCTTCGAACGTGCTCCCAAACAGTAAGATTTTCAAGCTCTGACTGTTTCTGTATGTCGAAGAGATTTTAAAAAAGGATTCGATTCAATCTGGCACCTAAAGCCCCACCTAAGTCTGTTTTGGAGGGGAGTTGGTGGGCAAACATATGACACCGTTTTAATTATGAATCAATCTGTCAGCTGTAAAGATTAAAAATAAATAATATGCAAATAGCTGCCTTCAAGATAAAACCAGGCTTGAAAATAGGACTTCAGTCCTGTGTCTTTTTAGCCTGATGCTCATTATCTGACTGGTTTCTTCCCCTCTGGCATGCTACTGAACACTTACCTGGGAACGTCCCCCCTCCAGGTCTCCTGGCTGGGTTGGGGAGGGTAGCGTCTATTTCTCAGAACCGTGAGGTTTGCATGAGAGCCTTGAAAAGCAACAGGTAATGCCAAATAGAGTTTTTTTTTTGGACAAACATGGGTTTTTATATCCTGTTTTTGCTCAGAACAGCGCCAAGATATCTTATCTTCAAAATGAGTATATAAGAAGCTCTGGTGGCCCATCTTCCTCGTCCATTTTGCTGTTCAGACGGAATCAAGCTTTCAGTTTATCTTGTTTACCCTCTGTCTTTGGAGGTGCAAAGCGAATAGACTCTAATAGAGCAAAAAGATCACTTGCCCTTGGTGTGGGGAGAATATACCGAAGGCCGCAAAGTGGACCTAATGATTCTCCTTGCTCGTTACCTGGTTCAAAATCTTCTATTATTATAAAAGTCTATTATGCTTTTTTTTTTTTTTAATTAACCATGGAGACCATTAATGCCTTGTCTCAAGTCAGTTCAGTATCTGCAAACTCGTGTGGGTGTGGGTGTGTGTAACACTTAATACTATAACTCCAGCATCTTGAAACAGTCACAAGCTTCACGTGTTATGGCTTGTGCAGAAAGAATATGCAAACAGTCTGAATGAGTTAAAATGCTTGGGTGCTTCACACAATTACGTCATCCTTTTCTTGTCCAACGAGCAACACAGAGACATTGACAAGAATCTAGATGTAGCAATCACAAACTGCAAATAGGGATCAGAGACGAGACCCCTCCTTGGAGACCAGACGACAAGAGGGAAAAGGAAGGACCCTTCCTGCTCCAAAGGGCCCGTCTCAGTGGACTTGAGAGTAACAATCTCGGCACCTCGGTGACTTTTTTCAAGTGTTTCTTCTTTCACAGTTTGTAATTTAATTTTGGGAGAAAGAGAAGAGGTGGCAGAAATAGATTCATAACAAATTGCATTTTCTTTTCATCATTCTCAAGGGAAGTGGGTACTCAAAGGCTTAAGTATGTCTTCATATGGCAAGGAAGTGATTTTGGCAATGTGTACATTCTTACGTGAACAACTTTTCTGTAGTCCCTGCTCCATAGGAGGGACCATTGTCATCTTCACAATGAAGCATCATCTTGGTCATTCATTTTTATCCCTTGTATTTTACATGGTACATTAAGGGGGAATAGTAGGCAAGAAAATTCAAAACATTAAAACAATAGAGCCTGGCCAGTGTGGCTCATTGGATTGAGCATCCTCCCATGGACTGAGAGGTCCTGGTTGGATTCCCAGTCCGGGCACATGCCTGGGCTGTGGGCTCGATCCCCGGTATGGGGCGTGCCGGAGGCAGTCGATTGATGTTTTTCTCTCTCTTCCTCTCTCTCTAAAAAAATCAATAAAAACATATTTTAAAAAAAGAAAGAAAGAAACAGAAACCGTAGTGAGTCTACTGTTTATCTCCACATCACAGGTGGAGAAACCAACCCAGCAAAGTTCAAGGTTGCTTATTTGGGGTTCCTGAATTCATTTTACCGCACAGCTTCCAGGCCAGTCTGCCTGCGTTTTGTTTTTCTTTGGGAAAGAGGCACAAGGGTGCATCATAGTTAAACGGAGACATTTGCAGCTTAGCCTGAAAAACTATCTGAAGGAGTGTGTACTATCATTATCAGAAGGAGGCCAGTTGAACTATTAGGCATTGTTTATTCATTGTGTACGGTTTTAGGAGATTTACCCATGTCGCAGAAAGGATGACCCAGGGACTCCTATGGCGCATAGCTGCCTGCTATGAATGACAAACCAGTGTTTTCTTATTCCCCCCCCCCCCCCGATGAAGTGGAAGTCTCAGCTAAGAACCTGACCAGATAACCTTTATTCCCCCCTTTGCAGCTCACAGTGTGCTTCAGACCAGTACATTAGGAACTAACATGATTTCTGACATTAAAATTCAAATTCCTAGACCACTTACTACATTAAAAATCCATTAGCTCAGTTAACAAAATGAAAAGCTGTGTCTTCTGAGCCACATTGAACAAATGCACGTATTTGATGCTCTTTATTTCTGTGTACCCGGGAAGGTATTTTTTTAAAAGAACTAATCAAAGGTGGTTAAAATAGGGAATTAGTCATAGAAACAGTGCTAACATTTCATAAAGTAACTCTACTCTTGGTTTGAAAATTGGAAACAATTAATAACCATAGGCTTAAAAGCATCTCCTTTTAATTTACATCTTTTTTTGTTACATCAAATTTAATTTGCTGCCTATGCGCCTCATTCCAACTATTATAAGAAAATTGGCCTTCAACTTCTAAAGCAGTGTGTGTGAAAGCTGTCTGCAAGAGCCGAGCCTTCGCAGAGGGGGGGAGCTGAGGGCAGCGGAATGGAAGTCATTCTGCCACTGAGCGGGGAAATCATCTAGCCAGTCCCGATTAAATCTCTCTCAGTAAAATGACAAATTTGTACGCACGCCTTCCCATTTTCCCGATAGCTGACTGTGTAATAAAAGCCATTAAAGTGGTACCATGGTACAACGTTGTATTTTCAGGATGACTCTGAGCTTCCCCGAAGTTTTCTCTTTTCCTTTGTTGCATGAAATTAAATATGTTGCCGGAGATGTTATTAAAGGAACTCTCAGTGTCCTTCACTCGGGCTTCCTCCATAAGAACCTATTTGCTTTCTAAAACTAGCTCCCGTTATAGCGTCCTGTGGACGGAGCGGAGGGCTCTTGCGCTTCATTAGCGGGTTGTGAGACCAGTCTTTATTCTGCTCTCCTCAGTGTGCATTTCCACTTTGTATTGTTGTCCGCCAACTTCATCTCATTTCAAGTTGCCCCTCTGTGTGGCCCTCACTTTTGATTGATTTGCTTTTGCCCTATTTTCCAGATGAACCCCGAGTTAGAGAAAAGCGGAGACGGGTCTCTCTCTAGCACTGCGAGTGTCGGGCTCAGCGGGGCTGGGGTTGGCCCTGGGAGGTGGAGGCAGACACGGGAGCCGCTCACTGGTTGCCAGTGGCCCGTGGCTTCGGAAACCCGTGGCTCTAGAAGCAGCTTGTCATTTAAAATGGACTCGCATGGTCTGTGACCAGATTCCTTCTATCTTTTAGGTAATCACAGACCTGGAGGAGCAGCTAAACCAGCTGACAGAGGACAACGCTGAGCTCAACAACCAAAATTTCTACTTGTCCAAACAACTCGATGAGGCTTCCGGCGCCAACGACGAGATCGTGCAGCTGCGGAGCGAGGTGGACCATCTCCGCCGCGAGATCACGGAGCGAGAGATGCAGCTCACCAGCCAGAAGCAAGTAAGGACGGTCACAGGGGCCTCTGCCCCGGTCCCCTTCCGGTCGGCGTGAGCGCGTACCTCCCAGGGTTCCAGGGCTGAGCTTGGCCAGGAGATGGGCTCTTTCTTACGGTTATGTCTGTGTTTCCAAGGCTTGGGGGATTTTAAAAAGGGCTTTTAAAAGGATGTAGTCCTTCTTTGTTTTGATTTAAAAATATTAAAAACAGCCCAGTTGGTTAGAGTGTCATCTTGATACACCAAAGATGTGAGTTTGATCCCTAGTCAGGGCACAGACAAAAATCAACCAATAAATGTATCAATAAGTGGAACAACAAATCCATGTTTCTCTCTCTCCTTCTCTCTCTCCCTTTCTCTCCCTCTCTATCCTTCTCTCTCCTTCTCTTCTTCTTCCTCCCTCCCTCTCTTCCTTCCTCCCCCTTCCCCTTCCTGGCTCTCTAAAATCAATCAATAAAAATTTGTTTTAATTAAAAATAAAAGCTCTGGGAGAGCAGTGTGAGCCCCTTGGCCCTTAAGCGCAGTCCCTCCCCCGGCCTTGCTTTGGGCTCTGCCTGGAAGATGGCGGCAGAGATGGCCCTTCATCCCTTCTCGTCCCGTCCCCTCCCCTACCCTCGGGGGGTAGAAGGAAAAGGTAAACTGTGTTAGGCTGTAGTGAGAAACTGGGCTTTTCTGAAACTGACCCCAAAAGTAACATCCAGGAAATCCCCCTTTGACACGAGGCACAACTCAGTGCTGCTGATTTGCAGACGATGGAGGCCCTGAAGACCACCTGCACCATGCTGGAGGAGCAGGTGGTGGACCTGGAGGCCCTGAACGACGAGCTGCTGGAGAAGGAGCGGCAGTGGGAGGCCTGGAGGGGCGTCCTCGGCGACGAGAAGTCCCAGTTTGAATGTCGGGTTCGAGAGTTGCAGAGGATGCTGGACACTGAGAAACAGAGCAGGTGGGACCTTCTGTTTGCAGAGTCGATGACAGGTGGCCACAGCAGGATCACCTGAGGGTCACGAGCAGGGTGACTGATTGTCCCAGCTTGCCCCGGACTGAGACGTTTCTCGGGACATGACTTCTGGTGCTAAAACTGGAGACTCGCCCGGCCAGTGTGGCTCCATGGTTGAGCATCGACCTGTGCACCAAGAGGTCGCTGGTTCGGTTGCCCGGGTTGTGGGCAGATCCCCAGTGGGGCGCATGCAGGAGGCGGCCAATCGATGTTCTCACTCATCAGTGTTTCTTTCTCCCTCTCACTTCCTCTCTCTCTCAAATCATTAAAGAAAAAAAAGAAAAAGAAAAAAAGTGCTTTAAAAAAAATAAAACTGGAGAGTCTTGGACAGACCAGAATGGGCTGGTCACCCTGGTTGTAACTATGGTCAGTGTCCCTTGGATTCTGTGGCATTAGGTGGTGTGGAGAGACCTGGGAGTCAGAGCAGGACACACGTCTCAGCACTTTCTTTGCAGAAACTCTCCTCAGGTTTCATGTCATGGCAACCACGTAGCAAGGCCACCGCCATGTTATTCCTGGGCGTGGGGCATGCCAGTCTGCCCTCTGCCCTCGGCTTTCTCAGCCTTGGCCCTGTTGACAGTTTGGGCCACATAACCTTTTGTCCTGGAGGCTGCCGGGTACACCCTGATGTCGAGCATCTTCCTGGTCTGTACCCAGTAGATGCCAGTAGCACCCCCTCCTCATGTTGTGACAAACAGACATGTCTCCAGACATTGTCCACGACCCCTGGGGGTGCAAAATCACCTGCAGTTGAGAACAACTGTTTTGCAAGAATAGTTTAGTGGGTGTTTTTTCTTTTCTTTCTTGATAGGAAATAATAATAAGTTCAGGCAGTCTTCTTCCTCTGCTTCCTCCCCATTGTTTCCAGCCGCCCGGCCTAGATCCCCTCCTGCCAGGGCCACGGCGGCGCGGGGCGTGCACTGCAGAGCTGTAGGCCGAGCCGTTCGCCCCAAGACATCCCGCCTGGGAGGATTATAGGACAGGCTCACAGCTCACGGCCGGAAGGTGCTTTGCTCTAACACAGTTGCTGTATTACACCAGTTTACCAGCAGATGGAAACAAAAGGTCTTGAAGAACGGGTGCCTTTTCCCAGTTTGCACCAAGGTACCAAACAGGCTGGAGTTAGCCCCACCACTGCACGTCTGCACGTCGCAGCTGAATCGTATCCATCCTTCGTGACCCGGCTAACACCCCCTTCCTGGGATACTCCTTAAGCAAGACAACTCTCGTAAAAATGGCTATCTTTTACCTGGACTCTATCAGACTCACTTTGGTATTTTCTGAATTTACTTAACCACGGGAGACTGAACTAAATGTGTCGGATAGTACAGTCTGTGCTGAATTAGTTAAAGTAGAAAAGATTAGAGGCTAAAGATGAGAACCCTTAAATTTCAAGAGAAACTGGTAGAAATGTTCCCCTTTTTGGATCTTCTCCCACTCAGAGTATTTGCTGATGTGGGGGGCTGCTGGTTTCACAACTCCTGTTCTTGTTTCCCTCTGAACTCTTGGGCCTCCGGACCCTCACGGGATGTTCTGGTTGGGTTCACACAGACCCCTCCCTCTGCCCTCAGGCCCAGCTCCTACCCAAGCTGTTTCTCGAGTCCCTCAGAGACAGCTTTGGGGGTCAGAGGCTGCTTTCAGCATTAAGAAATACACAACCACACGTGGGGGGTATAGTCATGGGCTGTGCTTAGGTAGATATTTCACGTATACTTCCAGGGGCAATTGTAAAACACCCCTCCCCCCCTTTTTGTTATGTGGGAAACTGAGATGAGTCAAGTCTAATTCTTAAGTCTTGTCCTCAAGAGGCTAATTGTCTAGTGGAGGAGGTAACCTATGCATTCAGCTATGTATCACCTACAGCAGAGAGTAGGGTGGGCCAGGAAAGAAGTGAACTTTGCCAAGGACAAGTTGATTCTGAGAGAAGTCAGGAGCGGATTTTCTGGAGGACATGGCCTTTGAGTTTGCCCTTGCAGGCTGAGTCGGGTTGGGTGTCGGGCAGGGGAGGAGAGACCTGCCCATGGAGGAGCTTGAACACGCCCAGGTGTGGAAGAGGCAAAGCGTAAGACCTACGTGGGGGAGGGAAGTGGTTTTTCCAGTTTGTTTCTAGCTTTCCTTTTCTCTGACCTTGTTCACAGATGCATCAGATTCAGCTGTCCGTGTCCCATGAGCACACAAAGCACTCAGCGTCTTGCATGTACTTTCAGGGGAGGAAATGTGTGCTCAAATGGGGTCTCCCATGATCCTCTCTGCCTGCTGGTCCTTCAGGGGGACCTCATTCCAGCTCTGCTCCCGTGGGAGGCTGAGAGCCTGACACACCCCATTCAGCCCGGTGCCTTTGGGAACATGCCCTTTCCTGTTCCGCCTTTCCAAGCGAATACCCATAGGAACTTGACTTTTTAAGAGTATTTTTACCCAAGGCCTTAAGTGGGTCAAACCTTTGCCCTGTAATAAGTCAGAAAGCGAGATGGTTTGGAACTGGGAACCAGAGTTGGGCATTGATCCAGCCTGCAGGCCTCGTTTGCTCATGAGGACCAGGGATGGGCCGGCGTCCTTTCTCCAGATCGGGGGTGACGGGCTTCTGAGAGGGGCCTGTGTTTTCCCGGCAGGGCCAGAGCGGATCAGCGGATCACCGAGTCCCGCCAGGTGGTGGAGCTGGCGGTGAAGGAACACAAGGCCGAGATCCTCGCCCTGCAGCAGGCTCTCAAAGAGCAGAAGCTGAAAGCCGAGAGCCTCTCCGACAAGGTCAGCGCCTGTCCCTCTGCCTTTGCGGAAAACGCCCCCATTTCCTCCTTTGGAAGGCGCCGTCGACAGGCATTTAGATGCCATCTGTGGTTGAGGCCGTTCGTTCACACACGTGCATTTACTCACCCCAGCCTAGTCCCACAGTGACGTGTCACCGTGGTTGGCAACAGTGTGGGTGGGTACGGTAGGTGCTGGGGTATCACAGTCTGTGACTTCTTAACATCGCGCTGTCTGGGCTCTTGAGTTCCGAATTCTGGGCGCACAGCTCTCGTTTTCTGGCTCTTGATTTCTGGAAGGGTTTATGGATTTCGTGTTGCACGTCCTCGGGACGTGCTGGGGGCGAGGACTGCTGCTCCTTCCCTCGCTGCGCAGTGGGCAGGGGGTCTGTCCGTGGTCCCGGCCCAGGGGCGGACAGGGTCCCTGATCGTGCAAGTTTCACACTGGAAATGTGTGCTCTGTCCATGCACACTCGTTATATTTACAAAGTGCTGTGTCAGCGTTTTGGAGATTTTTATCTGATAGTCTTAACAGAGATTTAGAATAGGTGCCTCAGGGTTACAGATGACAAAAGTGAAGATGGGGGAATTTCGTGTGTACCCACAGACACATTTTTTCACGCACACACGAGGTGAGGTCATCTGAATTTTGTATAACTCTTCGTTGTTTCTTGATTGTAAAAGGAATTCTTTGGGGTCATTATGGAGGATCTAGAAACCACATACAATAAAGGAAAAAATGATTGATAACCTGTCACCACTACTATATTGATGAAGTTATTTGGAGTCTTTTCTTTGCCTGACATGTTTTTGTGTACTCACAGACATTTACAAATTTAGGTTCTTACTATAGAAACAGGTTTATATCTTTGTTTTTTAATCACACAACTAGGGGCTTCTATTGAGTTATTGGATATATATATATTTTTTTTAATCCTCATTCGAGGACATTTTTTCATTTTTTGTTCAGATAGAGCGGGAGGGAGAGAGAGGAAGAGAGAGAGAGAAACATAGATGTGAAAGGAACACATCAAGTGGCTGCCACCCGCACGACCCAACCAGGGCCGGGGACAAACTGCAACCGAGGTACGTGCCCTTAGAGGGAACCGAACCTGGGTCTCTCTAGACTGCAGGCCGACGCTCTAACCGCTGAGCCAAACCAGCCAGGGCGAGTTATTGGATATTTTTTGAACATGTAGTTCTAAAAACAATTACACAGAGGTACCCATTTTAATCATTCTACTTGTGTTAGAAATTCGAGCTTCTTCCAATTATTCTGTTATTATAAATAACACCGTGATGAACATAAGTCTTTGTGGACATCTGTGCTTACTTTCTTCCCGGGATTTTACAGAGACAGTGATTGGCTTCCAGGCTGGAGCTTGCCCACAGGGATGCTCCTGCAGTCCTCGGTACTGGTTTACTATCACTTCTTAACCACGAGGAAAATGTTATTATTTATGAAATAATATATATGAAAATATATTATTTAGAGATAAGTGAACCCTTTTGTGTTTAACTTGAAGAATATTTTGTTTTCTATTTGTTCTTAAAACATTATATAGCAAAGTCCTACCCATCTTTTTCTTTTTAATCTTCACCCGAGGACATTTTGCATCTTCAGAGAGAGCTGGAGGGAGAGAGGGAGGAAGAGAGAGAGAGAGAAACAGTGATGTGAGAGAGACACATCGACTGGCTGCCACCTACATGACCCCAGCCTGGGCCAGGGACAAACTGCAAACGAGGTACATGCCCCTAGCGGGAACCGAACCCGGGTCTCTCAGGTCCACGGGCTGACGCTCTAACCGCTGAGCCAAACTGGCCAGGGCCCTACCCATCCTTTAAAACTGCAGACATTATTCTGCCCAGCCCTTGTGGCTCAGTGGTTGAGCATTGACCCACACACCAAGAGGTCACCAGTTCGATTCCCGGTCAGGGCACATGCCTAGGTTGTGGGGCACATGCCCAGGTTGTGGGCAAAATCCCCAGTGAGGGGCATGCAGGAGGTGGCCAATGTTCTCTCTCCTCAATGTTTCTATCTATCTCTCCCTTTTCCTTCCTCTCTCTCTCAAATCAATAAAGAAAAAAATTTTAAAAAAAGACTGCAGACATTCTGATACCATCTGTTCTTGGTGACTGGTAACTCAGGATGAATTTCTCTTCTCTGTGCCTCTTATCAAAATTAACATCTTACAAAGCAGTCTCATTGCTTGTGTACGTGTCTAGTTACAGCACTCTCTGCCTTGGTGACTTGGTAGGATATCCTTGAGAGAGCTTGTCCCCAAAGCCCCGATATTACCCTGGACAAGTAGTAAGTGTTCGGCATTTGCATATTATTTAATTCGGCCACAGCATGTCAGATAACCAAATTCTTCAGTGGTCTTTCTCTTAGAACTTGTCGCAGCTATATACATGACCCATCCCTCGCAAACAATTCCTGTCCTCATTGAAGGGACCCCCTGTAAGGCTCGTCTCTAATGTGGACTTTTGCCGCGTACTTTCTGGAACAGTGTTTATGTTCTGACCTTCAGAACTTGGTTATTCTTACACGTGAAGGTTTGGGGATGTTTGCAAAGGTCAGCACCCAACCTTCCTCAGTGTGGCACCACGGCCCCTGTTTCCACATGTGCAGCTCAGTGACCTGGAGAAGAAGCACGCCATGCTGGAAATGAACGCCCGGAGCCTGCAGCAGAAGCTGGAGACCGAGCGTGAGCTCAAACAGCGGCTGCTCGAGGAGGTGAGTGGGACACTCCAGTTCCACGGAGCCGGGTGGGGTTGGAAAGTGAAAGTTGGTTTTGTCCAGGTGGCCGGGACCGAATTAGATGTTCACATTTTGCAATGGGAATTTTTGAGGAACAGTAGGCGGTCACTTAATACTTTCTTGAAGGCATTTCACACGTTAAAGAAAAGGCGTCACGGAGGTAGAGGGTCCCTGTCATTTGTGTCTTCCCCCAGGTGCTTAGTAGAGTGTCGAGCTCATGGTGAGTATGTGCCCCGTGGATGTTTATTAAATATGCGGGTGAATGAACATCGAGTTAGATTGTTCTTAATATCCAAAGTCTATTAATTTTTCAGGCTGATAGAACATCCAAGCAGGGCAGAGACTTGATCAGATTATGCTGAGTACCAAGTTTCATGAAGACTTTTGAACATTCGGTTAATTCAATTAAAAAACAATTGTGCCCTGCCTTTGAGACAGAAAATGAAAAGCTCTCGCGATCTCTTAATAAACCCGTCCCTTAGCCATTTCCTTGTAGCGGAAGTCTGAACATCGATAATTAAAGTGGTAACTCCTTCCCAGTCCCGAGCAAAGCCCTCAGTGTCGAATCACTGAAGATTCTGCTTTGTTCATGAGAATGGGCCAACCAGGACAAACACGTGTATAAAGGCCTTTAGCGAGAGGTTGGACTCCAGGGGTGTTCTGGTGAGCCCACAGGGAGCCCGGCACTTTAGTTAACCGGGGCGCCTCTTCCGCTTGATTGAGGTTTTATGGGGTGGTCCCCTCGCTGCCAGAGGGCTCTGCTGGTGAAGTCATTCTGCTGTGCTGTTTTAAGTGAAAACATGTGGTGAAAATTTTCCAGGTGACTATGGAATGTTTGACAGAATACTACTTTAAAAAATACGGGTGGGACTTTGAGAAATAGCAGGAGATGGAGGTGGTGACATTTGGGCCACAATGTGAATGAACTGAGCACCACTGACCTGCACACTTTTAACAGTGGTCACAGTGCTAAGTTTTGTGTGCTGCACAGTTTGCCACAGGAAAGATTTAAATAACATTAATTGATATATGTAAATGGGTGGGGAGTTGACTAAAGGCAGCACTAAGAACAGTAATAGAGAGTTCAGTCTGCTTTGTGGTCACATAGAGAGTGTAGTCCTTTACCTGGAATGAAGAGGCGCTGTCCCTGCTTTGGGCACAGGCTGGAGACGAAGAACAGAGGTGATGAGTGATGGCGCCTGTCCTGTTCTCCTCCCAGGGAAGGAGGCGGGCCCGGACAGCTCAGGGCTTTGGTCCGAGGTTACGCGGTGAGTCCGCGACAATGCTGGGAATAGGATGCGGGAACCCTGATTCAGTCCCCTCATCCTCACTTCTAAACCACACATGGACACGCCCAGTCTCCCAGTCTGTGCCCTACAGGTTGCTTTTTGAGCACAGACATCAGCTGACACTGAGTTTGAGGCAGATTTCAGCTGAAACCACTGTGAAACGTTGAGCGATCTTTATCGTCCCGATGGGGCCAGGATCCTTGGTTGCGATGTGCACCCTGCAAGCGTATGACCAAGGGCTTACCCCAGCTGTCCTTGTCCTTAGGTGCGGAAACTTGTCCTTGGGGCCAGAAGCAGGTCTCAGAGCTGGACAGGATGTTGTCTCACAGTCCACATTGTCAGCAGTAGCACCCCTGTTCCTGTCACCTCACCCCTGACAGATGTTACCGACGGGTCTTTTTCCCAAATCTTTCCTCTTGAGCCGTGAATGACCTCAGAAGCTTTCCCACATGACACTTGACAGCCGCTGTTAGTCCGTTGGAAGTAATGCCTGAGAAAGTCCATTTGCTAGTCCTGGTCAATTAATTTCCTGTCCAAGGCAGAGAATCCCTTCCCCAGCATTCCTCACAGCTGGGTCTCATTGAGCCCCGGCCCCGATGCGGTGACTTTGGACATCCACCCAATTTTCAGCAACTCAGCCTCTCACAAAATCTTCTTTTCTGTCTTTATTTTTTGTTAATCCTCACCTGAGGATATTTTTCCATTGATTTTTTGATAGCATGGAAGGGAGGGAGGGAGGGAGGGTGGCAGGGGAAGAGAGAGAGAAACATCAATGTGAGAGAGACACATCTCTTGGTTGCCTTCTGCACAGCCCTGACCGGGGCTTTTGATCGAACCTGCAACCCAGGTATGTGCCCTTGACTGGGAATCAAACCTGAGACCCTTAGTCTGCGGGCCGATGCTCTAACCACTGAACCAAATTGGTCCAGGCCTAACTCTTTCTTACTTTAAACTAAAGCCTATAACTTCCACCCATTGGTTCCATTAGGCTGAAACATTTGCAGATAGAGCGTAGTCTGCTATTGCCAACCAGGATAGCAGATTAATACTGATTACTTGATTAGCCAAAACATCTGGTGTTCAGTGAGCACTTACTACATGGCAGGTGCCTTTCTGAGTACTTTACACGAGTGAACTCTTGCGGTCCTGTGACAGTTCTGTGGGATAACTCCTCTTATCTTCATGACAGTCAGATGCCTACCTCACTCTCCCACTGCAGATCACTTTGTCTTTTCTAAACGAAACATCTCAAGTTTGCGATGTTCTTTTCTGGTAGATCGATCTTTCCAACGAGGGTTTCTAGGAGCCCCTGTGGTCTGAAGAGCACGGGTACAGAGGCACATCTCCACCTCCCTTCAGGACTCTGCAAACCTCTGCCAGAGCCCCAGGTTCTTTGGGTGCTTGATCACGCCACCGACACCATTGTCTTGTTAAGTCACCATTGACCTCTCACAAGTTTTTTTGTGGACATCTTTATGTTCTGTATTTATTCAGTAAATTAAAAAGAAATACCACCTTATTGAACTTTCTCTTATCAGTTTTCACCCATCCTTCAGCCACCAGGGTTGTTACGGGCTCTGGTTTCTGTCATCCAGACCCTTCATGCTTCCTCCCAGTCACATGTCACCTTGTAAAACTGTTGGACAGATCGAAGCACATAGCCAAAGCCTTCCCTTCAGCCTAACACAGACCAGGAATAGCCTCCATTTGCCTCTCTCTGGGAAGCAGGTAAATGGTTTTAAAAACATTTTATTGATCACAAATGTCATTCTTATTTGCTTCTTTATCGTGGTAAATAAGCAGCCCATTCCTTGGAAAGTGAAGGGAAGGTGGCTGTGTTTATTCTAGAAAAACATCTTGGGCCTGGCTGTCACCAAACACACTCTTTGTCCCCAGCACTTGTTTCTCTGCTTCCTGCCTGGTAATTAACGTTGTCCTAAAAATAGTGGGAAGAAACCGAGGAGGGTAATTTGCAGAAGAAATCACTCATGCTGCGGGGGATGATAGCTCCCTTGGATAGGTTATCTTGGCTGTTTTCCTTATTTAACAAATAATGTTTATTTTAGGGGATTCTGTGGTTCGATTCAGAGATACCAGGTTGGCTCACAGGCCAGGTAATCTCTGGTTAGTAACAGCCTCTCTTGCCTTGTGGGGGACTCACAGGGGAGGGGCTGGCGGAGAAGGTGGGAGGAAAGGCAGGTGGGAAAGGGGAGCCCCTGAGCTGGATGGAGGGAGGAAGGACAGAGGAGGCGGAGAGTGTTAGAATTCATTACGCATCTACTGCATGCTCAGCACTGCACTCAGTGTGTTCACCAGTGAGGGGAGGTGTTATACCCACTTTCAGATGAAGAAACTGAGGCTCCAAGAGGCATGTGAGCTGCCCATGGTCATATGACTGATAAGAGTAATATCAGTATTTAATCCAGGGTCTCTAACATTCCAGAGCCCAGGTTCGTTTCCTTATGCTGTGATGCCCCGAGGAGTCAGATACCTTGAGAGGAGGGTAGAAAACATGAGCAGTCAGACAGAGAAGGTCAGCACGTCCCGAGGTTGGCAGGAGCTCCCGGGCTGCGGGGTCTGCGCACTGACACTGGCCTGTCTGCTGGGAGAGCCCAGGGTGCTGCAGGTTCTGAGGTCAGCAGGAGCTCCCGGGCTGCGGGGTCTGTGCACTGACCTGTCTGCTGGGAGAGCCCGGGGTGCTGCCGGTTCCGAGGTCGGCAGGAGCTCCCGGGCTGCGGGGTCTGTGCACTGACACTGGCCTGTCTGCTGGGAGAGCCCGGGGTGCTGCATGTCCCGAGGTCAGCAGGAGCTCCCGGGCTGCGGGGTCTGTGCACTGACACTGACCTGTCTGCTGGGAGAGCCCGGGGTGCTGCATGTCCCGAGGTCAGCAGGAGCTCCCGGGCTGCAGAGTCTGTGCACTGACACTGGCCTGTCTGCTGGGAGAGCCCAGGGTGCTGCATGTCCCGAGGTCAGCAGGAGCTCCCGGGCTGCGGGGTCTGTGCACTGACACTGGCCTGTCTGCTGGGAGAGCCCGGGGTGCTGCATGTCCCGAGGTCAGCAGGAGCTCCCGGGCTGCGGGGTCTGTGCACTGACACTGGCCTGTCTGCTGGGAGAGCCCGGGGTGCTGCATGTCCCGAGGTCAGCAGGAGCTCCCGGGCTGCGGGGTCTGTGCACTGACCTGTCTGCTGGGAGAGCCCAGGGTGCTGCAGGTTCCGAGGTCAGCAGGAGCTCCCGGGCTGCAGTCTGTGCACTGACCTGTCTGCTGGGAGAGCCCAGGGTGCTGCAGGTTCCGAGGTCAGCAGGAGCTCCCGGGCTGCAGTCTGTGCACTGACCTGTCTGCTGGGAGAGCCCAGGGTGCTGCAGGTTCCGAGGTCAGCAGGAGCTCCCGGGCTGCAGTCTGTGCACTGACCTGTCTGCTGGGAGAGCCCGGGGTGCTGCAGGTTCCGAGGTCAGCAGGAGCTCTCGGGGTGTGGGGTCTGCGCACTGACACTGGCCTGTCTGCTGGGAGAGCCCGGGGTGCTGTGCGTTGCTCTTCATTAGCCCTCTGCCCTCAGGTCTGCAGAGGGTTAGGCTGCTGAAGGAGGTTTCATCAGCAAGTGTGGTTACACTGTAACCCAAGGGTTGGAGGAAATCAAGCAGCGTCTTGTCGGGATGGTGCCTCTTTTCCTGCTTTTTACCAACAGGCATTTTTAGGAAAGAGCAGTAAAACAGTGCCTTTATAGCCTGCGCTATTTTTTGGTTGATTTCCATTACAAAATTTGGAGAAATTTCCAGCACAAAACCATTTCCAATATAATAAACTGAAAATTTTTTGTGGGTTTTATCACCACTTGCACTAAATCTGGGGTCTTCCTCTTCCTCCCTCCCCACACCTGATGAGGTGTCCTTTAAATTAGAAATTAGGTGATTCCCCTTTGTCTGTCCCCCACAGCCTGGACAGTGCTTTCTCCTAACAGCAAATGAGATCTTACAACCCGAAAATAAGGACACATTGGAACTGAGTTGTCAAGGCGCTAAGTCGCATAGCCTTAGGTGTCAACTCAAATGGCTCACACTCTTAAAATACCAAAAAAGCCTTCCCTGGGACTCTTACTGGGGAGGCAGACCCCCAGCCCAGACCTCCTGTTACCAGGGGCACCCCGTGACCTCCTGGCCTTCAGAGATTTCTGTGCAAATTCTTCCCAAGTGTGCCTGCCTCATCTTGGAAAGGGAGACAGTTGGTAATTCTGGAATGAGATGACTTCAGAAGCCGAAGTCTCGGTGCCAGGCCTAAAATCAGTTTGGTGATAGGAACAGTGTGGGAACACTTGTGTTGTGAGTGGTAGAGAGCCTTTCTCTGGCCTTTCTTCCCACCAGCAAGCCAAATTACAGCAGCAGATGGACCTGCAGAAGAACCATATTTTCCGTCTGACTCAAGGGCTGCAAGAAGCTCTGGATCGGGCCGATCTGCTGAAGACGGAAAGGAGTGATCTGGAATACCAGCTAGAAAACATTCAGGTGAGGGCGGCAGGAGGTGTTCACCTAGACACTGTGCGGCGGCAGCAAAGCCATCTGGTGCGACGGTCACTGTCTCCCCGGTGTACCTCTCCCAGTGTTGCATTCGGAACATTTCCCAGCGTTCGGAGACGTTGGCAAACTTCTATAATGATTACCCCTGAGATTCTAATATTAACCACTTGCTCTTTTTACTTTTTCACCTATCTATCCATCCATCAGCCCCACCCCCCACCTTTTTTTTGGCTATAACAGTAGGACTAAGTAACTAAATACTGACGAGTGTGTTTGTGTTGAATTTTCATATGCTAGTGTCCTACCGACTTTATTTTTTTATTTTCTTAAAGTTCCAAATTTAAAAGGATGCTTCTTTCTGGGTCTGAGGTTATTTTTGTTTCCATGCATTTCAGGTTCTCTATTCTCACGAAAAGGTGAAAATGGAAGGCACTATCTCTCAGCAAACCAAACTCATTGATTTTCTGCAAGCCAAAATGGACCAGCCCGCCAAAAAGAAAAAGGTGGGTCGTCGTGTTGAAAAGCGGGGGGGGGTTGACATTTTGCCTGATCGTTATGATTCAGTGAAAACCTCAGTGACAGATAATCCGAGGAAAATTGAAGAAAACAAAATGACGTGTTCTTATTTTATTTTGAGTTGAAACGTAGGTTTTGAGATAATCAGAATAGCCCTTAAAGAGAGGATATCATTGTCAACTCTGTACTTTATGTTCATGGCCTTTAAGACTGTGCCTGTCTCTATTGAGACAGTGATTTTTTTTTTACCTAAGTAACTGGAGTGGGGATGATAGTAGAGAGAGGTTTACACATAGATCACCGTGCAGGACCCCAGAGGGGTTCTCTGCTCACGTGTACGGGACCCCAGAGGGGTTAGCAGTCACAGGTGTGGGATTCTAGAGAGATTACAGGCCTTCTCTGGGACTCCAGAAAAGACTGGAAATCAGCTGCCCCCGTCCTTCTGATGGGCTCGTGAAGAGACTGTGACCCAGAGGGCTGAAGTAACCTGCTTAAAGGACCTGATGGGGCAGTTACACCCTCCACCAAGTACTGCTGCTCCATCACTTTAAAGTTGTAGCAGACAAATTAAAAACTAGCCCAGAAAACTCCCCAAATAAACAACTTTGGACAGGGTTTCATATAATATAGATGCACATGAGAAGATTATTTCAATTGATTTCAGAGGTGGAGGAAGGGGGAGAGAGAGAGAAACATGGATGTGAGAGAAATACATCGATTAGTTTCCCCCCCACGACCTCACTGGGGACAAAGCTGAAACCTAGATATGTGCCCTGACTGGAATCGACCAGTGACCTCCTGGTGCATGGGACAACGCTCAATCCACTGAGCCACATCGGCCAGGGTGGAAAGATTTTATTTTTTTCATGTATATTTTAATTTTATTAAAAAAAATTTTAATTCTCACACGAGGATATTTTTCCATTTTTGTTCAGGTAGAATGGGAGGGAGAGAGAGAGAGAAACATTGACACGAGAGGGTCACATCGACTGGTTGAACGACCCCAATCAGGGCCAGGGGCGAATCGCAACTGAGGTATGTGCTCTTCACCGGAATTGAACCCGCGACTCATTGGTCCACGGGCCAACGCTGTAACCACTGAGCCAGACCAGCCAGGGCTATATATTTTTTTTTTTTTTAAAGAGGAAGGGAGCCCTGGCCAGTTTGGCTCAGCAGTTAGAGCATCGGTCTGCGGTCCAGAGAGACCCGGGTTTGTTTCCCGCTAAGGGCACGTACCTCGGTTGCAGTTTGTCCCCGGCCCTGGTTGGTCATACGGGTGGCAGCCACTCAATGTGTCCCTTTCATGCCGATGTTTGTTTCTTTCTCTGTACCGCAGGCCGACGCTCCAACCGCTGAGCCAAACTGGCCAGGGCGATGTTTGTTTCTTTCTTTCTCTCTCTCTCTCTCTCTCTCTCTCTCTCTCTCTCTCTCTCTCTCTTTTCCTCTCTTCCTCTCTTCCTCTCTCTCCCTCCCACTCTACCTGAACAAAAAATGGAAAATGTCCTCGGGTGAGAATAAAAAATAAAAAAAAGAAAGAGGAAGGGAGAGGGAGAGGGAGAGAGAGATTGAATCATCGATGGAGAGAAACATCGAGCGGTTGCCTCCTGCTCGCTCCCTACAAGGGATTGAGCCTGCAACCCAGGCATGTGCCCTGACCGCGGATCCATTGGTGATTTCTTGGCGCACGGGATGATGCTCAACCAACGGGGCCCTCACCGGCCGGGGTGGGAAAATGTTTTTTTTAATAAGTCCAACACCTGCTTCCCTGAACCGCTGAAGTCCTCCTACGAGGTTTGGCCACATGTTCTCAGTTTGCAAAGGTCCTAAGGAATTCAGTTTCCTTCCGAAGGTGCAGCAGCGTTTTCACAGGAGCGGCCTCTGCCGACTGGGCACACCCAGGGCTGAGGTTGGGCTCCGTGTTCTCGACGCTGTGTGTCCAGCGAGGGGAGGAGAGCGGCCTCGGAAGCGGCCTCCTGCCAAGTGGCGGCTGCCGGGGAAGGAGTTTCTTGCCTGATGTGTGACTGTGTTTATTATGCTTATAATATCTAATCTTTTTTATTTTAGCCGTGAACTGTTTGTTATCTGATTATGTCACTTGATGTAGTTAGGGCGATTCAATTTTTTTGTGTTTTTTTTTTTGGTCTCATTATTCCATGTTTTCCTTTTTTCTTCCATGTACAACATACGTTTCCATCTGCATTTTTTTTTTTTTTGAGTAAGCCCCTTGTTCGGCCATCGTTTTAGCATCCCATTGTTTTTGCTCCCGTTTTTAAAAACACTCATCTCTGTGTCTTGTAACTAAGCATCACGAGACAAATTCAAGGCAAGAGTGATTTCCGAACCATCTCTCCTGACTCCATCCTCCACTTCCATTTTTTGAGGATAAAGAATCAGGAAATGGCTCTCCTTCTTGGGAATGCTTAAGGAAGAGGTGGTGGCAATTCGAGCGTCTCTAAACCCTCCCGGTGAAAACTTGCGCACCCCTCTTTTCCAGCCGGCGGGAAAGGCCGGGGCTCAGTCTCCCCCTCCCCCCTTCACATGCCATTTTTACTAAATCCGCTTACAGTGAGTATGCTCCTGGCTTTCGCGGTGTGCTCCTCCCCAGTCAGCGTCCCTTTAGCTAGTTTAAAGTGCCAGTTTCCAGGAGTTAGGAGATATCTCTGTTTCCATTGCTAGGGTTTATTTAGTCGACGGAAAGAGGACCCTGCTTTGCCCACACAGGTTCCTCTGCAGTACAGTGAGCTGAAGGTGGCTCTGGAGAAGGAGAAAGCTCGCTGCGCAGAGCTCGAGGAAGCCCTTCAGAAGACCCGCCTGGAGCTCCGGTCCGCCCGGGAGGAAGGTAGGGTTCCCGGCTCTCGGGGCGCAGTGTCGGGACCCACTCCGGGAGAGCGTTCAAGACTAGCTCAGCCTCTGTATTTATGACCCACGAGCTTTCAGTGCAGACGTCCCAGGCTGGGAAAACCCATGGCACCCTCGGCCTTGCTGACTTGGTGCAGCGTGTGCCCTCTCGGTTAGGGGTCCTTGAGAGACAGCCCAGGGCGGTCCACTGGGCTTGGCCTTCTGGCGACTCGGCTGACCCCAGGGCGTGGGACTGCTCTCTCCCCAGCTGCTCACCGGAAAGCCACAGACCACCCGCACCCGCCTACGCCCGCCACCGCGAGGCAGCAGATTGCCATGTCTGCCATCGTGCGGTCGCCTGAGCACCAGCCCAGCGCCATGAGCCTGCTCGCCCCGCCGTCCAGCCGCAGGAAGGAGTCTTCAACTCCAGAGGGTACGTCTCCGGCCGTGAGAGTTGTGTTGACATTTTTCATCTTCATCGAGTAAGAAATGCAGACGTATGGTAAAAACGATCGATAATGATATTAAGGGATAAAGAATAAGAATCATCTCCTTTCTGTCCTCCTGATCTTAGTTCCCTTACCCAGTGTCAACCTGGTATTCATCCAACAATAGTTCACACATGAAACCACATGTCCGTATCATGCAAATATTCCATATTATGTAACCATATTTAAAGAGCATGAGAAAATAAGCCTATTTTTCTCAGCCCTTTTTTCTTTAGTAAGTATCAGAGCACACTATGCTACACACTACAAAACCCCTTTCTTTTAGTTTCAATGTTATCTTAGAGTGTTTCATTTAAACACACGTGGATGGACCTCATCCTTGTCAAGGGCTGCGTAGTATTCCTTGGTGTGGGTATGGGAGTCACCTGTTAAACCAGGCCCTGTTGATGGGCACTGAGGTTGTTTGCAGTTGCTGATCACCACACACCCAGCCGGGAACACGCACCTCTGGGCGATATGGAGCTGGGATGTGCTCTTGGGAAATGAATCACTCGGAGAAGGTTTTTGGGGTGTTGGTAGTTTGTGCCAATACATATTCCTACCAACAGTGGAAGGAGTTTTCTTTGTGGTCTCAGAAGTACTCCGTTCACCCAGAGATGGAAAGGACTGAAGGAGGTGGTGTGGAAAGTCCTGGGGAGAGTGGAGTGGAGCTCTGTTCTGGGTCAGCATCGTGGCATCGCCATAAACCTGCTTCAGCCGTAAATCTCGATGGCTTTCCAGGATGATGCCACCTTATTTTCTATGTGTACATAACACCGAATCAGTTAAAGAGCTGTACTCGTAAAGTCATTAAAATGGTGATCCTAACTCAGGAAAGAAAGGTTTCTGGCCCCGTGTCTGTGGACAGGGCTGGGGAGAGTGACTGCTTGAGTTGTTTGTGATACTCCCAGCACCTCCTTCGGCTGCGCTGCACGTGAACAGTTTCTAATTGTACATGTTCCTTATTCCTTACAACTTCGTGATAAAGGGGGGGCAGTGTTTATGGGGAACGTAATTTGGATTCAGAAATTTGGATCCTTAGCTTTTCTCTCTAATTAGTTCTAGGTCACTATTGAGAGGGGGCCTATGAAAAGAAAAAAAATGCCAATCTTATTAATTTTAACAAACAGGAATATAAATCTAAGAATCTGTTTTTGAAGCTTAAAAGTTGGGTTTTTGGTATAAAGAGGTTATTCATGAAAGATCTAGGCACGAAGGGAGAATTCATCAGTCAGCTTATATATTTCATAATTAGAAGTCTGTAGCTCATGATTGTGATTTTTAAACTGGATTCTGAAATGCTCCAGACACATGATTCTATCTGGAAAACAGCGTTCATGACCGAGATATCCACAGACGTTGGGTTGGAAAGCACGTTTCTTCACGCTCGCAGTCTGCGTGGCCACGTAGCCTCCGGCAGTGACACAGTCTCTAAAGCCCTGATTCCTAGTAACCAGATCAGATGTATGTGCCAGAATAGTTTCCCAGTCTAACCTGCTCTAATAGATTTTTTAACAACGTTACTGAGATAAATCCACACACCACCATCTACTCACTTGAAATGTACAACTCGTTTTTTGTTAAATTATCAGGTTGTGTAAACATCACATTCTGACTTTTGATCCAAACTTTTCCTCCAAAAAACATTCCATACCCATGGCAGTCACTCTTGTTTCCCCTTGTGCCCGGCGCCTGGCTTCCCGGCTCTGTGGTGTCCTGTCCGGGACATGCCACGTACACGGAATCACACCGCATGTGGCCTTTGGTCTGGCCTTCTTTTACTGAGCACACTGTTTTCAGATTCATCCGTGTTGTAGAATGTTTTAGTACTTTACTTTTTTATGGCTGAATATTATTCTACTGCATGAGTAGTGCATCTTGTGCATCTGTTAACTCACTGATGGATGTGTGGGTCGTTTCCATTTTTTTGACTGTCATAAATAATACTGTTATGAACATTTGTGTGCAAAGTTCTGTGGCTACATATGTTTTCAGTTCTCTTGGGCATATACCTATGAGTGGGATTTCTGGGTCCTATGGTAACCCTATGTTTAACTTTTGGGGGAGCTGCCAGCCTGGGTACAAGTGTGGCTGAGCCATTTTACATTCCTACCAGAGTGTACGGGGATCCCAGTTTCTCCACATCCACACCAACTTCTTATTTTCCATATTTTTTATTTATTTATTTTATTTTATCCTCACCCGAGAACATTTTTTGATATTTTGTTCAGATAGAGTGGGAGGAAGGGAGAGAGAGAGAAACATTGACGTGAAAGGGACACATCGAATGGTAGCCACCCACATGACCCAACCAGGGCCGAGGACAAACCACAACCGAGGTACATGCCCTTAGCGGGAAGTGAACCCAGGTCTCTCTATACCGCAGGCCAACGCTCTAACCACTGAGCCAAACCGGCCAGGGCTTATTTTCCATATTTTTAATTCTAGGCTCCCTGGGGAACAGGGACTGGTATCTCCTTGTGGTTTTGATTTTCATTTCGCTAATGACTAATGATGTTGAACATCTTTTCTTTTAAATGTTTTTTTATTGATTTTTTTTTCTTTTTTTTTTTTTAGAGAGAGAGAGGAAGGGAGAGAGAGATACATCAGTCGGCTGCCTCCTGCACACCCCCCACTGGGCATTGAGCCCACAATCTGGGCACGTGCCCTGATCAGGAATTGAACCAGGACCTCTCAGTCCGTGGGATGACGCTCAATCCACTGAACCACATGGGCTGGGTTTTTTTTTCCTTCTTTCTTTTTTTTTTTTCATTCTCACCTGAGGATATTTTTCTATTGACTTTCAGATAGAGTAGAGGGGAGGGAGGGAGAGAGAGAGGGAAAAACATCGTTGTGAGAGAGACACATCGATTGGCTGCCTCCCGCACGACCCCGACCAGAGCTGGGGATCAAACCTGCAACCCAGGTACATGCCCTTGACTGGAATCGAACCCAAGACCCTTCAGTCCTCAGGCTGACACTCTAACTGCTGAGCCAAACCAGCCAGGGCTTAAGCATCTTTTTATTTGCTCGTTGGTCATTTATTTATCTTCTTTGGCGAGATGCTTCTTCAGATCCTTTGCTCATTTTTTAATTGGGTTCTGTGTCATTTTATTATTGTTCTGTAAGAGTTCCTTATATGGTTTAGCTACAAGTCCCTTGTCAGAGATATGATTTGCAAGTATTTCCTCCCATTCTGTGGGTTGTCTTTTTATTTTCTTGATGGTATAATTTGTAGCACTCCAATAATTTTTAAAATGTTCCTCCAGAATTCAGTCGGCGTCTTAAGGAGCGCATGCATCACAACATTCCTCATCGCTTTAACGTGGGCCTGAACATGCGAGCCACCAAGTGCGCCGTGTGTCTGGATACTGTGCACTTCGGGCGCCAGGCGTCCAAATGTCTCGGTAAGAGCAGCGGTTGGGTGTGCGGTGGACACCTGCGTGTCTCCACCTAAAACAAAAATCTATCCGTTGGGGTCTCCCCCCCCATTTTAAATTCCTGGTCATAGAGTGCATTCATTTTTAAGCTTTTAGTTTCAGTGGGAGGATGCTATTTTTCTCCTGTTAGAGGAGTGAGTTTATACCTGTTTTCAGCCTCTGCCTCCAACCTCCTGTGCAGAATGCCTCGGGTTCTGCGGATTTCCAGCCGCCTTTTCATCAGGCTGGTCTGTGCACCTTTGGGCTGTGTGCTTGCTGGCTCCAGCTGGGGCGTGCAGCTGTGTCCTGTACACATGTTTGTGACAGCCTGGGCGAGGCCAGGACAACTGGATCGAGGGCATGGGCTCTCGTTTCCTGTCTCTGCGAGTCCTGACTCCTGGGAACGCGGAGGGGTTGCCTGGGTGACGGGGCCAGATCGCCAGGGCCGGCGGGGCGGGGGCGGGGGTGGCTGGCGGAGGGAGGGAAGGGTCCAGGATCAGCCAAGCCAGTTTTCAGGTGGTTCCTTGCTCTTCCCTAGAATGTCAGGTGATGTGCCATCCCAAGTGCTCCACGTGCTTGCCAGCTACCTGTGGCCTGCCAGCCGAATATGCCACACACTTCACTGAGGCCTTCTGCCGTGACAAAATGAACTCCCCAGGTCTCCAGGCCAAGGAGCCCAGCGGTGGCTTGCACCTGGAAGGGTGGATGAAGGTGCCCAGGTATTGCTGCAGGGCGGCTTGGTCTGGGGCAGGTGCTGGTGAAGGGTAGCAGAATAGGCCACCCCAAAATACACCATTCTGGGATAAAGATTATTTTGAACTAAAAGCACTCGAAAAACAGCAGGTGCAAGAAGGACACTCTGACCTCCCCTTTCTCTTCCTCAAAGTAGGAGATGAAGCTCCCTGTAAACACTGTTCTCCCTGTGCCGGGAGGAAAGAAACATTCTTATCACCAGACACGGGAGTTGAGGCTGGACTCCCTGTGCATCTTGGTCACTTCCCACAGTTGCTCTTCTTTGTTCAGCCTCGTATACAAGCACTCGGGCCTATCGGCTTGTCGAGTCTTTATTTTCTTATGGAGATGCCTGCATAAAATAACATTGGTGTGCTCTTCTCCTGTTCATCTGTCTGATATCAGTGAGCTCCTATGCCAGCCGCAGAACCTGGACGGGTCGAAGGAAGTTTTTCCTCCCCTGCACTGGCATGGATGGCCACAGGCTACTTCCATTCCTGGTGTTTTCTAGAGAATTCTAGGGACGTCTTTTCTGGGATTCCCTCCCTACCCCACCCCTTCCTCCCACCTGATTCTTCTGTGTTCAGACCTTTCTTCTGTTCCATCGCTCTTTTCTCAGGAATAACAAGCGAGGACAGCAAGGCTGGGACAGGAAGTACATTGTCCTGGAGGGATCCAAAGTCCTCATTTATGACAACGAAGCCAGAGAAGGTAAATTAGTAATTCAGGGGGATTTCATTGCACGCGGTGGACCCAGGGCTCCCAGTCTTGGCGTGAAGGCTTTGCTTTTCGGACTGCGTTGCAAGCCTTTGACGATTTTCCATTGTTGAAAATTAAACACCAAGTGACTTGGCTGAAGGTTATCGGTACGATGCTCACGTCTATAGGTCTCCCCTCTGAAGACCCTGCAGGGTGCTGCCCTGAAGATTCCACCTGCTAATACACCTTCCGAGAACTCCTGCCTCAGTCAACTAACCCATAAATCCGCATCGTCATCAGAAATTTGACTGTGCTACTCATCTGACACACTTTATTTTTTTTTTATCTTCCCTCTCCGCCTTCTCCGCACACCCTTTCCCTCCTTTGTTCTCGTGTGCCTCTTTCCACGCATACTGTCTCTCTCGCCCTCTCTCTCTCCGTTCTTTCTCTCTCTCTCTCTCTCTCTCTCTCTCTCTTCCTCTTTTCTCCCCTTGTTCTTGTTCCTGTTCTTTTGTTTTTCTTTCTGCCCTTCCTCTTTGCACCAAGCTGGACAGAGGCCGGTGGAAGAATTTGAGCTGTGCCTTCCCGACGGGGATGTATCTATTCATGGCGCCGTTGGTGCTTCTGAACTCGCAAATACAGCCAAAGCAGGTGAGAAACAGGAGCCCCACCCCGGAGGTGGGCTGGGCTTGCTGGATCTGCGAGGGCAGGAGGGGCACGTGGAGGATTGGCCTGCAGAGGGGCCCACCTCCCCGAGCTCCCCCCGTCTGAGCAGTGAAACCTCTGATACCTCAGGGCCATCCCTCCCAGTGGGACTGGGGAGGTCCACACCCAACCCTGTGCTCTCTGTCGCATCCCCTAGATGTCCCATACATACTGAAGATGGAATCCCACCCGCACACCACCTGCTGGCCCGGGAGGACCCTGTACTTGCTAGCTCCCAGCTTCCCCGACAAACAGCGCTGGGTCACCGCCTTAGAATCGGTCGTCGCGGGGGGGCGAGTTTCCAGGGAAAAAGCCGAAGCCGACGCGGTGAGTGTGCAAATGGGCGCTGGGACTTGTCTTTGTAAAGGGGGCTGACTTGGTGGGGTCCTGCTGGCTGTCACGATTTCCCGCAGGCTCCCTCGAGGGTGATGGCCCCATGACTGGGATTTTTTTTTGTTTTGTTTCGTTTTTTATCCTCACCCAAGGACACTTTTACATTTATCTTCAGATAGAGCAGGAAGGAGAGAGGGGGGAAGAGAGAGAAACATCGATGTGAGAGAGACACATCAACTGGTTGCCACCCACGTGACCCCAACTGGGGCCGGGGACAGACTGCAACCGAGGTACGTGCTCTTAGTGGGAACCGAACCCGGGTCTCTCTGGTCCACGGGCCGACACCCTAACCGCTGAGCCAAGCCGGCCAGGGCAATGACTGGGAGTTTTATGGCGCTCAGGTGACTTGTCTGGGCATCACGGTCCTCCTCCCAGAGCCTTTAAGAACGGGGGAGTCAGCACCGTTAGCCTCGTTATGGCAACGCAGCGGCTGATGGACTTACAAGGAAACCCTCTCTCTCCTCACTCTGATGCCTTCATTTGGCCTGAAGGCCTGCGGGAGGAGCACTTGGGCCCTGAAGCAGCACAAAGGCTGCGACAGCGTGTCTGCCTCAGGCAGGCTTTCCACAGCCTCCCGACCGCTGCCACTCGGTTTGCTCCTCCGGGGGCAGGTTGGCACCCTGCGTATCCTTGGGATGAGCGGAGCGTGGGTGTGCCTTGATTGGCAGCAGTCCTCCTAGAACTTTCCAGGATAGAAGCAGGGTGCATTGCTCATGGGCATTTTCTCCACCAAAGACCAGACAGCTCTTTTCAAGCACTTAGCTCCTCATAAACCCTCGAAGTGCTAGCAATCGATAGTCGTTAGCCACGTGTCTCCTGATGGACGCTCTGCTCACCGGGCAGGCTTGTGTTAATGACCTGTTTCATCGTTACTGTGTGTGCCTGTACTGAAACCCACGTTAATGTGTATACAGTAGGGCCATGCCTGCACTTCCTACGAGCTTCTGCCTGCAGGGGTTCAGGTAGAGAGAGTCAGAGCCTGTTGGTTTGCTGCTGACTTGGTGCTTTGCACTTCTGCAGTCTGGAGAAGGGACCGTCCGTGTGGCTTATTAACCCTTCGCAGGTGACACCTCTTCAGCTTCAGCGTATTTCCTATCCCAGAATATTTTCTGCGTCTAATTATACTCACTTATATCTGCGTCCAAGTGGGCTTGTAACTCCGATCTAATTAACAACCCTCCCAGAGACAGCAATAACAGTCACACCTCGCCTCAGGTCACTGCGCGAGGCAGGCCAAGAGCAGATGTGTGTTTCTGAGCATTTTCAGGGGTAACTTGCCTTTCTTCCCAGCATTAAACTTCTCTCCCTTCTTGCATTTGTCTCTGGGTGGTTTGGTCATGAACAGTTCAATCTCACCAGGTCCTCTTTTCTTTCCTTTTCTTTCACATATGAAAAGAAATTGCTTGGAAACTCCCTGCTGAAACTGGAGGGTGACGACCGGCTAGACATGAACTGCACACTGCCCTTCAGCGACCAGGTAATGCTGTTTTCTGGACACTGTCAGCTGGCGTCTGGCAGTAGCCACACGAGGTCAAGAAAGAAGGCTCTGTCGGCCTTCCTGTCTGGGGCTGTTACGGTGACGTGATGATGCTGATGTTCTGCCCTTGGACTTCTGCCCTTGCAGGTGGTGTTGGTGGGCACTGAGGAAGGGCTCTATGCACTGAATGTCTTGAAAAACTCCCTCACCCACGTCCCAGGAATTGGAGCAGTCTTCCAAATTTACATCATCAAGGACCTGGAGAAGCTACTCATGATAGCAGGTGGTAGGCCGAGGACATGTTGCTTTTCCTTCACTTCTAAGGAAAACGATTTGAAAGCCAAATGTCAAGCTTGTGAAACTCAGAGGCAGGCCTGCTGGTGGCAGGCAGGTCGGAGCAGAAGCAGCTCTTTTCTCTCTCCCTGTTTGTGCCCAAGCTGATGGCGCTCTCTGTTCATTGTCGGTTCCTTGGGGTGCAGCGTAGCGCAGACTGACACCCCCAAAGGACACCTGAGCGTACTCGAGGGGAGGAGTAGCGAGCCTCACAGTCATTACTCAGACCTTTGTCCTCATCACGTGGTGCCGCTGAGTCAGGACCTTCCAGGAGCTTCCGGCTCCGTCGCGCGTTGTCTGCAGTTTCCCTGGGACTTCTCAGACACCCTTTGTCCAGGGTCACCAGTCGCTAAGGTTTTTGCCACGTGCTCCCTCTCTCTCCCTGTGAGACACAGACACGCCATCGCTTTTCTGGACTGAGCCACGTGCACTCAGTTCTTCAGCATGTCACCCGAGCACGGGGTGTGCTCTCACATCCCACGGCAGAAAGTTGTCCTTCTGTTTGTTGGTGGTACCGTTGGTTTGATTTAAGGGAAAACAGTAATTTATTGGCTCTGCGTTGGGAACGTCCACAGTGAGGCCTTGTTCTAGGCTGGATGGATGGATCCAGGGCTCAGCTAGCAGGGTCTGGAGCTGCCTTTCCTTGACCTCAGCTCTTCCCCTCTGCTTTGTGTGTGTGTTTCTCCTCGTGGCTCTCCCTCCTCCCTTCCTCCTTGACTTTATTCTTTAGAGAAGTTTTAGGTCCACAGCAGAACTGAACACAATGCCAGAGATCTCCCACAGGCCCCTGCCCCCACCCACGCACAGCCTCCCCCACTGTCGACATCCCCCACCGCAGGGTCCGTCTGTTCCATCGATGAGTCTACAGTGGCACCTCATTGTCCCCCGTGTCCATAGCTGACCTGTGGGCTCGCTCCTGGTGCTGCGTGTCTATGGGTTTGGACACACAGGCCGTGGCGCAGACCCACTGTGGTGGTGACATACAGGTTTCACGTGGAGCGTCTTTGAGTTCACAGAGTCTAATCCTTGCTGGGATGCAGTGACGGGTGTATTGTCATAGTCAGATTCCACCTGTGTTTCTTCGCTGGCTAGTGGTCTAGTCCGGGATCATGCATTTGGTTGTGTCTCTTCAGTCTGCGTTACCCCGAGACAGTGTCTTCATGACACTGCCATGTTGGGGTAGTCAGGGCCTGTTGTTTTTTGAAACGTCCCCCTGGTTCTAACCCTTTCGTACTTTGGAGGGGCGCATGTTTGAAGAGTATAGTTAAGCCCTGGCCGGTTTGGCTCAGTGGTTAGAGCGTCGGCACGCCGACCAAAGAGTTGTGGGTTTGAGTCCGACCACGGGCACGTACCTTCATGGCGGTTCATCCCTGGCCCTGGTTAGGGTCGTGTGGGAGGCAACCAATTGATGTCTCTCTCACATCGATGTTTCTCTGTCTCTCTCTCCCCCCCCCCCGCCTCCCTCCCTTCCACTCTATCTAAAGATAAATGGAAAAAATATCCTTGGGTGAGGATTAAAAAAAAGTATAGTTCACCTCCAGTTTTCTGTCTGCAGAATTTTTTTTTCTCCAAGAATCTTGACTTGGCCAGATGTTTTCATTTGAAATCTAAAACCCGGACCCTGACTGTGTTTACAGGAATTTGTTCCCGTCCGTCGTGTGGCCTTGCTGGCTTTTATTTGTGAACTCAATTAGAATTGCCATCCCGTGTCTTTGCTTAATGGCTTCCCCCTGACAAAAAGCTGTTCCTTTTCCCCTCAGGAGAAGAGCGGGCCCTGTGTCTTGTTGACGTGAAGAAAGTGAAACAGTCCCTGGCACAGTCGCACCTTCCCGCCCAGCCAGACATCTCGCCCAACATTTTCGAAGCTGTCAAGGGCTGCCACTTGTTTGCTGCTGGCAAGGTGAGCTCTCCTCGGGGCTTTGGCGGGCGGAATGTATCACCAACTCATTTCCAGGCCTTTTTTTCTACTATAACCATTTTAGGGCTATACATTTTCCTCTAACTACAGTTTTAGTTGCACCCTGTAAATTTTTATCATTCTACATATTTTTAAATCTCTTAGGATTTTTTTTTCTGTGAATGCTGAGTTACTTAGAAATGTGCATCTAGTTTCCAAAAATTGGTTTTGAAAAAGTATAAGTTAATTTCATTATGTTTGAAATACAAAAAGAATGTATGGAGTGTATATGTAAATTGTAAAATTATAACACCTAATAATGTTGTAAACATCCCCAAACCCGCCACCCAACCTGAGAACTAGAACACGGCCAGCAATTTTAATTTCCCAGTGTATTGCTCCCTTATTCCATCCCCCCGACCCTGCCAGCCACCATCATTTCAGGACTCACTTGATCAATAAGCTTCTTTTCGCCCTGGGTGAAATGACAGCGGTCTAGGTGCAGGAGGTGAAGTAAGAGGGATTCAGCTGCTCTAGAGAAACAGTTTTCATGTGGATTTCTGTATACACAGATCTTAGCTAAGCACTTCTCTTTCTGGACCAAAATCTCCAAATTCTTATAGCAATGTCTACTGCCTCTCCTCTCCCTGAGGGTATGAGATTCTCAGAAGAATCTGTCTCCAGCCAACGATGCATACACACAAACTGTGTGTCAGGGCAGGTGGATTTCCTGAGCCTTTCTCTGCATTTCCATTAAATCAGTGTTCTCACCCAGGGTGAGTCTGCCCGCCAGGGACATTGGGCATTGTCTTAACTGGCCCTTGTACCATTGGCATCTACTAGGCGGGGCCCAGGGTTGCTGCTAAATACCCTATAAAGCAGGGAACAGTGTTTCGCCACAGGCAGGTATCTGGCCCAAAAGCTCAGCGGTGCCAAGGCTGAGAGGCCCCGCTCTAAGTTGTTCTTTCCCTAGTTTTGCTATGGCGTCAGTATACACACCAGTGACACGCTTCTTTTTTCTATCTTTTTTCCTCCGACTGCTTTTCAGATTGAGAACGGGCTCTGCATCTGTGCAGCCATGCCTAACAAAGTCGTCGTTCTCCGCTACAACGAAAACCTCAGCAAATACTGCATTCGGAAAGTAAGTCCCAGGCCCCGTGCGCCCGTCTGCTCTGCCCGCGAGCTGGCACGGGAAGCGTGCTGTCTCGGAGCAGCGTGTGTCTGCTCCCCGCACCCGCTGCCCTTTAGCCTGGGTGACCTCCTCAGAGACCTCCTTCCCGGAGGAAGCTCCAGAGCCGTAGCCGCTGCAGGTTCTCTCTCGCTTTCCTCTCCTGCGTGTGTGGCCTCTCCAGCCAGCCCAGTGAATCCTGCCGTCTGTTAAGGCAGAAAGGGGGTGGCTGATGGAGGGAGACACTTTTGAACCAGCAGAAAAAAAAGGACAGAGATCTGAGAAGCTGGCAGTCCCTGGTGGCACTTCCCAGAATCTTTCTCAGATCCCAGAAGTTTCTGCTGGTTATCTCGGAAAGGCCAGCGCTGATTGTTCTGAAACGCAGTTAGGTTAGGGAGCTGGTTGCCTCGGAGCAGCGTGCCTTGTGGTGAGGACGGCAGAACAGACCAGCGCCCGTTACCTTGGCCTCTGTCCTGGAGAAGGCCATCTGTTGTCCCCAGGCTGGGCTGTCCCGCCCACCATAAGCCTGATTTATTTCAGGTATTGTCTTGATTAGTCTCAAAAGGGAAACAAGGGATGAACACAGAAGGGTCGTTACCTGATAGACTTAACAGCTAGAGAAACTTTTCCTCCTGAGTGGGCCGTTGTTAGTCTAGGTTGGATTTTACTGAGCACCTACTGGTATCAGAGCCCGAGCTGGCTACTTTACAAACACCTTTTGCAGCAGGTCTGAAAACCAGGTTTGGCGATTCTGAATTTCCAGTAAGACGGTTGACGGAGGCTGGCCGAGGTCCTGTGTTAACAAAGTTGAGACCAAAACTGAAGTTTGATTTTTTTTCCTACCGTTTCATTATGTCACGCTGCCTAAGGTTTCCTCACACTTCGTAGGTGATCAGTAAATATTCAGTGGTCATGATAATGCTGATTCAAGTTGGAACTGTAGGCTTCAGGAGAATTCTCGGGAATCACTGCTGTTTTTTCATTCCTGGCCACCGTTTTGAATAACTGTGTCTTGGTTGCTGAAGCCATTAGGATTGGCCTGAAAACAAGTGGAAGTAACTAGGAAGCAGATCATTCAGACAGATGATGACAGTAATTATATTGGTAACATAGGTTCCAAATGGAAACATAGAAGCTTTCAGAAAGAAGGAAACTAAGACCACTCCCTCCAGCCCCCGCTGCTCGCACTTGATGTATTTTCCAGGCTCTTTCCTCTGATGAGAAGGTGTATTTTTTAAGCTCTCTCTTTGAATGCTACCTTTCCATTGAACGGGCGTGTCTGACCTTCTTGGGGGCTATAATTTGGCCTTGTTTTCTTAGGCTGGGATGGCAAAGAATTCGAGGCAGCAAAGGGACGTGGACAGATCAAATGCGCTGTGTTTAATGCCGGCTGGAACTCGGCTGGCTGCCCGAGGCAGACAGGACCAGCAGAGGCCTGGCTGCCTTAAGTCACACTCACCTTCTCCTCTCTGCTCTGTCCCAGGAGATAGAGACCTCAGAGCCCTGCAGCTGCATCCACTTCACCAACTACAGTATCCTCATCGGAACCAATAAGTTCTACGAAATTGACATGAAGCAGTACACGCTTGAGGGTAGGCCCGTCCTCCGGCCCACACACTGCCCCCCCCCGCCGCCTGCTCCAGCCGTTCCTGAGCCCCGCTTCTCCCTGCCTTTTCAGAATTCCTGGATAAGAACGACCACTCCTTGGCGCCCGCTGTGTTCGCCTCCTCTTCCCACAGCTTCCCTGTCTCGATCATGCAGGTGAACAGCGCAGGGCAGCGGGAGGAGTACCTGCTCTGCTTCCACGGTGAGTCGGCCTCGGCGGCTGCTGTCGGGAGCTCCAGACTGGGCCCCGGGCTGCGGACTGGCCAGTGGCGCTCTGGGGCGGGTCCTGCTGGGGACACGGCAGCCTTCCCGCTGCCACCAAGGCCCCCTCGGGGTCCGCCCGCCCCGCCAGGGCACTGACCTGCCCGTGCTGTCATGTTCTGTCCAGAGAGCAGGCAGTTCTTCCCTTCTCTGTCCCCGCTTCTGTCTCCCTTTCCTTAGACTTCCGTCTGTCTTTCCTTCCTTCTTTTTTCTTTCCCAGTCTCTGAGTCTGATTTCTCTTCCTTTCTTTCTCTGGGTCTCTGTTTCTCCCTCTTCCTCACCCCTGTCCTTTCTCGTCCCTTTTCTTCTCTCCCCCCTTTCACTTGAGCCCTCCTTTTCAAATAGATCAGGCTCAGAGGGGTTCTTAGGTTTTACTGATCCAGTGACATCTGGCAGGTGGTCCCCTGGACTCGATGCCTTCTTCCGTCAAAGTGTGTATTGTTGACACCCTCAGCCTCTAGCTGTGCTGATGCCCCCGGCTCTGACTCCTTGCAGAATTTGGGGTGTTCGTGGATTCTTACGGAAGACGGAGCCGCACAGACGATCTCAAGTGGAGTCGCTTACCTTTGGCCTTCGGTGAGTGAGGTTGGGTGTGGAGGGCTCTTTCCGTCCCGGGAAAGATTTGCGGGTGGAATTCTTTTTGGCCTACGCACTGTGCTCGTGGCTTCTATTGGACGCCAAGCGCCACATGTAGTCGCCACTCGAGATCGTGCTCAGAGCAGAGATTCCGAGGCTTGATGAAGAATTGCACCAGCCAAACCCACCAGCCTTGTGAAGTATTTGTTAGGTTCTCATGATGGAAAGGAGATCACTCCCTGTGAGTTAATTTAAATCACTTCAAAGACACTAGAGTATCCCATGGCATAGCCGAACACCCATCAGTATTATCAGTTATAATTGGGCAGAGCACTTGGGTCCTGGCCCTTCTTGTATGTGTAAACAACACTGTGATGAACATCTCGTACTACTAATCTTTATACACTTGTCAGATAGTGTCCTCTGCTCCTCAGTTCTAAAAGTGGAACCACATACATAATCGCTCCTACATACAGGTCTGTGCATACTTGTCTCTGAATGTTCTGAATTATGTTACAGCAGAAGTACCCTTCCAGGCTTTTTCGTTTATCTATTGCTGCATATCAAGTTTCAAAACTCAGTGACTTAGCACAACAGCAACTTGTTGCCCATGGTTCTGTGGTCGCCTGGACAGTTCCGCTTCGGGTGGGGTCAGTGGGGTCACAGGGACAACGAGAAGGTCCACAGTGGCCTCACAGACGTGGCAGCACTTGCTGCTGGTGGCTGGAGGCCTCAGTTCTTCTCCATGTGGGCAGAAATGGAAGCTGCCAGGCCTTCTCACCTTCACCATATGCTGCCGGTTAAAGCAGCCCAGGTTCCAGGCAGGGAGACTCCACCGAGGCCTGCGCAGCGGGAGGCCCAGCAGGGCGTCTGAGGTCAGGGTAACCACGCGGAGTGTGGTGTGATCTCCTGTCCCTCTAAGGCAGGAAAGAGCTCAGGTCATGTCCTAGAGTTGCAGTGACACTGGGATACATAGTGTCAGGACCAGAAATACCTAGTTACTTACGAACCCAGTCTTTGTTTGATTTTTTTTGAAATGCATATAATCAAAATTTTAAAAGCATGTACAATGAAAAGGCTCATCCATATTACCCACCTTCCAAATTCTCCATCCTCATTCCCCCAAGAGAAAAAAATACGAGTTTCTTATCCTTCTAGGGCTTTATGCAAATACAGAGAATAAAAATATATTCTTATACCCTCCCCCCTTTTTTTTTATCATTACGGTAGCACACTTCACACATTATTCTGAATCTTGTTTTACACACTAAGTAAAACGACACACCTCAGACCCTTTCCCATATCAGAGTGGGAGATAAATCTTGGACGTTACGGCTGTGCAGAGTCCCACAGACGTGCCGTAATGCACTCAGTGATCCCCTCGAACGGGGGGATCCCCCTGAGCCGGGCCCATCTTCTGCTCTAACAACATGGCAGCGAACACTCTCGAGCAGGCCTCGTTTTCCTGGCACTGGTGTGATTCCTTCGGGTGGGCTTGCTGGGCCCAGGGTGCACCACGGGCAGGTCTTGATTTCCTCTTAACCCTTCCTTCACCCTCCTCCTCCTCGGCGGCCACGCAGCCTACAGAGAGCCCTATCTGTTTGTGACGCACTTCAACTCACTCGAAGTGATCGAGATCCAGGCGCGCTCCTCCCTGGGGTAAGCACGCCCGGGGCTGCGGAGCTCGGTGGGTGCGGCCGCGCGTCCCTTCCTTGCCGCCTCGCAGTGGGGCTGACCCGCGCTGCCGGCTCTCCTCGGCCCCGCAGGACTCCTGCCCGAGCGTACTTGGAAATCCCGAACCCACGCTACCTGGGCCCGGCCATTTCCTCGGGAGCCATCTACCTGGCGTCCTCGTACCAGGATAAACTAAGGGTCATCTGCTGCAAAGGAAACCTCGTGAAGGAGTCCGGCACCGACCACCATCGGGGCCCCTCCACTTCCCGCAGGTACTGTGCCCCCCTCCTCCTCCTCACAGGGGCCGTGCCCTCTGCACAGCAGCAGGAAATCTCGCTAAAGCGGCTGGAGGGCACCCAGTGCCCAGGCACTCGTTCCTTGCGAGCAGCGTTGGCCTGAGTCAGTAAGTGGCAGGGGATTTGGAAGCGCCCCCTTAGGAGAGGTGGAAGAAAGCGGCTCGCCTTTCCCTGGTGGGTATTTTCAGTGGTTCTGTTTGGAATGGAGCGTGGATGATGCAGTCATTGGTTTAGCAGGTGTTCTGGGCTCGTTGGGCCGTCGGGGGGTTTAGTGGTGAACAAGCCAGATGCTTCTCCGGCCTGACGGAGCCCCAGGGGAGAGAGGCGCACTCGGGCAATGGCGGCGCGGCCCGGACGGGCGAGGCTGCCAGCGGGTTGTTCAGGGGACCCTGGGAGCTCGGAGGAGGCCCCCTGCTTGGACTCGGGGGTCAGGGACGATTTCCAGAAGAAATGAGGTCCTACATATACTTACTTCCCTCTTTCTTTGTATGTCTTGTGATTTTTTGTTGTTGTTGTTGAAAACCAAGCATCCCAAATAATATAATGTGCTAAGTCTGGAAATCAACCCCTCGCTGGGCTTGTTGCTGTTTATTGAGTGACTTTCCTAGACTAATTCTCTCGAGTCTGTCTTCCTTATTATGGCTGCCACTGAAGTTTCTGGGGATAGGGTCTTTCTCACGAGGTAGCCCTGAGTCAGGACAAATAAAATCCAGCCCTGAGAACGGTGTTTCCCAAAGAGGAACCAGACAGGTCAGATGGTGGCTGGCACAGCCCCTGTGGCTACAAGGCCGCTGCTTTCGATGTGCTGCAGACGGGGGAGCGGTGGGAACAGGTCGAGTTAAAATGGCACAAAGCTTGTTCGGACCGAGGTTCAGCTGTTCTTCTCGCCTAAATGCTTTTCCAGTGGCTGCAAGTCTTTGGTTAATTTCCAGGGTTCCGAAGTTGATCTTGACGGTTTTTGTCTGTGCTCTTGTTGCTTTCATGGAGGAACAGTGAGGAGGTCCTCACTCTGCCACTCTGGAAGTGCTCTGCCCCTTCTTTTATCCTCACCTGAGGACCTTTTCCCATTTTTGTTCAGATAGAGTGGGAGGGAGAGAGAGGAAAGGACAGAGAGAGAGAGACAGCGAGTGGTTGCTTCCTGCACGACCCCAACCAGGGCTGGGGACGAATCGCAACTGAAGTACGTGCCCTTGACCGGAATTGAGCCCAGGACTCATTGGTCTGTGGGCTGACGCTCTAACTGCTGAGCCAAACCAGCCAGGGCTCTGCCCTTTCTTTTCAGTACAGGTGGTCGCACGCTGTGCCTACTTGCAAACTGAACGTATCTCGGAGATGGCTCCATGTCAGTGTGAGAAGTATTTCTTCCTTCTTTCTTCTCCCATGACCTTAGCTCCTTTGCTCCTTGCTCAGTGGGTTTGGGTGGTGTCCAGTGTGCTCCTGTAGTGAGTGAGTCTGTGGCAGTCTGTGGCAGTCTGTCATTTGGCATGTCTAGGAGTCGGTTTGTGGGATCAAGTCCCAGAAACAGCTGTGCGTTTGTCATTTTGATAGATGCTGCTGAGTTTTCCTCTGTGGAGGCTGAACCTTTTGTGGTCATTCCCACCAGCGTTGCGGGGAACTGGGGCTGGCCTTGTCCTGACACGGAGGGCCAGGTCCAGGTCGATGTGCAGGTTTGAGATGTGTGGAGTTCAAGTTCTTGGTCCCCAGCGAGGGCTGAGGTTACTTCACCCAGGGCTGGCTAATGATCTGGGGGTTCGGTTTTTGGTCTCGTTTACACACCCCACGTGCCTACCCCATAGAGTTACGTGGACCTTCGACTGTGTGCCAGACACGGTGTCGGGCTGGATACATGGATGAAGACACTTTCCAATTCCGAAGCGACTCTTGGTTTGGTGGTGGAATCACCTCATATTATAAAATGCTTAGATCTTGGAAGAGAGTGTCATCAATTTAATATTCTGAGGCGATAGCCTAGTGAAGAGGCTCTCTTTTTTCTGCTGAGCTATGAGTTGGTCAGAAATGTTTGGTCGGTGTGATGTGAATCCCAGGAACGTCGGGCACCAGCGGCCCCTCGCCCGTGCCTTGACCCTGCCTCAGGAGTGGCCGCGTAGGGCCAGAGTCCTCGCTGGAAACCGGAGACTTTATCTAAGTAGATTTTACTTTATTCATCTAGATGTTATTTAAGTAGTTCCAAGTTATGCCAAGAACAAATCAAAGTACTGTAATTCAGTGTTCTTCTCCACTGCCTCACCGGCTCGATGGCCAGGCACCTTCCCTTTGAGACTCTGTGGGGTGCCTGCGAGGAGTTACTGTTTCTGTGGTTGAAATGGTTCCAGTTCCCGGGAACAGGGCGCAGAAGTGAAGCTGTGGCCAGGCAGCTGGTCTGCAGTTGCCTCCTGGTTTGCACATGCTCTGTAGCTGCGACTGCTCTGGGCAGGTGAGAGTGTAGCTGTCCAGAGCTTTCAACTGGGGGGGGGGGGAGAGGATTGTGTTCTTTTTTTTTTTTTAATCCTCACCTAGGATATTTTTACATTTATCTTCAGATAGAGTGGGAGGGAGAGAGGGGGCAGAGAGAGAGAGAAACATCAATGTGAACGAGACACATCCACTGGTTGCCACCCACACAACCCTAACCGGGGCCGGGGACAAACCGTAACCGAGGTACGTGCCCTTAGCGGGAACCGAACCCAGGACTCTCTGGTCCACGGGCGACGCTCTTACCACTGAGCCATACTGGCCAGGGCTCTTTTTTTATTATTGTGTTTTCAATGCAGAAATACATCATCTGTTAACAAAATAGCTCTTGAAAAATATGAGGAGTACAGATACTATAAAACAAACTCCAGTCTTGAGACACTATGTACAGCAAGCGAAAGCAACACTCTGATCTCCAGGTTGTGAAAACTGGAATTAAAAAGTCACTACCCAGCCCTGGCCAGTGTGGGTCAGTGGTTAGAGCATCGGTCTGAGCAGCAGAGGGTCTCGGGTTTGATTCCCAGTCAAGGGCACATGCTTGGGTTGCAGGCTTGGTCCCCGGTCTCAGTCAGGGTACACTTGGGAGGCCCCCAATCAGTGGACACATTGATGTTTCTCTCTCTCTCCCCTTCCTTCCTCTCCACTCCTTCCCACTCTAAAAATTAATGGAAAAATATTGTCAGGTGAGGATTAACAACAACAAAAAAGTCACTACACAGCTTGGCAAACTGGGGTGCAGTCACATGGAATATTTAATAAGTGGATTTCGGTCCCCCGTGTGCACACAGAACAAGACTAAATCTGGACCCGGCGGTCATTTCAACTCCGAAGCTACACCGCGGGCCGCGTCTCCCGGTCTGTTCAGCAAAGCGGGAAATGTAGCTCTTCCCAAGAAGCATAAAATTGACGTGGAAGATCATTGGTTACTAATGGGTACGGAGATGGAAGATTGCCCACTCGGCCTAGAATGATGGGTGTCTCCTTTCATCCCATTAATCTAAGCCGACGTCCCGAGTGGCCTTCCTTGAGCCATCCTTCTTCCCTGGGCAGGGAGCTCCCGCTCACTTCCTTCGTGATGGGCCCCTGCGGGCACATTTTATAACTTCCCTTCCCTTACACACGGGCTTAATACCATTCTCCTACTTGGGATGCATTCTGTTACTTGTCTGCCATATCTTAATGCCACGTAACTAGAGATGAATGCGAACCCTGGCTCCCAGCTGCTGGAATCTGAGGTACGTGCCATTGCTGCAGACAGCCCTGGGGGCTCTGGCTTTCTGAGCCCTGGGCCTGCATCTTCACAGTCAGAACTGCACTGGGGGCAGGAGAATGACATGCAACTGTGCGCATCAGACCGACCACTCACAAAATTATCTCCACGCACCATCCTGTGTCAGGGTAGAGCAGGAATTGGCACACTCTCTCTGTAAAGGTCCCGGCTTTGCGGGCAATATGGCCTCTGTCCCAGCTACTCAACCCTGCTGTGGTGTGAAAGCAGCCACAGACAGTCCATAACCAGATGGGCATGAGTGTGTTCCAATAAAACTTTATTTATAAAAGCAGGCATCTGTCTGGAGGTGGCTCTCGGCTTGCTCTAGAGTCTTTCTTCCTGTGGATCAGTGTCTTTGCTGCTCAGTTGCCTTCAGTTACAGGCATTGACAAAAGAGGTTCTGGTAAAGTTAGAACAAGAACGAAAGAAAGAAAACCGACAAATTTGATACAATGAAAAGCTGTTCCAAAGAGAAGGACTTAAATTTCAAGGATTACGATAGGCCTTTGGAAAACCAGTGACACTTTCACATATTTTTGAAGAGATGTCTCTATGATTTACTGCAAAAGCCAACATCGATGTAAATAAAGGAGGTCAGGTAGCATGTTGGCATGCAAATTTTCTGAGAAAATTACAGCGAGATAAATCAGTATGAGATTCGTACTTGGTTCATTCTTGAATCAGCATGTACTTGTAATTTCAATTTTTAAAATATCTAAGATAAGATAAATTTATTTTCCTGATTTCTACTTTTACTTCCTCAGATAAAGCCCAGTCGATGATAACATGTCTCCAAGTGGATTCACTCTAAAATGTTTCCATTTTAAGTAGGTTGCCTTCCCCCAGTGCTAATTATGCTCAGATAATGAAGACCCAAGTACTGTTTCTGCTCGTGGAGGTGGGAAGGGATTTACTTTGAAGGCTGCATGTCAGTTCCCTCGTATTTCCGGATACTGCTTCTTCAGAGGTGGTTAGGGACAGAAATCTTCGTCTGAAATACCCCAGCCAGGACTGGGGTAGGGTTGCATTCGTTGTACCAAAAGGCCTCAGTATTTTCTTTCTTTTTTTATGTGGGGGATGGGCTTAATGTTTTCTACTGTTGGGTTATTAACCATTACCCTTTGGGGCCAGGGACGCAGTAGGTGCTCAGTAAATAGAAGCCTGTTCTGAGACCAGGACCCTTGGTTTTCTTTTATTTTCATCTTTGCTTTCTTCCCTGCCTCCCGACCCAAATAAAACAAACAAAAAGCCTGAAGAACAGCAGGCGGGACCCTTTTCCTGTAATCAGTGGTGAGCGTGGGCATGGGGGTTTCTCAGAGGAGGAGGATGCCCCTCCGGGGCTGTGACTCCTCAGCACCCCCCCCTCTCCTGTCGCCAGCAGCCCCAACAAGCGAGGCCCGCCGACGTACAACGAGCACATCACCAAGCGCGTGGCCTCCAGCCCGGCGCCACCCGAAGGCCCCAGCCACCCGCGAGAGCCAAGCACACCCCACCGCTACCGAGAGGGGCGGACAGAGCTGCGCAGGGACAAGTCTCCGGGCCGCCCCCTGGAGCGGGAGAAGTCCCCAGGCCGCATGCTCAGCACGCGGAGGGAGAGGTCCCCGGGGAGGCTGTTTGAAGACAGCAGCAGGGGCCGGCTGCCTGTGGGAGCCGTGAGGACCCCCCTGTCCCAGGTCAACAAGGTGAGGCACCATCGGAGGCCAGAGGAGTGGCCTGGGAGCTGAGGCCCCCTCGGGGACACTGCTGTAAATAGGAACTCCATTATGTAATTCAGATGTGGCGAGGCACACCTGGAGGTTAGGGAGAAAGGTGCTTGATTCCTGAGCACATGGGCAAGGTGTGCGTTCATGTACCTGACACGTAACAGCCACCAAAGGGTCGCTCCCTCCCTCACGGCAGCGGGCGTTGCAGTTTCTAGAAGAGTCTCTGTGTATAGCAGGTGTCTCTCTCCTACGCACAGGACACCACACCTGGCGTTCGTGCGTTGCCTCTTCCAGACGCGCACGCACACACCCGTGCATGAGCGTCTTCCAGGAAGGCTGCACGGAGACTGTAAGCAGTGGCTGCCTTCTCGAACCCCGAATCCCTTCACCGAAGCTGGTTTTCTGGGTCACTTTCCCTCTGATGTTGCCTGCAGGTCACTGCCGCCCCCCTGCCGGCACAGAGAGGAGGAGAACCCTCTAGATGTTTTTCCTTGTCTCCTGTGCTTTACTGATGAGATGGGGGTGGGGTGGGGAGGGGAATGTGCGTGAAACAGTAGAGATACTCATAGCTTTGGGGACTTGCCAGTGAATTTCAGTCCCCGACGGACTCCAGGCTTTGAGGGTGGCCTGCCAGTTGGTGCCACCTGCGCAGCGATCAGCCTTAAGCACTGAGAGGAGGGACCGGGTGCCGCAGACCCCCGCTGGGGTCGTGCAGAGCCAGCAGAGCCTGGCCTCTGGCAGCTAATCCCCTCCTCCTCCTGCTCCTAGGTCTGGGACCAGTCTTCGGTGTAAGTCTCCGAAAAACCAACTCCTCATCTCAACCTGCAGGAAAACACCCAACACACGATGGAACACTGCTGAAGGGGACCCCAGCACCATGTGCCCAGCCACCACGGCTCAGCTGGGCCCAGGCCACCTCAGCACGGACACGCCTGCGGCTCCCAGGAGCTGCCGGCACGTTCGCGGTCGTGTCTGCGCTTTGTTCCTCCTTCAGAGCGTTCGGGAACTTTTGTACCTAGTTCTAGCCTGTCCCATTCATCAGAGGAAACCACCGGGCGCTGCCTACGGCGTGGTCAGATCCTAGTGAACAGCTCCTAGGGTTGGTGGTTTTTTGTTTTGTTTTTAGTTTTTTTCCTTTTTTTAAAAGACAACAGAATTCTTACTGGATTTGAATAGCACTGTATTTCCTGTTGTAGTCCTTTTTAGCTAGCTCACACCATCAGGTCTTTGCTACCGAAGCGTATCGTAGGAGAGTCCCCGCCAGGTGGCCAACGTCCCTCCCGCACCTAGGTTCATTCTCATTCCCGCCCACCCTCACAGACGGCCCTGTTTTACCCAGGGTGACACCTTAGCCAAATGTTTACTGTTCTCATTGCCTTGATGGCCTTGACGACTCCCCCTCCCACCAGCTGAGAATGTGTGGCGGTCAGCAGGCCTCAGCTTGGAGGCAGTGACTTGGGGCCAAGGGACCTCGAGGAGCTTTCCCTCCCCGCCCTCAGCGTCATCTCCCAGCCTGCTGTCCCCGCTCTCCGTGTAGCTTTGGTCAGGAAAGCATGCCCTAGATGTGCTCTGAGCCCAGCGTTCATGGGGCTTGGGCCCAGGAGGGGACTGGGGGCACCCAGCCCCCGTCCTCCGTGATGGCGCATTGTCCCCGCCCTGAGGTGGGAAGACGCCCGCCCAGGAGTTCTGCATGGCGGTCCCTGCATGTGCTGCCCCCGGCCTGGCTGCCCCTTGGGCGCTGTGCCGACGCCCCAGCACCCCCCATCGCGCCTGCCGGACCGGGGCCCTCTGACCACCTGCCAGCTCACCGGCCACACCAGCTGCGGTCTGCAGCGCTGAACAGACAAAAACCAAACGCTCAAGCCTTACGTCCAGAGAAGGATTTCAGCAAACACCTCACACGCACGCTTCCTGCCGACTCCCACGTGGACGACTGTTCACACAGCCCAGCACGGTGACCCACGGAACGGGGACTTCCCAGACGGGCCTCTCCCTAGGGCTAGACTAACCAGGAGTCTGAAGGCAGCCGCCGCTCAGCACCACCTCTGCTGGCCCGGAAGGCCACCAGGGGCGGCGGCCGCCCCGTTTCTACCCTCTGGCGACCGGTCAATTCCTGGCGACTGGTAAAGAACCAAGTTAGAGGCTTTGCAGTTGGCAAGCTAACTAGCGGCCTTATTTCTGCCTTTAATCTCCCACAAGGCATCTCTTGCTTCGGATTCTCCACGACTCTTAGGCACGCCTCCGACAGCCAAGGCACCTCCTAGGCAGGCTGACAGGTAGACCTGTTTCCACCGCAGCAGGTGCACATGACCGTGTTTCCACCCACGTGCCCACAGTTCAGGCCACTCTCCAGATTGCAGCCTGGCCCGCGCCCTGGCTCCTTCCTGCTTGTCTCTAACCTAAGTGCTTTCTCATCTGAGACGCCCGTGACCCCCATGTTGTTGCACCCTTGGCCCGTGTCATGCTGTCGTGTTTTCTGTGTTGCTTAGAGCCTGTGGGGTGATGCTGCATCCCCGCCCTCCCCCAGGGCAGATCCGACTGAATGTTCGCTGAGGTTTTGTCTCTTGGTCCACAAGCATTTGGAAAGGTCGCTGAGAATTGGTCTTTCAGCCTTGGCATTTCATTTAGGAGCTCCATGAGAAACGGCTTCTAGAGCCCCGAGCGTGCGTGTCGTGTGTCTCACTCGTGACAGGCTTCCTGCTCTAGAACTAGCTCAAAAGACTGTACATATTTACAAGAAACTTTATATTCGTAAAAAAACAAAACAAAAAAAGGAAATTGAATTGGTTTCTACTTTTTTATTGTAAAAGGTGCATTTTTCAACACTTACTTTTGGTTTCCACGGTGGTAGCTGTGGACGGCCATCTTCACTGAGGGTGGGCGGCTCCGGGGGCCACCACGACGCCAGCAGGAAATATCGTGACACGAAATCGCAGTCAAAAGCTTATTAGCATCAATAAGATTCTAGGTCTCCAAAAGTACAGGCTTTTTCTTCATTACCTTTTTTATTCAGAATGAGGAAAGGGACAATTCAAGATCCACCTTGACAGGAATGAACTTTGCTGTTGGAACAATAGCGAAATAAAGCAATGATCGAAAACGTTTGCTTTGGTGCAATGACCTCTTCCTTTCTTGAGCGAGGCCATAAAAATCCTAAGTGTGGCCAGGGCCAGCCCAGGCCTGTTATCACGGCATGGGACCTTCCTTCCTTTCCCACCAGGCTTTTTGTCCGGGGGTGGGGGGTGGGGGGGCACACAGAGGTCACGGCTCTCCTGGAATGGAGACGGGCGACGTTGTCGGTGTGCGGTCAGGACTTCCTGTGAGCCGTGAAGTGGTCGTGAAGGTCTCCATAGGACTGCAGGCCTGGGAAGTTCCGGCAGCTGTCGGAAAGGGTTACTCAGAACGGATTACCCGACCCCCTAGACAAGTCGCCTTCAAATCTCATCCCTTAGCCGGGCGGGAACTGAAAGATGTAGATTTCTATGGAGGGAGGAGTTCAAGGGGATTGGAAATGTAAATGCTTCTGTTTTTAATTAGGTGAATGTTTGCAGTCTGCAAAGAAATGGTTTTCTATAATTTTTTTTAGTTTGTTAGTAAAACTTTGCCTGGTCCAGACAAAAACATTTTGGCGATTGGTGATTTCCTCCCGGTCCCTGTTGCTTTGAGTCTTTGATTTTTATTTTCCAGTGAAGAAACCTGACCCCAGTTCACATGTGACTTACAGGGTCCTAGCTAACCTGCCTCGTGACAGGAACCGTAGTTGCAATTCCGGTCCCTCTTTTCCATTTTACTACTGGGGATAAAAATCCGCCCAAGGTCACAGCTGTACAAATGAAAGGAATTCAGAAGATGAAACAATAAAATGGTACAGCCTGTCTTTCCTTATAATATTAGAAAAAGGCCATTAAATACCAACCAGCCGTTGGCAGCTATTGTCCCGAGGGTTCTCGCCGGCCACAGAATACTTCCAAGGCCTAAGTAAACATGGTTTGTCCCAAAAAGGACGCGCCAGAAAGGTTCTTTGGACCCTAAGGAATGACCTCCAAAAAACAAAAGAAAAAAAAAAAAAAAAAAAAGGAATGACCTCCAAAGACACGACCGACCGATTCCTCAGCCACACGCATTCTGGGGTCTTAAGCACACACTCTGATGTCACGTTTCTGCTCTTACAGTTGGACTTTCCCAAGACTACAGAGGCTGACTGCAGAGCTGATCTCAGCCGCGAAACCGTAGGATCCAGAGACTCGGTCCAAAAAGGGCCGGTTTGTCGTCCGGGTCCCGGTATGCTCTGCTTTAGGGAATGCAGTTTGCAGATTAAGGCCAGGCCCACAGGTGGGGCTGGCTGCACTTTCAGTCTCATAACACAACAATTCAGTTGGCCTGTCCCCGTGGCTCCAAACCAGGGGTGACTTCGCTCCCCTCCCCTGAGGACATTTGACAATGTCTGGAGACATTTTTGGTTGCTACCTAGAGGGTGGTCAGGAATGCTGCTACTAAAAGTACTGCAGTGCCCAGCATCGTCCCCCAGGAATTGTCAGGCTCAAAGTGTCACCAATGCCAAGGTTGAGAAACTGTGGCCTGTTCTAGTCAGATTTCTTTCACGGTCGTTTAAATAAATATTGATTATCGTGTCCAAGGCATGGAGACAGTGGCTGTAGGCGCACTGTGTTGATATGAGAAAAACAGTCTCTCACTTGCCTAATCAAATGTCAAAGCTTATTTTTCTGACGCTGGGGTGGGGGTGGGGCGGGGCAGGGGAAATCCGGCACAGCCTTGATCACTGGCCCTCCCTTGCGTCCGTCAATGATTAATGGAGCTGTTTGCCCAGAAGGGTTGTTAGAGGTGGAGGAAAGAACCTTGGGACCGACTTTAGTAGACACAACCCAGGCTGACTCAGAAAAGCAGAGGGAGAACAAGTCGGCCCAGTGTACTCTCCCGGCTGAATTCACTCCAGGAGAGGAGAACGGAGCGGGAGGGGCCGGGGCCTCGGCCTCGTCCGGGCACAGGCCCTTCGGCTGTACTTAGGACAAAAAATGCGAGGTGGTTGTGGGAGGAGACCCTGCTGGCGGAGCCTGCAGTTCATCCCAGGCACAGGGCAGCCCCAGGCCAGGCTCTGGCTGCTCCAGCTATCATGGTCCTGCCCGAGGGTCTGGCTCACAGCAGGGATGACCCTCAGGAGGGCCCTTGTGGATGCTTTTAAAATTAGCTGGATGACTTGGGTTTTAGACAAAATGCACGTTATGACCCTAACTTCCTCGTTTTCTCTTGAAGACAAGAACAAGTGGCCTTCCGGGGCAGAAGGCTCTAGTTTCTTTTCTCCAGCAAGTTGCTATCAAGAGAGGGGCTAAGGCGGGACCGGTCAGAAGCCGGAAGGTCTGAGTGGTCCCTGGCCTCCAGTCTTCGTGAATTCAGTCAGACTGTGAACATTGGTGGAAGGTCAGAACTGAGTGCAGGCTCAGAGAGAGATAGATCGTGCTCATCTGGAAGTCACTGAGCTAAACACAACAAACGTGTGCTTTTCTCTGTCATGGTGGAGTCTGAGCTCTGCAGCGGGCAGCATCACTTGGATGTTCTGGCTTCGGTCTCGGCCTTCGGAGGCTTGGTCTCTGGATACCGCCTACGTACCGGCACTTGCCCTGCCCCCGGACTTCGGTGTGTGCCCAAATCCCACTCGTGGAAATGAAAGGGGCGCTGGGGACCATCCAGCGCTAGTCCAGCCCCTCGTGTGTTCAGACTGACAGAGGTCATGTGGTTTGCCTAAGGTCACCCAGCTAGTCGGCAATGGAACTGGACGTTCCTGGTCTCAGTCGTGCCCACTCTGGGAGGGGTGACCTGGTCTTGGAGCACGACTGACTCCCCTCAGTCACACCCACATGTGGAGCCAGAGGGAAGGACATGGCCTTGCCTGGGTCCTCTGATCTCTGGTTTCAGTGTTGAGAATATGCTTCGATCTACCCTGCGATACTGTTTTTGCATGTTAGTAATTTAAAGGCCTCGCCTTTGCCTCCGTAAATTCATTTGTTTGTAAATTTCCGGAGGGAAAAAGACATCTTCATTCATAAGCAATTTAAACATTAACTAGCCATGGAACCGGTCCTTGCCATAATGGGTATGCTAACAGAGAACACTCCCTGGGCCGGGGGACACCTGTTCCACATGTCGCTCTGCCCGTGATCTGGGGAGCAGGGTCTCCTTCCCCACTTCTGTAAGACAATCTCCGGCACCTCCTGGGCATCAGGCCTTTCGGCTGGGTCTGTGAGCAATCTTCAGGACCGCGGGGGGCTTCCTTTTGTGTTGCTTTTTTAAGAAAATGAAGTCGTTTAAATACACAGACAGCTGTGGGAACGCTGCCACCTCGTGTTCTGTGGTCGGACCCTGCGTTCCACCACTGCACTCATCTCTGCTGGGTCCCCGTGGCGGAGACGACGACTGGGCTCAGTGGCTCCAAATTCGTTTTTACACTGATTTCAGCTTGGCTTCTTCTGAACTTGGTGGGCAGAGCCAGTCTGCAGGCCGCATTTTCCAACTTCCTGCTGTTTCCCCTGCTCAAGCAGCTGCCAAATTCTCTAACCCCACCTCCACAAAGGGCCATGCTGGGGAGCCCCCCCACTCATGCGGTGGCTTCCTGCCCCATGTGGGTGTCGGACCCCCGCCCTGGAAGCCCCCCGCTGGGTCCTGGCTCCATCACCCACCTCCGGCCCCCACCATGGGCCTACGGGCTGTGCCCACAGCTCACCAACACAGCAGTGGTTTCATTTCTGGTGCCTAAATGTACCCTTGATACTTAAAAGTTAGCTCTGTTATTTTCAAAGTATTTTATCCAGTTCTGGAAAGAGGATTTGTGCGTTTCCTTACTCTACTGTTCATAATCCTTATGGTCCCTAAAATTGAAGGCTCCCACATCACTTGGGCTTATTTATTTTTTAAAATCAACAGTTTTATTGCTTTTTTTTTTTTCCCTTTTATTCATTTTAGAGGGAGAGGGAGAGGGGGACACATTGGAGAGAACATCGACTGGCTGCCTCCTGCATGCCCCCCACTGGGGGTCGGGCCCACAACCTGGGCATGTGCCCTGACCGGGAATCAAACCTGTGATCTCTTGGTGCGTGGGTCGACACTCAACCAGTGAGCCACACTGGCCGGGCCTTTTAAATTTATTTTAAAAACTATGTTTTTATTGACTTGAGGGGGAGAGGGAGAAACATCCATCGGCTGCCACCTGCATGCCTCTTGCTGGGGATCAAGCCCACAACCCGGTCAGGGGGCCTGTGCCGAGAGGGAATCAAACCTGCCACCCTCGGTGCACTGGGTGATGCTCAACCAAACAAGCTGCACCGGCCAGAGGCTAACTGCCCATCTAAGAATCCTTCCGAGCTCCTCTCCACCTCAAGTGGACCAGATGACTCAGAGGTTCCCTTTTCTCTGAAATCCACTTAAATGTTCCCTGATGCCTGGGAAAAGGCTTATTAAAGGCGCACCTGGAACCCTCCATCGTTTTGGGAGAAGAAACGGAGCCCGTCAGTGGGGAGGACAGCTGACCTCGCCAGGTCCGGTGGCTTCCGGGCCGCTGTCATGCTCTCAGCACCCTCGCGGTGCTAGGTGAGCAGGAGGAAGCAAAACCTCTGACCCGAGGAAGTCGTCCACCTGCCTAACCCAGGGACATTCCGCCACCTCTCCTCAGCTTCGCCAGGCTCAACAGCTTCCAAGCTGAGCGGACTGGGTGTGGCCAGGGAGCGAGTCCCACCCAGTGAGCCACAGGACTGCCATTGTCAACGTGCGCCGAGCCACGCCAAGATCGGAAGCATGGCACCGACAACCGTCTGGAAGAATTCCAGTCTTTTCCAAATGACTGGAAAAACAAACAAAAATAAAGCTTTCTCCAAGCCCTTGTCCCCTTATCTTTACAAAGCTTTATTGAAACTTGTACATCAAGGTGATGATAACCCAGTGTTCTGAGAACAGTAACAAAGAGGGTACCCCGGATTCGGGTTCACCGAACAAATTCTGGACCCCAGGGAGTTCGTGCCTGTCTCCCAGCAGGAACACAGGGCACGATGACAGCTTCTGATGACTTGGGGACAGGAACCTGCACTGATGGGAATGTCAATGGCATCTCCCTGGAAACTAAGCCGAGTGTAAAGAGGTTCACTTTGGTCCAAAGGGTGTCTTCCTGACAGATTTAGAAGGCTGCCGTCGGGTTCTAGGTTCCTTTCAGAATAAGCGACAGTGACTGCGACAGCCTGCTCTGCTGGGTGGGGACAGAGGTCCAGCGCAAGGTGACAGGCCAGGGCAGGGTGCTTCTCCAGAGTTCACGGTAACAGTGGCACCTCATTAGGAGGATAAGGAGCCGGACGGACACTGTTCCAGCTAACAGCGGTCAGCCCTCGGATCATCAGCTCACTGGAGAAATCCGGCAGCGGTCTCGAGTCTGTTCCGAGAACAGATTATTGCTGAGCGGCTTGCTTACATGACCTACATTCTAGCTGGGGTGATGAGAAAACTGCCCAAAAGCTGTACAGGCAGCCACTTCTGGTTAAAAAAACAAGACAAAACAACAAAACTTAGTGCACATGAGTGTAAATACGAGCTGTAAAACTTCACCTGGAGACCAGACAGGTTCTCATCTCTGCAGAAATGACACCTCCCTGGAGTCGCTCTGATTCCAGGACAGGCAACCCCACACTGCACTTGTAGGCGCCAGAGCCAGGCCTCAGAGGGACAAGTCGATGGCCTTAAAAACGCACAGACAGTGAGAAATTTTGTGTGGTCTCAGTTCCTGCTTCCCGGATTTTTGCTATGAAAGTGGCTAGTGTTTTATTTTTGGCTTAAGAAAACTCTCCATGACCAGCCGGCGGATGTACATTTCCTGCACCGGTCCTCGTGCCCTGTGGCGGGCTGCGGGCCTTCTGGCCCCGACTCGGCTCTCGGCCACGGGGTGCGGAGACGACCGATTCAGCCCGTGGCGCTGCGGGGCTGCTGGCCCCGGAACCGCCGGCCCCGGAACCGCCCCCCAGGCAGGACTAGGGCAGGTGTGAAATGTCTGAGTGTGAAATGGGAAATGCAGTCCATGGCCTCCAGCGGGAAGCATGCACGCACGTAGCCTGGTGGTGCGGCCGGCTCCCTGGGGCCCGCCGCCAGCTCCTCATATAGGCTTGTACAACAAGGTGGTGACATACTTTTTCTTGTACCGGTGGGTCGCGCTGAGCACCATCACTCCATCCTGAGAAAGACGGCGGAAATGATCAGGGACTCATATTTCACAGGGGACAAGAGAATCACTGAGCGGGTCAATAAACACAGACTCCGGGCCGCCCTCAGGACTGGAGCCAGCGGGCCCGCCCTGGGTCCTGCCCACCGCCCGCTGAGACGAACTCCAGGTAATCCAGCTGCTGGGGCTCAGAGCTCAGAGCCTCAGCCCTAACGGCAACAAACATGCCATTACCTTGATAGAAAGTGCATAGAGGTGGTTCAACATGACGTGGTTGGGCTCAGGAAGCAAGGCCGGGTCACACTGTGGGGGAACAGAAGCAGACGTGAGCAGAGATTCGGGAATTTCTGAGAAGGCTCCCCACTGGCTTCACAGCACCAGGGAGCAGAGGGAAGGAGGCACCGACAGGGCTTGTCCATGACAGGAGGCCAGGGGGTCAGGCCATGCTCCACCTACGGGGAGCTCCTGCGTGCCTGCTGGGCTCCCTGGTGTGTGGTCAGGCCTCTATGCCCACGGCTCTGTCCTCTTTCTGAAGGAGGGGCAGGAGAAATGCGTGGTCCAATGAGTGCACTTTTAGAGAAAGCAGGGGACCGTCTATCCCCTGCTCCCGAGCAGTGGGCTGCGGTCAGGTCTGTGAGGCTGAGACGTGAGCACGCAGGGGGTAAGGGGCTGCGGTCAGGTCTGAGAGGCTGAGACGTGAGCACGCAGGGGGTAAGGGGCTGCGGTCAGGTGTGTGAGACTGAACGTGAGCACGCAGCGGGAAGGGGCTGCGGTCAGGTCTGTGAGGCTGAGACGTGAGCACGCAGCGGGTATCCGGAGGTGGTGGTGAGGTACTGACTGCACCAAAGCTCACACAGGACTGGCACTTAATGTAGCCACACCTCCCAATTTTTAAGAAAACCAGAAATCTGGACTCCCCGTGCCCCAATGTACCACTCCCCGTTTTTTCCCCCATTTTCTTATTCCTCACCAGAGGATATTTTTCTATTTATCACTAGACAGAGTGGGAGTAAGGGAGAGAGAGAGAGAGAGAGAGAGAAAGGAACACTGATGTGAGAGACACATTGACTGGTTGTCTCCCACATGACCCGACCAGGGCCGGAGATGAACTGCAACTGAGGTACGTGCCCTTGACGGGGATCGAACCCACGACTCACTGATCCGTGGGCCGACACTCTAACTGCCGAGCCACACTGGCCAGGGCCACTCCCGTTTACAAACACTGAGAAGGGAAAGGTGCAGGCAGAAGCCGACCCAGCTGTCAGACGTGTGTGCTCACTCTCGATCTGGGGGAACCCGCCCCAGGAGCCGGGGGTCCCCAGTAACAACCATACCAGTGCGGGGGACGCCTGCACGTGTGCCCATCCCGTGTGGAGGCCACAGCCACAGCTCCACGTGCTTCTCACCTTATAAACGGTGCCTTTTAGGTGGTGGCTGGGACCAAGCTGAAGAACATCTAGACTCAAGAATTAGGCCACATGAGGGGGGAACTGGGCAATTCGGGTTCAACGAAATGGGAAATTACCCACGAGGGAATAATGGTGTGTTCTTCAGGGCCCAGGAGGACCCACACTTCTTTTCGTAATATCAACCTCCCAGAGGAAATGTGTTACCAGACACTCCAAATTCTGATTCAAGAGCAATGATGTTCCTGAAAGCAATTTGGTGATTAAAACTAGCTTCTAAAATTTGGGGGCCAAAGGAGGCATTCCATTATGTAGCGTACTGAGAAGGGCTGGTTTATAGATTTTGTCATGAAATTCAAGGAGTGAAATGCGAGGAAGACGAGTTCGGAAAGGCTGTTGGATGGGAGGCCGCGCACCGAGAACACCCCGCCGGCAGCCCTCCCCATGGCAGCAGCGGCCCGGGCAATGGACACTAAGGGGCGGCGCTGAGCCGGTCCACCAGCTGCTCTGCAGGCGGCGGCCCGGAAGGGGAGCTGACCGTGACCACGAAGGGCGGCCTAGGCAGATGCCAGTGCACTCACAGAGATGCCGGTGTCCTTGTTCAGGATGACCTGCAGCAGATGTGGGGGGAGGATGGGTGGCGCTTTAAACCGCTCCTCTGGCTTGGACACGTAGGGCTCCTGGTGGTAGGGTCCTGGCGGGGAACTGGACAGCTCTGTTGGGAGACAGAGAAGGACACTTACTTGGCAAACGAGGATTCGAGGAACAGTCTCGATTTCCGGCACCGTCTAGCGTCGCTTGTCTCTTGTCCCCTCCATACAGATTCACATTCTCTCGTAGGGCACACAGGCCCCGGGGGTGGGGAGCAGAGGCAGTGAGAAAGCCCATGGGATTGGGCGACTGGCATACACTTCAACAGTGGCCTTAGAAGCCCTGGCAGGAGGCAGCAGTTGCGACCAAGGCAGCGGTGAGTCTGGGTCAGACTAACAAGGGAGCTTTTACAGTGACCTAACGGGACACGCCACTGCCGAGTACGGATTCTCACTGCGGGCTGCGCTGGCCACTCGGCTCAGGCGCCAGGCATCACGTGAGGAGCCCCGCGAGCAGAATCAGAGACCAGGCAGCCTGATCACACCGCGGCAGTGGCGAAAACAGGTTCAGTGAGGCACTAGCACGTTGCAAATCAAACAAAACAGAACACAACTGAAAACCTGATCTCTGAAGGCACTGGACTCTATCACCCAGGTTCCTTTCAAACTGCTGCCTGAGTATGTCGACTACAGACATATTAAGCTTCTGGAAGCACAATGTTTTATAAGGTTAGAAGCAGCTCGCTCAGTGATGTCTGGCCAGCTGGAAGGCACTGAACTATTATCCAAAGGAGAGCAGAGATGGGGACGGTTGCCCGACCCTGGGGCTGTCTGGAACAGACCTCACACGGTCTGGCTCTGCCAATTCCCTCCCATCATTTTCTAGGGAGTAGACTCCCCAAAGAGCCGACCATATCACAGCAGGAAACAGAAAAGCATGAAGTGTAGAAAACTGAGCCATTAGGAGGAAACATAGATTTAAGAAAGTGAGTGTCTAAACATGAGAATTCTACAGAGATCCTGAAGTGGGTTTGCCCACAGCAAGGGGCCAGTTTTCTTCTTCTTTTTTTAATCCTCACCCGAGGATATGTTCACATTTATCATCAGATGGAGTGGCAGGGAGGGAGGGAGGGAAAGGGAGAGAGAGAGACATCGACTGGTGGCCTCCCACATGACCTGATCAGGGCTGGGGATGAACCGCAACTGAGGTACATGCCCTTGGAACTGAATCCTGACTCTCTGGTCCACAGGCCGACGCTCTAACCGCTGAGCCAAACTGGCCAGGGCGAGGGGTTTTCTATCCCCAGGTGATCTCGGCCGTGGAAAGGCGACTAAACGTCTCAGTGCATGGTCTGAAATCACATCGATCAGTCAGCAGGGACGTCTGGGCATTTCCTCTACCCTCTAATTCCCCGCCTATCTGAAAAAGGAATGAATGGTTTCTCTAAGAGATTAGGCAGCCAGCCAGCCAGCCCTGGCCGGTTTGGCTCAGCGGTTGGAGCGTCCACCTGCGGATCAGAGTCTCGGGTTCAATTCCAGCCAAGGGCATGTTTGTCGGTTGCAGTTTGTCCCTGTGCGAGTGGCAACCAATCAGTGTGTCTCTCTCACATCGATGTCTCTCTCTCCCCCCGCCTCCCACTCTGTCTGAAGATAAATGTAAAAAAAACCATCCTCCGGTGAGAATTTAAAAAGAAACGAGAAAACAGGAAAGATTAGGTAGCTAGCCAGACAGAAGAACGGTTTTCAGATTTCCAGTCCCTACTCCACAACCTGGCTTGGCAGCCACCGCAAGCCCATGGTCCTTCACCACTGTGACTTCTCAGCTGACAAGAACCAGAGATCCTGGTGGCAGAACCTCCAGGCCGAGCCAGGTGACAAGCAAGACTCATCCTGGGAACTGAACTGAATCCACTTTCTCAGACTGGCTGGCACGGTCCCGGGGCACCCCTCCCCTGCCGCCCCCGGGGCCCTAGAACTGCTGCTGTTGACACTTGAGATCACGACATTTCCTCCCCCTGAACTGCAGGCATGTTTCCAGGCAGTTTCTTCCTGTGGGGTTGGGCGGGTAGCAATTTACTTAAAGCTCTGTGACTGGGTGGCTCTTGGAAGACGGGGAAGTTTACGAGACTGTCCTGAGCAGGCTGTGCTGTGTAGCCGGTTTCCTGTGGTGAGCCTCCTTCTCCCAGCAAGGTGCTAATGTACTACACAAGTGACAGCCAAGGTCACCGAGGTGTCCCTTCATCACGTGTCAGGCTGACACTCTCCCGGCACCCTGAGTGGGCTGTGAGCAGGCAGGGAGCTGGCAGGCTTCCCTACTTGGCTCATCACTGATCCTGGGCCTCCTGGGTCCTGCCCTGGCACGACACCAAGCTCTGGTTCCGTTTCAATTGTCTGCTTTCTGTGGCCAAGCAGACCTACTGAATCCTGGAGATGCCCCCGCCCCCCAGTGACTTACTGCTCCCTCAGGGCTAGATTTCAACAACCTCACCCCAGAGTTAGGGGTTAGTTTTGTGGCTCTTTGGGAACTACTAATGCCCATCCGATTGGGCAGCCGGAGTGAAGAGTGAGAGACAGAGGGTTTTAGACTGCACAGCCCCCACCTGCACACGTGGTATAAAATAACTGTGTTCGTACCAGACACATCGGAGCACTTTTGTGAATCCACCATTAAAGCATCAAATACTTCAAAGTCAGTTTTCTTCACTTGAATGATGTTGTTAACTGTGCCAAGCTGGCTGGTTACTATTGGCTGGGAAGAGACAGACAGGCAGAGATCACAATGCGGAAGGATAACGTGGGCTTATTCTTCAGAGGCGCTAGAATTCCTGGCGGAAGGGCCCCGCTCCTGGCTAGCCAAGCTGCTCCTCGGGTCAAGTATGCCAACAGTTTGACAATCAGCACTGTGATCCAGCTCAGCCATATACAGGGACTTTTACCAGCAGGACAAAGGGGCCTGGCAACCATGTAGAAGGGAAGGTGACTCATCTGGATTGTGTGACCGGCAGAGGACTGAGGGCAGGAGGGAGAGGTAGTACCTCAGAAGGGTCATGTGTCCACTGACCATCCACAAAGAACTTGTACTGATGCTCTCCTTCCGGCAGGTCCAGGATGGCTACAAAGTTATTGTGGCTGCGAGGAAAAGGAAGCAGAGGTTTTCAGCTGGGCGGGCTGACTTCTTAGCTTCCTTACAAAACCAGCCATAGACTAAAACAGGACCTTCCCATGTAAAACCAAGACTTCAACTGCAGGAGTATAAACCGTTTTAACCAATTCAGACAATTCGATACAATGATCTTAATCTAGAAGTGAACAAGGAAGCAGGAACTCAACATTTTCCTTAAAATCCCCTTTGCTGAAAAGGTCAGCTAACCGGCATCTGTCCTTCTCAACTTGCACGCGAAACACCCGGAAGACAGGATGCGAGGAGGATGGCAACACAGGACAAACAGCCTGCTGCCAAGTTTTACCCTTTGTCAGTTTGCCTTGGGCAGGAAAGGGGAGCAATTTAATAGGATGCCAACAGTTCTCTAAAGAAGTGCTAAAAAGGCTCCAGAAAACCTCTTTCCTTTCATTGATTTGTTCTCCTGAGCTGAAGTGACTTGTAACCGTGCCCAGTGGCTCCCTCCTACCAACATTACACTGGAAAAGCAGGCGGGCCCCTGCCCATAATCAGGCCTGGCCCGGCAGAGCACAATTTCTCCCTTTGTTTCATCAGGAGTACCTAAAGAAGATGCTTTTTTACTGACATATTGAGACAGAAGTCCACACTAGGGTTCCTGATGAACCATTTTACCACAGTCTTGCTAAAGATGCTACATAACATGTACCTTACAAACAAAAGTAACAAAAAGAAGTTAGAAGGAACCCTAGAGATCGTCTGATCCAACACTCCCTTCTTACAGATGGGAACAGAGGGACTCAGGTGTTAATGACAGGTTAGCTCAGTCAACATGGTCTCAAGTCCCAGTCTCGAAGAGTCCCAGCCTGCTGCTTTCTCTACAGCACCAGGAATAGATTTCTCTTTCCGAAGAAGTCCTGCCTGAACTAACACTTAGCTGAGTATGTGAAGTGGAAGAAATTCTCGTAACTAAGTGTGCTCTAAACCCAGAGACTATTTGGGTGTGAGAACAAAACCCTATGAATTATTACGCAAGACTACCTTCCCATTCAGCATCCGTAGTAAGAAAGCATCCCTTTCTACTCCCAGGCAATTACCTTCTTGTGAGCGGAAGTTTACTCCAGTTGTTGAAGGACCCAGACAAGTACACTTCCTTTCCGCCCCCCGTCCATCGAAAGACAGTTGGCCGAGCCTGGGCGGGAGCTTTATCATTCACTTCCAGATCGTGCTGCCAGGCCAGGAACTCCTCCTTCTCTGGAGCCTAGAAACAGAGCAGTGTACTCAGGGACAGGAAGTCGTTAGTGAGCTCCCTACATAGACAGTTACCCTAATATTGACAATTCATGCTCAAGAGGCAGCTGTTACTACCTAGGTTCATGTTCAGGCTCATTAGCCAACTAGTTGTACATCAGTTTCCCCACTGGCAAAATGGAGACAGTAAAAATAACTTAAGATCCTCGTGAAGAAAGAGTGAGAAAGTCCAAGTGAAAGGCTCTGCATAGTGTTTGACACACAGCAAATGCTCAAGAATGATCAGCTTCTATTATTGCGGTTATTAAAGAAGGCTACATTAAAATTCTAGGAGAAATTAGGAAACTCACTTGGAAGAGGCTGCAATGAATTGCAGACGAGCTTAATAAAGGTCATTTTTCCTCCCTTTATTAAACAAGATTTGAAGTACATGAGAATTTATTAGGGACAAATCCAGAGCTGTCAACTTGAAAACTGGCAAATCCAGATTCTGAGGAAGAGAAAAACTATGGACACTGGGGAGAAAAAGGTCAGACAAAGACCGACTCTCTTTATGGCCAACAGTAACTCCTAGTGTGGGAAACAATGTATACCTGGGGTGCTGGAGAGAGAAATCAACACGTCCAACTCTGGGTGAAATATACGTGGTTTTGGATCTGTTACCTGTTACATGTTTCCTAGTCAGAAGCCAAAGATGTTAAAAGAGCAGGAGTTCCAGGCTGGGAGAGACCCTTAGGGGGTCAAACAAGCTTTAAGCATCTTTACTTGAAATACTGACCTGAGCATGTCCTAAAAGATGCTTGTATTCTTTGTGTTTAACAAGATCTACAGGTTAAATAACAGACTGAAAACTTTTCACTGAGGATGTGATAACTAACCACAGCCAAAATGGTAAATTAGTATAGTTAAAAGAATCCACTTGTTTTTTGCTACTTGGGGCATTCTACCCACTGTGTCTGCTTCATCGTTTCAATAACGTCTGAGGAAATGATAATGGACACTATTAAAAATCTTTCTGCACAGATCATCTGTATGCTAAAAAACATTTCTTTTAGAAGTTTTAAAATACCAACAGAACAAATACTACTTGAAGAAAGTAGTTTGATTCTTATGATGTATTAAATAGCCATCCTTGGGCCAAAATGATCACTGGGGGAAGGTATGTCAAGTCATTGGAGAACCACGATTCCAAAGCTCACTTTGCATATAGCTTCTCAGGACACAACAGATTCAGAAAGCAAGCTCAAATCGCAGGATGGAAGGCCAAGTAAAAGCAGACTCTTTATAGCCAAGATCCAAGTGAGAAAACACGGTAATACTGTGATCACTCAGCCCAAAATCTGAGAGAAAAAAATGCGAGTCAAGCTGGAATGAGTCGCCAGGCAATTAGCCTAATGGATGATGATGATTAATACACACGTGGATGCTAACAGAGAATATGTTGGGCTGGGTGATGGGTGGCTAGGCACCTTCCTCTCCCCTAAACCTACTTAGTCACATTGTCCTTCAGGACTTAGTTCTTCTTCTTTTAATCCTCACCTGAGGACATTTTTTTCCATTTTTTGTTCAGATAGAGTGAGAGAGAGAAACATCGACGTGAAAGGGACACAGAGTGGCTGCCACCCACACGACCAACCAGGGCCGGGGACAAACTGCAACCGAGGTAGGTGCCCTTAGCGGGAACCGAACCCGGGTCTCTCTGGACCACAAGCCGACGCTCTAATAGGCCAGGGCAAGGAATTAGTTCTTTAGGATATACCACATACATATCAGCTGCCAGGATCACTAAGTGTTCTTGGACTAGGCCATGCAGCTGGAAACAGGACATATCAGGTGGGGAACAGGAAATGTGGCTGAAGCAGGAGTCAAGAATCACCGTCAGATACATCAAGGCAGACTGCAGCAGGATGTCCACATTTAGTCTGCAAAAAATGTTCGCTTTGGCTTCTTTAAAATATTGTCATATTTAAACAACAGAGGGGAGAAGATGAGCTGCAGCTGGCTGCCTCCTTCAGCGTGACAGTCCCCGACCCACAGGCCTCCAGGAGCGGATTTGTTTTCCTGTGCCGGCTTGGAGTAAGCAGCCCCAACCAAATGTCTTAGGCAGGGCCAAACACCTCCTAAACACCTCGGGCAACTGCAGTCAACGCGGCTGTTCGACTCCGCTTGCAGCTTACCCGCCTGCTCTGGTTTGTCTCCCAAACGGACAACGAACTTGCTAAACCGACTATTACAAAGGGTGCCCGTCTTCCCACAGGGGAGGGAAGAGTTCTCCCAGAGAAGTAAATTAGTAAACCTAAGAGAAACGCAGAGACGGGGGTTCAGTTACTGCCGGCTCCACGATCTTAATTAAGAGTCTGCCACTCTGTCCCGGAGCCGCTTTCTCCCTAATGATGTAAAATGAGACGAGTCCCTCCTCCCTCCGGGTGACTTTCTCGGATCGGTAATTAGACGCTTCGGACACTGGTTCCTGGACTGCTAGGAGGGCTCTTCCAGGGCCGTCTGGCTTTCAAGTGCAGAGGGTGAAGTATCACCCCCCCTCCCACTGCTGGGGCGGGGGATACGGCAGATCGCAACCTCAGTCAAGGGAACCGGGTCCCCCCACTTCCCTCACCTTGATTTCCTCGGAGTGGAAGAGGTCGGCGTCCTCGGGGCTGTCCATCAGGATCTTGGGCCTGTCCCCATCCTTGGCGCCCCCCGAGCTGTCCCTTCGGGGCGTCTTATGGCCGCCCTGTCGCTCCAGCGCGGCGCGCTCGCTGCTTGTGTTGCCCATGGCGGGGGACGGCGGGGACCCCGGGACCCCAACGGGCTAGGCCTCACTCCAGGGAAGGGGCTGGGGACTCCCGTAATCGGGGGTGGGGGTCACAGGACCCAAGGAAAGAGTCGGAGCCCCAGTCCCGCGCCCCTCGGGCTAAGGGTTCCGGGCAGAAATCCGGTTTGAGCCGGGTCCGCAGGCCGGGCGAGGTTTCAGGATCGCGCTTTACCAGCTCAGGCAGCGGCGCGAACCCAGAGAGCGCGAAGATACCTAACACAAGCCCGACAACTCCCCCCCACCTCTTAGCAATTTCCGCTTCCGGTACTTCCGCAAGCCGGCGGGGCACAAGGGGAGGAGGGTTCGCTGGGGTCCGTAAAGCGCGCGAGGATAACTCTTCCCTACTTCCGCTTCCGGTCGGGACTGGCGCAGTCGCAAGCGCCCTGAGGCGGTCTCCGTGGGCCTCGGAGCGCGCAGTCGCAGTCGACTATTCCGGCCAGCCCAGGACAAGGCTGCTGTGGGCCGGCAGGGGGCGCGGCAGCACGCCGACCTCCGGAGCCACACTCTGCGAAGGGGCGAGTGATGCCATTAGGTATTTGAGATATCTGCCCACTTCCAGTTGATTCTACATTCTACAGCCAAAGCGCTCGTGTTAGAGGAAAATCTAATTATCAGCCTCCTAAAAGCCCTGTAATGCCCCAGCTCTCACGCCTTTGAGTGCCCTGTGATTGTTTAAAATGCAGATTCCCCGGCCCTAATCCCAGAAATTATGATTCCTCGAAGCTCTGGCGTAGAGTGTGCATTTTAATAAGGCCCCTAGGTCATTCTGATGCAGGTAGCCTTGCAGGTGTTGGAGTAAAATGACAGACCAGAACATTCTGGAAATTTCTCACACCTAGGAGGGGCGGGGGTGGGAGGGTGTAAAATGTGTGAGTTATTTGTGTGGTTTTTATTTAAACTGAGTGCACAGCTTTTTGATAGGTAATCACTTTTGCAATCACTTTCGACACATCGTTCTGCATAAAATGCATTTATTAACGTGTGTCATTTACTGCGGCCAGAGCTTCAGCCAGAAGTGTGTACACAGGTGGTACTAAAATATTCTAATGTTCTGTCAGTCACTGTCATGGTTTCCTTGGGTGTGGGTTTTGTTTCTGCGTGTGAGGATCTCACAATACTTTGCGTCTGCTGGGCCTGGTCATGCATTTTGTCCACTAAGCAAACATTTATTTAGTACCTGCAGAGTGCCCGCCATTGTGCTAGGTAAATGGGAGACACAGGTGATTGTGGTCTCCTGGAGGGGAATTCAGCAATATCTGTCAAAACAGAAAATGCACCTTCATTTTGGTGCACAGTTTTGCTTCTAGGAAACGTCTGCAGATATACACACATGGGTATGGTATGCAAGCTGTTCACTACAGCATCGTCTCCAATGCCATAATGTATCAGTTCTGAGATGCACATTTTAATCTGCGAAACTGGGTGCTTCTTATGGTTAGTGGAATCTTAGACGTGATGAAATAAGGAAATGAAAAACTGCAAAATGCTAAAAAGTTTGTCAGTAGGAGAATGACTACATTTATTTTGTGCAATCCTGAGCAACCTTTAAAAAGGAGAAAATCGGCCCTGGCTGGTTTGGCTCAGGGTTAGAGCATTGGCCTGCGGTCCAGAGAAACCCGGGTTCGGTTCCCACTAAGGGCACGTACCTCGGTTGCAGTTTGTCCCCAGCTCTGATTAGGTCGTGCAGGAGGCAGGCACTCGATGTGTCCCTTTCACATCGATGTTTCTCTCTCTCTTTCTCTTCCTCTCTCTCCCTCCCACTCTATCTGAACAAAAAATGAAAAAATGTCCTTGGGTGAGGATTAAAAAAAAAAAAAAAGGAGAAAATCGAAGTACATGGGGAACAATGGAGACGTGTCTATGACATTTCAGATCCCCAAAGCAAGTGACAGAACTACAGAGGTTCAGAGCATGAGAAGTCAGCCTGCCTTGGTTCACGTTCTGGCTTTACCACTTAGTAACTGCCTCATTGGTTTTCCCTTTGTGAAATGGGGAACAAAAATAACCCTTCCCTTGTAGGCTTGTTTTGTGAATTAATTGAGAACATGCACAAAAGGTGCCTAGCAGTAGCACCTGACACTTAGTAAACATTTAATAAACATTAACACTTTTATTGGCATCATTATGCTTGCAAATGGAAAATTCTGGAAAGACACATAACACACTATTAATAGTGGTCTCCTCTGGGAATAGGTGTAGGGTTGGAAAAAGAACCAGATAGAAAGAGGACTTTCACTCTTTAGTTTATTGTTTGAAATTTTTTCTACCTCGAGAAGGCACTATTGTAATTGAAAAAGAATTTTTAAAGAACAAAATAAATAAGACATGGATCCAGCCCCAAAGGGATCCATAGAATACAGGTGGAAACAGACTCACAGAAAGGCAATAGTACAAGTAGGCAAGGGGGTATACGGGAGCCTGGAAGGGACTCAAGCCAGGCCAGCGATAACCCAGTATACATTCTTTAAGCTGTTTCTTGCTCACAAGTAGTCAGTGAGGAAGCCTTGGACATGAAGACATTGAGCTTTGGGTTCTCACCAAAGCAACTTGAGAGAGAAGGAAGAACACGGGAGGAGCGGGTCCCTAATGTGAGCTATGCAGATACTTTCATGCATGAAGACTTCTGCTCTGGCTTGGATAAGTATTATCCTGTGGGTACTTTCTATAGGTTTCAACCAATGAGACAGCCCAGTAACTGGGGCTGTGCAGGTGTGCCTGGACAGGGCTGCCAGCCGAGGAGTAGGTCCTGAGATTCCACCTGCCTTTTCCTAATTTGTATAAATACACCACAAGGACCAGCAGTGGCCCTGGCCTTGATTTAAAAAAGAAAACTTGGGGCTGGTCCTAGGACAGATGGTAGAGGCGTATCGTTTATCCTTTTTCCAATTCATTCGATGCACGCTGTCTTGCAGGATGAACCCTCCACCCCGACACAGGTCACCCAGCCCATCAGAACCTGGGTTCATGACACACTTGTTCTAGTTAACATTTAATTTTTTAGAGGCCTTCAGTTTTCTAACATTTCTGTTTTGTTGTTGTTGTTGTTGTTAATCCTCACCCAAGGATATTTTTTTCCATTGATTTTGAGAGAAAGAGAGAGAGAAACATCGATGTGAGAGAGACACATCTATCAGTTGCCTCCTGCTCGTGCCCTGAACGAGCCAGAGATTGAACCTGCAACCCAGGTACGTGCCCTTGACCAGAAATTAAACTCGAGACCCTTTGGCGCTCGGGCCAGTGCTCTAACCACGAAACCACACCGGCCTGGACCAAGAACATGAATTTTAGACTCAAACTGCCTGGGCTCAAATCTTAACACTGAGTAGTTGGGTGACCTTGAATGAGTCATGGAACTTCTCTGTGCCTCAGTTTCCTCAGAGGAAAAATGAGTTAATAGAAGTGTTTCTATCTAGGGTGGTTAATGATAATTGAGTGAAAGTACATTTTAAGGGTTTGGCACCATACTTCACAGATAGGAAGCCATAATGCTCGCCATACATTATTTTTATAGTTACTTGGTTAAAAAAAAACAAGCAACTTTTTGGGGGGACAATAACTAAATTTAGAATGGCAGAATATAGAGACTTAAGAATAAGCCCCACTGAGTCCGCCTTTGTCTTCCGCAGTCACTGGGACTTGGACTATCCTTTCTGCCTTTGGTGTTTCTAAAGAACAGAGATGTGAATAGTTGTACCTACCTTGCTCGTGAGAGTTTTAAGGCCGGAACTAAATCTTAGAGTGAGCTAGCCTGAAAATTACTTTGGAAATCAGCCAAAAATCAGGTTCAAAAGCAACCAACTGTACTTTAGTGCTTTGAACTAGTGACTACTGGCAGGTACTGTCCTGGTGGGGAGTCGAGGCCCTGGAGCCAGCCTGCCCAGGTTCAAATCATAACTTTCTAGTTATGACAGTTGGGCAAGTTACTTACCCTTCCCAGGCCTCGGTTTCCCCGTTTATCAAAAGTGGACAATAAGTAATAGCTTCATCAGCTGGTTCTTGCGCAGATTAAACTGTACAAATGCTTAGAACAGTGCTGGGCACAGTATGATCTTCAAAAAGCATTACCTTCATTTCCATATTACTGTTAAAGTGGTTACTCTGGAAACTCAAGTACTTTTCTCCGTCACTTCCACTAGGGGGCAGTCCAGCCCCAAGGGAAGCCCTGGGGGAAGGCCACCCACACAAGTTGGGTCCCTATCTTCTTGAAATAGCTTTTGGGTGTTACATGCATTTTTATGATTTCCTTTTTCTAAACCATCATGATAAGTGATACAAAAATAAGTGAGAATGTTTTGGGACCGGACTTGGAACCAAGTCCTTGGTTAATCATCCTTCAAAAATCAGGTTTAGAGCTGCCAGATAACAATGTAAGAAGAAGGCCAAGGCCCGGCCGGTGTGGCTCAGTGGTTGAGCGTCGACCCACGCACCTAGAGGTTGCCGGTTCGATTCCTGGTCAGGGCACAAGCCCAGGTTTGGGGCTAAATCCCCAGTGGGGAGCATGCAGGAGGCGGCCAGTCAATGTTCTCTCTCATCGATGTTTCTATCTCTCTCTCCCTCTCTCTAAAATCAATAAAGAAAAACAAACAAACAAACAAACAAGGCCAAGGTGATGAAGCCGCATTTGGTTCTGTTCTCTTTCTCCATCTCTCCCTGCTCTTACACCCTTATTCGTTATCTATTTATTCATTCTTAGATTCAACAATTACTGAAAACCTTCTCTGTGCCAGGGGGCCGAGGTGAAAGACCTGATAGAATGCTGGCGTAGACAGGAAGTCGTCATTCCCCAATTGCTCACTATTTCTCATTACCATTGCGATGAGAGCTTGAAGTACCCGCAGGGCTGTGCAAACATGCAGAAAGGAGACCCTGATACCCTAAGAGGTGGCCTGCCGGGGAAGGCGTCCCTGAGGAAGAAGCATTGACTCATTCAAGAAATATGCATAGAGCATCTGCCATGTGCTACATCTTTTTCTAGGTGCAGAAGAAATAAAACAGGGTGGTGTTGTAGGGCGAGGGAGTAGGGGCGGGGTGGCTGCCTTAGATAAGAAGCATTTGGAGGAAGAGGAAGAGCCAGCCATGTGAAAACCCAGGAAACAGTGTTCTGGGCAGAGGAAATGGCACATACAAAGGCCCTGAGGCAGGAATGGTCTTGGTATGTTTGGGGAACAGCAGGAAGGCCAGTGTGTGGCTACAGCAGAGTGA